TTAAACTCTGGAGATTTTTCATAAAACACCCTTTCAGTTCCCTTTCTGCATGTATAGAATAACGACACAATGCTGAAAGTTCGCTCCATTCAGAGAAGCAGTATTGTTACACAAATAATGTGTGTAATTTACAGTCTACGATTCCAATACATGGTTTTGTACAAAAGCTAGTTCTGTTATTCCCTTTTGTTTCTTTTAAGAAGCCAAAAATGTTTCCATGGCAACCATTTAATTTATGGCATTTTCAAGTTATTGTGTCTGTTTTAGTTCCACGAGGCCCAATAGAGCACTTGTACGATGCAATGCCTTGAGTGCTTTATTTTTTTATTTCTTTCTGTATAGAAGTACGTAATATATACATGTACATAGTATGAAAGTATTTTAAATATATGTACAGTTGAATCATATATCTTTTACAGGTTTCGGGTTCTTAAGATTTAAATGATTGCCAGAGAGCTACAGATTTAAGCATTGTAAAAACCTTCAATTTTTTTTCTGGTCGTAAGCTTCGAACATTATTATTTGAATTATATGCGTTTACCCGCCCAAGCACAGATACTTGAGGACAGGACCCCCCACCCCCGTTATAGACCCCCGGGCCTTTTCGACCTTTTTAAAACATAAATTATCTTTCAATGACATATTTGTGATATAATCTAAACCTACAATTCGATAAATTACCTAAAACAAACATTTTTTTATAAAATCTACCCCACTCTCTATTTATAAATCATTTATATATATAGAGTAGGGTATTAATTTTATAAAATGTTTGTTTCAGCCAATTTTCCGAATTGATGATATAGATTATATCACAAATGTGTCATCCGTATATAATTTATGAGAAAAAAAGTCGAATAGGCCCGGGGGTCTATATCGGGGGGGAGGGGAGGGTCCTGTCCTCAAGCACCTGTGACTCCCATAAGCAAAATATGCTGGCATATAACCAAGTGAGGATCTTTCCCTATGTATAAATCCATTTACAATATTATATTTATATACATTGCAAGCAGCTGTTCATGACATTGTAAAATCATATGAACAATACGGGTTTGAGTCCTTACCTCCAGGGAATCTCATCAAGATAAGTGTATGAAGTAGAGGCAGTGGACATTGAGAAACAATGACGTTGTTGAACGTCATGAAACTAAACGGCAACAGCACCGGGTGATCATATAATGTCTTTTTTTATTTTAAAATAATTTGGCAAATTATCAACGTATCAAGCTAAAATTTTCAATATTTCTTAAACTTTTGTTGTTTTATTTTCCTTATAAATTTTGTAAGCACAGACTGCATCGTATTAATTTTATCACATCATTCCGCGAATTTTTGGATAACCCCTCTTAATCATAACATTTCATTGCTTAAGATAATGAAATGGAATCAATTTAGAAAACATCTCAAAGTCGACGTTATATGAAGATTAATGTTTGTTTAATGAAGAGCCTGAGAGACCAAAGAACACAAAACAACTTGGATTTAGATCAGGTTTAAGGTACACAGACAGAACGTAAAGGAAAGGAACACCTATTCTTAACATGGACAAACGAAATTAACATGAAATTGACAGGTATGATACCTTTACATTGTAAAAAAAAAAAACATGTTAGTAATTTTTTTCTTAGTATTAAGTTAATACTTAGTTCATTAATTTCTCTGGAAACAACTCGAAATGAGGCAATATGGTGAATTGTAGGTTTAAGCCATATAATGAAACATAAAATGTTTACCATGAATCCACGTATTAAGTTTACACATTAGGTATATTAAATTTCCTAATTAAACATCTGCAAAAAAATGACAGGAAAACCACATAAACGTTATTTAGAGACCAAAAAATGAATGGAGATTGTATTAAAAGTCTTCACCTCTTTCTCGCCATTAATTTGAACCATTGACAAAAATAAGTGATTCTGCCGTCACACGCCTGCTTAACCCGGGCTTAATCCTTGTGTTCACGTAACGTTTTTAGATCCCTCCAGTTAATATTCTTTGTTCGGTTCTAGTTATCCACATTAAGTAATTTGACAGGAATGTATTTTACTGTCGGGTTCACCATACTTCGCACAAAACAACGAATCATTACAGGCCTTTGATGTCGGGATAATATCTTCTAATTTTCTGATAAAATCTATTAATTATATAAAATGTTATGATATTCTGTCTCAAGGATTTTTTCATTGTTGATAACTTCTGCTCACTGCATAAAGTATAAAAAGAAATAAGGGCCTCGCCCTTTTATGAAAAAGTTAAAATCATGTTAAAGTTGGACCCAACTCCACGTGTCTAAGACACGAATTTCAACTGGTTAATAGGGTTTCGGGGAAAAACCTTATGTGCTTAGATCATACTTCACATAATTTAACAAAATAGATATCAGGCATAAGCATACAAAAAATCGAAACAAAAAATTGTTAGAGTTTTTATATTTTTTTTCATACATGTAGCTTACATGAAAAAAAGTTCAATATAATCTCCAATCATGATCAGTATTTTTATATTCCAAAGATGTATGAAGCAGGGAATCAAATCAGAAGCACTTGTGTTACTAAAATTTTCACTGGTCCGCATGATTATACTTATTGAATACATATAGAATATTCAATGTTTTGTAGATGAATATGGAATTTATTTCACGAGTGAGACAGGATTTTTTTTATATTTTCACGAGTGCGAAGCACGAGTGAAAATATCAAAAAATCCTGTCTCACTCGTGAAATAAATTCCATATTCATCTACAAAACATTGAATTTTCTGTTTATTACATTTTCTTTGATTTTCCCTTTGCAGCTGTCTTTTCTTAACACAGTGTCATAGGCTTGACGTCATAGTTGAGCGGTTGAGACGTCATAGTTTAGCAGTTGTGTGATTGAAAACATTACATAGCATGCATTTTAATAGTAACATATTTGGGAAGAAATTTGTAGTTTTAGCTCTATCAAGATGCTTAGTTACTATCTCTATCTTATGACAGGACAGAAATTATATTTTACTTACTTTGATATATCCTTTCACACTGTGAGAGAATATCATTTTGGTATCCTTTCATACTGTGAGAGAATATCTCTTTTATTCAATAAATAAATCACAGTATTTCACTGTTGAAAATGTAATAAATTGAAAACACATAATTGACGGTATTATTTGAACGTGTTTCGCACTCGTGAAAATATAAAAAAAATCCTGTCCCACTCGTGAAATAAATTCCATATTCATCTACAAAACATTGAATATCCTCTATTTATACCATGTTTGATTGACGTTAAAATATTCCCGCAATAATAGTATTACATTAGCCCAACAAATTACATTTTCATACACCCACAAAATAACATTTATTTTACATTTACTTAAGCCAATTAAAATTACATTTTCGTTTAATTGTCCAAAAATTTGCTGTTTTGAATTAAGCCAATAAATGTCAATTACATGTTCCCATAAAGTTACGTTAACGGTATTCCACAAAATTACATTTACATTAAATTATCCTTACCTTCTTTACTTCGCAAATGTCTGATGTTTTTCTTAGTTTATTTTAATGCGTGGTTTGTCAGCTCTTGTCCTCATGGAAACTTCAGAGAATCTTTCTTTGGTCCTCCCATGTATTTATGTAAAAACACGAACCCCCTATCAGTGCCTGTTTTGGTTTTGAATCCCCCCAATGCATGAAGCTCGATTGGGGGAACATTTGCCGTTTCTTTTGACAGCCTTGTTAGCGTTTCACCTTTAGTCCCCATTTCCAAAATTAGATGACAATTTTATTTTACACTGGAGATAGAAATCTATACTGACAGTACATAGATTAACCTGGATTAATGGAGTCGTGCACGTATCTGTTTTTATTCCACCTTTTAAGCTCATAACAATATATTTCTGCAATTTGTTTTGATTATTGTGAAAATTGACGCGTTAAACGACAAGAAGACGATTGAGAGGGGACTTAAATTACTGGCTAATGGAACCAAAAATGTTCAAACAGAATACGATATGTTTTTACATCAGGTTTATCTAGAAATTAAATCTATAAGCATCTGACATGTATATTAATACAGTGTATACTACAATTTTCAACTGACAAAATTCATTAGTCATTCCAATAAAGGAGTTAACGGGACTAGCTTATAAATGATGGCAATTAATATTTTCTCAAAATCTCTCAATTTCGTAGAAATTTATATTAATGACCAATAAAAACCATTAATTCGTACAAAAACAAGAGAAACCTTTAAATATAACATAACTATCTTAAGCTTAAAGACACATAAAACTTGCAATCAATGATTATTTAAACAAACAAACAAATAAACAAAATTATATATGTGCGTTCGAAATCATTGAATACTCTTGTCATTAATATAAAGAAATCCATCAAATAGAGTAATTTTCATAGAATTTTTATTTTTTGGTGAAAAAAGAAAGCCATTCATGCTATTTAAAGGGTCTTCTCAATACAACGCAAACTGAAGAGTTGGTACTTTTATGCTGTTAGATATAGACCTGTCTTTTGCTTTAAAATTAACTGAATTCTACTACATAATACACATTTTTAATCAATTCAAATATTTTCAACATTATATTAGACCAAGATGACGTAATTCAGTACTTTGTTTAAATGTGCTTTCTCCATTTAAGTCAGAAACAGTGATTTCTGTTCATCACGGTAGCCTAGTGGTATAGAACTCTCGCTTCTTCATCGGGAGGTCTGGGCTCGATTCTAGTCCCCGGCGCCTCGGCAAACATAAGACGTGATCGTTCCTTCGCCAAGAGCCTGGCACTAGAAATGAAAGTCACGGGTCTTTCTGATGAGACCTTAAAAACGGATGTCAAGGTAGGCCTTGGAACGATCCCTCACTGCTACGGCCGTGCATAGATCAAAAATTGTGGCAATTCACCTAAAGCAGGTGACATCTCCAAATTCTCGAGTGGGACGTTGAACGACAAATAATCAAACAATTTATTAAAACTTTGTTGTCATTAAACATTTTTCTTGGGGGACAATGACAGGTACCCTATGCTGAAAATGAAACAAATCAACTCAGTATTTTCACTTTTATACGATATCATTTTCTCAAAGTCCAAAAACATTTTTCATTAGTGTATAGAAGTATTTCAGTTTTTTTTTATTTTCAATATAAGATAAAACAAATATTGGGGAAATCATTATTCATGTTCGTGCTAATGTCACCAACATTCATTAATTAGATCTTGCTGCCCTGGAGTTGAATAGTAAAATATATAAACGAGTGATTTCCTCGGTGCAGATCACCCACTGGATAATTGTACCAGTCTATTTTGAACACTGAGGGCACTTGGGTACGTGATCGTGTAATCTGTAACGGTTAAAACATTCAAAGATGTCTCCTCTTGTCTCTGACATAGAAAAAAAGAAACATTACAAGAATCAAGTTCGCCATTCAAGTGCTTCAAGATTCAAGTGCTTTACAAATAAAAGATAATCAATTATGTTCTGAAATTTATACATGTATATGTATTCAAACGCTTAAAAGAAAAAAGTCGGATTGCAGTTTAACAAATGACTTTGTGAAAGTTTGTTATGCCAATGTCCTTAAATTTTGTCATGGGTGTCAATTGTGTCAGTGGTTCATGTATACTGAATCAAGCAACGTCTTATAGTGACCATTATCACAATTATAACTGACCATTTCATCAGTATCAGTTCCATCTACCTGATTAATGCATAGGATTCACGGCGGGTGTGACCGGTCGACAGGGGATGCTTACTCCTCCTAGGCTCCCGATCCCTCCTCTGGAATTTCCAGAAGTCCCTGTTTTATGCCCTATTTCATTACTCCAGTAACATCTGACCACTCCTTAAGTATCGATTTTAGAAATCTGACTTACTTTTGCTTACTGAATCTGAATACTTTTAAGCGTATCAAATTTTATTCTATATTTTTTATGTGTCTTAAACTTGTGTTCATACACAAAGACTTAGCACTCTAAACAAATATCTACTCAAGCATAGTTACTTTTATCAGTTTTGTTCATGCAGTCATGGAGTTTTTGTAGATAAACATACTCAAGATTTTTTTCCTGTCTTTTGCTCGTTGTTTGTAAATTATATACAGTGATAAAATTAACTGATGATATATTTAAACCAAAATTTATTTTCGTTTATTTCAAGTTTTGATTGAACATACCTTTTCATTTGAGAATCAGAGGCACTTGTTCACATAGTGCTTATTATCAGATATACCCGGGAGTCTTTCATTGATTGCATAACTCATAACGGATAAAAGTACATATAAAGCTGCGCATCATATACAGTGTATTTAGAAACCACATTCTGAACGAGCTTTGACTTACTCTTTTTTATTTGGAATGATTCTTTTTTTCTTTTACCTTCAAGTTCATATTTTTGATTCTCACTCGCACTCCATTTTGGATAGATATTTTGGTTAGTGCTATTTTTCTCGTACATTATTTTTCATACAAGTGGCGAACTTTATTCTTAATTTTCCATTTAAAGGATTTCTGCTAAATGAAAATATTTTATCTCATTGTATTTTCGTTTTAATTTTCCATATTCAATTCAATACTATTGATACTTTTTAATTTCGTAACACGTAATTCCAGGTAACTCTTGTCTGAACGATTCCTCCAAAGAAGAACTGTATTCGTGTTTTCGAGATAATTACTTCTTAGAAAGTAATGGTATCGCTACATTTAATGAAACTGGTAACAATTCGGTAAAAGACGGATTGGAGTTCCTTGGGAAAGCAATTGAAGCTGTAAAATGGAACCACGCAACTCTTCTGTTCCCGGACGACAAAGGTGAGTTTTTATAGAGTTACCTGATTACTAATTACTCTGTAAAACTCGATTGTAGAGAAATCCTGGGGACCTGTGAATTTACTTAGCTTTATCCGTAATTCGTTATAGCCGTATAATGCGTTAAATATATATTGTGAATTTGGAATACCGAATATGATTAGAGAAAGTGTTAAAAAGAAAACTTACCTTGGAGAACTAAAAAAATAAATAAATTTAAAATATAAATACTTAAAGAAAATAATGTGAAATTAGCATTCTGAATTTTGAGATTTATAAAAATAAAGATGTAAATTTCCTTATTTTTAACCTCTCCGGGACACTAAATCTATATCCGTATAAATTCGTTATATCAGAGTTTCTTATAACCTTAAAAATTTGCAAGGAACTGTTTACAACTACATGTATGCCGGGGATGCCAAAAACTTTACGATGTCCGTAAATTCTCTATCTATTCTTTTTCGTACCAAACGAGTTTTACACGACAGGTTCCGTCTCTTTCTGACTATCCGTCTGTCCGTCACTTTTGTTTTTACCTGGATTTTTTTTTTCGGGGGGGGGGGGGCAAATACAACCACTTTTAAGTAGAATTTTACTGATTAAAAGTCAATGAAAACTCTTTTTTAGGGGATATTTTGAAGAAATAAGGTATTATTTTAAAACATTAATCGGGATATAGAAAAAGTTGGTCACATGATCACATCCCATGAAACCCGAAGGACATTTGTGACTGGTTTAAAACAAATATTTGTTATATATTATAATTCAAAGCCCATGAAATAATTTTTCAAACCTCAATGGTATTTTTTTAATTAAATACTTTTAACACGTTGCCCACTTATGACGTCACTGTAAAAATACGTCGACCGTCTATGACATTACAATCATTTATAGTCATGTGACGTATCTGATTTATACAGTGATATATACGGATTGCTCAAATAGTGTTATATAAGAGAAAACATTTGCAAAAGTATATTTGATTTTAACTCCGATGTTATGAATTCACTTTTGGTATACTGCCGTGCATAGCAGAATATTACAAATTTTTCAATACCTTGGACTTTCAGTAGGCGGCGGGTGCTTGTATTACGTCACACCAATCAGTCAAACAGTGACATAGACTGCATATTTCACTTCAGAACATGCGTTAGCTTAGCAGAGGTAAATTTTACCGAGTTTATTTGATTCAAACATTGTTTCCTACGATCAAAAGGCTGAGCTATTGGTAGAAATGTTCTACTTAATTTGTTAGGACTGGTATGTACATATTAATGCATTGTTTTACAATGTTTGTTTTTCTTTCTTTATAGTGTTTCACGGTGCTGTCTTATCACGAAAAGTTAAAAACATAAAATTGCAGCGAAATTTTTTTGAATTGACGCTCATATCATATTATAAATGTGAGATTTTATGACATTTCTATTTAGCTCCCATAGCATACATCATTGCCGATTTGTTGGGGGACTTGTATGTGCAGACGTCACATCGTACGATAGACCCGACCGAGGAATTCATAGAATCACTATGGCAACACAGAGATCCAACTGTACATGCCGTTGTCATTGGAAACCGCTCCTTTACTGGAGCTGTGCTGGAAAAGGTAGTTTGTCCCCTTTAAATCCATTATTTGGAAGGACATGCATTAAGTCAGCAGTGATTTAAGGTAAACATGTAAAAGATCTAAAGAAATACATGACTGCATGTGCATTGTTGACACACTGGGTTGGCACAATTACATGCTAACAATGAGCAACGTTTAAGAATCCTCTTCACCCCGTGACTTTTGATGTAAAATTAGTTCCGATTTTGTATAGTTTGAGCATTGAAAACTTGTCTGGGACCGTTTTGGGGCTCTCTATATACACAGTCTTGCAAACGCTCAAGAGATGGTTTGTCACTGGAAAATTATCACAGCAACATCCTAGCGTAAACGATGTTAGTAAAGATAACGCAAACAGAGGTCTGAGAGGGTGACCGAGAAAAAATTAAAGGAGTCGGTTTCTTTTAATCAAATCAAAGCACCTTTGAGTTTTGTAGAATAATATTTCCTATGTAACAGGCATACATCGGAGAAAACGGGTTTGCTTATTAATATTCATCACGCTAATCAATCCAATTATCGTAAAAAAAATCTGCTACGAAAGTTTTTTTTTTTTTTTTTTTTTTTTTGCATACTGGATATTCATTCTCTCACAAGAGGGTGCAATACGCAAGCTTCTTTTACCCTTTTAAGTGAAACTTGGGTAGCGCGCCCTCTGGTGAGAGAAAGCAGAATAAACTGATCTAATGTGCGTTTAGAAATATTGTTAATTAGTGCGCATTTTTAGTTATCATGTGCTCATTAACATCCGTGGAGTTCGATCGGTTGTCAATAATCAATAACGAATAAGATGAGTATGATGACGCACAAATGTATATATGTGGTGCCTTTCTTCTTAGATCCGCGCCGTATGCACTCTACGTAAGTGTTTACGGTAAGACATGATAACCTTCAAAAGGAACTCTGATACCAAGGATTTTGAAATACTTTGATTTTTGGAACTATACATGTACATGTATATAGTAATTAACATTAGTGCCACTCATTTCATGCTTGTATGTTATTTTGTTGTATCATTTGCATTCATATACCCCAGTTGGGGTCTTTGTCTTAAATAAAAACTTGAAACTTGAAAATAATCTTTTTCTCATAAATAAATTTTGATTCAATTTCTTGCTTCGATGCATATCATCAATGTTTCCTCTATACTTTAAGAAGTTTTTCTTATATTTTTACCGATAGATTTTTGAGAAAATTCCTTATATCATTTTTATTCATATTTTATTAATTTTTCAAAAACGTATGATGACTGTTTAGATCAAGCAGTATATATTTTTGTGAACTTGCTACAGTTGTACCGGTAGTATATGACCGAATAAAACAAAACTTGTAGCGCTATTACTTACCAAAAATGGTGGGAAAAAAATCTTATACTTTTGAATTATTTAAAAGAGCATATATATTTTAATACCTAATCATTTTTTATGGGTGATATGCTTGTTTAGAGTGATGTTCAATAATATAGGACATAAATCATGATTCTGAATATCGAACGGACAAGTGAAGATATATGATTTCAAAGTTAGGTATTGTCCGATTCCGTGAAATAATTTTAAACTCGAAGCAAAATTATATTTATTCCATATTCATTGTACTTCATATGGTGCACTTCAATTTTTTACAGGCAACAGCCTTTGATAGGCAACCAGAGAACATTCGGAGGACTGCCCTGTATGCGATGTCGTATTGGATCGTGTTCTCTATGGAGGAGGAGTCTATAAACATAGAAAACAACACTGACTATTGCTTAAATGTATCCATGGACAATGTTTTGCTAATACAGGTAACTTTTATGAACTTGAAGTAAGAATGAGCTAAAGTTTGCTTAAACAATTGAATGCTTTCTTTGGTTGTTAGTACGGAAATTAATGTCGCAGCTGTTGCACAAAAAATATATAACCCGCGTAATCGGGTTATGTAAATTTTTTCGGCAATAGCTGCGACGTTAATTCCCGTACTAACAACCAAAGAAAGACATTTTATTGTTTATATTTATATCTGTATAAAGAATCATTTAAAGTAGGATTAAAAAGATCAATTATTGTATTATTGATATGTACGTCATAGCTATATAGTACGTTTCGTTGATGGAACAGCCACTGATCAAGAAATCTGTACAGGTGATATGCCTAGTGTTGTTCATGAACTGATAAACGGCAATGGTTTTCCTTAGAAAGAAAGGAGAAAATATTCAGTGGATGTAAATATCTTACCATAACCATATAAATTTTGTTTGTACCCACAAAGGGAAATGCCATCTTAAAACTACGTGCTTAAAAACTGCATTGATTTTCGTCTATAGAAGAAATCTGGGGAAAAAAGATATGCTTTGTTAGCCTTGATGTGGCGAGAAAACAACACGAGAGAGTTTGAGGAACTTAATATTGACTGGGATTGCTTTGGAAACATAAAACTAGATCTCTTTCCCAATGCAAAGTTTGGCTTCAACGGGAGACAACTCCTAACCACAGCTATCCAGGTGTGCAGTGAAATTTGAATAAAAATATCTTTCGTCATTTTTCTGTCTGTTCTCGAGGATCTTGTACGAGTAAAAGCAAGTTGCAAAATGTTGAGTATGTTATTGATACCAGGTTGTTGTAGTTATCAACATAATTTGACAATCAGCTCAATGAAAACCACACTATATCAAGATAAATGTATACCATGCATGTTCTGAATCGTGTTTAATTCTAAAATATAGTACAAGAGTTATGTGGAGCTTGCTGAGGAGGATGGAAACCTTGTCGTAGCAGGAGGGGTGTGTGGGGATATTATACGAATTCTCTGTAATAAACTAAATTTTACGTAAGTATATGCAACAAATATAAGTACACTATATTATTACCGTGGGGCTTTATTACGAATATAAGTAACGTATACCTCCAATGGTACACTGATCAAATTTTACAAAGCAACGAATGCATTTTATATTTTTCATTAACTCCTGTTGAAAGCATTAATGAGGGGACTCTTTTCTTTGAAGTTATCGGGTAATCCCACCAGAAGACGGGCAGTGGGGGATTCTGATGGAAGACGGGAACTGGACGGGGATGATCGGAATGCTTCACAGAAGAGTACGTCCAAGTCATATAAACACTTTCAATACCAGAAGCGATTGTGTAGCAAATACTTAAATCAGAAGTGTTATCAATTTATATCAATAAATTAATGGTTAGTTCTGTTCTATAAATCTATACATTAACAAGAATTTCAGTACATTTGTAAAGGTCAATACCCCCCCCCTCCTGAAAAGGGGGGTATATTGCTTTGCACCTGTCGTTTTGTCGGTATGACGGTCGGTCGACCCAAGTGTTGTCCGCTCAGTGTTTAAGAACCAATTGATTGACAGTCGTCAAACGCGGTACACTAGTACCCCTGAAGAGTAGATGACCCCTACTGATTTTGAGGTCACAATGTCAAAGGTCAAACTACTCCGGCTAGACATAGGAATATATTGTCCATGCATTATCTTTAGAACCATTTGCTCGACAGTCATCAAACTTAGTACACTGGTACCCCTCTGAAGAACAAATGATTTTGAGGTCACAATGTCAAGGGTCATTTGACTGCTCAATGGTCAATTGACTGCTCAATATCTTGAGAAGCCTTTGCTTGACAGACATCAAATTTGGTACACTGGTAGTTCACATAAGAGGTAAATTACTCCCAGTAATGATATTGAGGTCTGATAAAGATCAAACAGTATATTTACCCCCGACTAGTAGATGACCAATTGTATTCACTATCATTGCAGACATTCTAAATATAAACTTGTTCTCTTTTTTAATATTGCCGCAAGGGGGGGGGGGGATACATGTTTCTCAAACATTTCTTGTTTAGCAGTGTATCAATTTATAATATTGATAGAATGTATGTGTATTTGAACAATTGAATACATATCTTGGGACAATTTTAGGAGGTTGACATTGCTATGGTGCCACTAACTGTACAAGAAGATCGTAAAAAAGTGGTGGACTTCACCATCCCTTTCTTCTATTCAAATTTCGCATTCATGATGCGCATGCCCGACCCTAAGACGGTCAAATGGAGAATTTATTTGGATATGTTCTCCACGCCTGTTTTGTATGCCATTTCAACTGCTCTTATTTTGTCAAGTTTATTACTTTATGCAATGGAACGATTCAACTGGAACTGGAATGGAAGAAAACCTGAAGAAAAAAGAGACCTCGTGGATATCTTCGAGTATATTTATGGAGCACTAGTACTTCAAGGTACTTATATGTGTCTTTCAGTAATAAATTGCAAATACAAATACAACAAGCATGCATGTACAGTGTACCCTTACTTGAAATTCGATAAAACATACTTGATCGCCTTTCATTACCAGTGGTTTATATTTAATTGATACAGTTGAGCCTCGATTATCCGGCCTCTTCACCTTAAAGGCTTTGTGGGGAACAAAATTACATTGATATCTACCACTTATAAAAGCTACGCCTCATGCAGTAATCTGGACACTTCATAAATCCGGACGATTTACTTGGAAACACAAGCATCCGGATAAACGAGGCTCGATTGTCCATGTACATATATATGTAACATAAATGTACTAACAAAGAAAACACATTTCAATGTCCCTACACTGTATCTGACTACGAGTTTATAACTACAATGTAGCGGGTCACAGACTACCGTCATCTACTAGCGGACGGGTGTTCACGTGTATTTTCTGGGTGTCATGTGTGTCCCTTACCGCGGTGTACTGCGGAAGTCTTGTGGCTAGCATGGCATTGGCTCGCAGGGAGAAAATACACTTTCAAACTCTAGACGAACTGGTAGCACAATCCGAGTACAAATGGGGCTATATTGCGGGGACATACTTGGATTCCGTGCTTCGGGTATACCATTTTCTTGCAAGAACTTATAACATTAACCAGTTCTGCAAAATTTATCCAGCCATTTGGTAGAAATACATATCTGTACTTCCACGTCCATTTTTTCATGCAATCTTAACATACATGGACCGAATTTTTCCTTTTCTCAATTTTCATTTGACATACATATTTTCACAGAAATCTAATATCGGGACTTATCAGAAAATCTACAATGGAGCACAAGATTTTGCCAGGGAAGACCCAGATGTGTTATCCATTAGCGATAAGGTTCACTTCCGGAAATTGACGACGGAGAAGTACGTCTTTATCTCGCCCGTCCCTCATCTTCAAACTGTCAGTTTCTCGGACTGCCGGTCTTTGCTCTCTACAGAGCGGTTTGTGGAGGATAACAGCGCGTTTGGTGTTCCAGAGGATTCGCCTTTCAAAGAGATATTTTCTCTGAAGTAAGTTTGAAAAAAAAATCAATCATACTTCGTTATTAAGAATTTTATTTCAAGTTGCTAATTAATCTGGGAAATAACGTTTCTTTAAAATGTCATTCTTTGTAAATGTGGAGAGAGTGTGACTTATCAGCGCACCTGTTACTATAAGTAAGCAAGGTTCTGGAGGAGACAACTCCCACTATATATAAGGTCAGGCAATACGATCCTCAAAATATATAACTTTTCCAAAGAATTTGCTATTGAAATATTGCTACTTTAAGAAGTTTCCTCACAAAAAATGGGGTACATTACTAGACATTTGTGCAAGATTCCGGAGGATGGCATTTCCTATATATACAGTGTAATCCTATACTGGAAATCACTTGAACTGCTGATGCACGATATTTGGTTTTACGTATTTTTCACACATTTTAAAAATACTTTAGAAATCAGTATTTAAAAAGGAATGCAAAAATAGATATTCGAGGATTGTGTCGTCAGATCTAACAGAAAATCCATGCTGTCAGTCATCTCCCCAAATAGGTGGCAGGCCTGTAGTACGCGCGGCGAAGCCCCCCTCCTCTTTTGGAGAGTACTCGGAAAAACATTTCTATGAGCCTGTGTGGGAATATTGTTGTGTTGGTTTATATCAAAAAGATTTCCTTCTTCATACAAAAGTTTTTTTTAATTAATACTGAATTTAATTTCTAACTGGTCTATCATATTTTACAGACTAGCTCAATTACAGGACAGTGGGATATTGGGAAGTATTCATCAGAAATATAAGCTTCAGAATAACTGTAGTGACGTCAGTCAGTTACTAAGTCAACACACAATCAAACCAGACGACGTACAGACAGCCTTCTTCATTCTGATAGCAGGGATTCTTATTGCTAGTGCTGTGTTGTGCTGTGAATGTGCTCTGTCCTGGTGTAGGATGACAGTCACATCGAGAAACAACTCATTATAACGAATTTCAAGATTTTGTAAATAATGATTAAAACAAGTCAATGTCTGTTTCAGTTTTTGATTTTTTATGCCCCCGGATCAAAAAATCCCGGGAGTATATTGTTTTTGTGCTATCTGTCTGTCTGTTGTCAACTTTAACCTAGCCAATAACTATTGCGCTGTCAAGGGTTAGGCTTTAAAATATTTGACAAGAGTGTTCATTATGACAAGACCTTTCCATTGGTACAGAAATTTTTGATCATGTGACCTCAACTGTGACCTTTGACTTACATTTGAAAAACTTTAACATTGGCCATAACTATTGCACTGTAGTCTACGTCCCACTCCAGAACTGTGTTACCATCGGGGGCATAGTGTTTCACAAACACATTTTGTTCTTTATGTCATTTCTTTTGTCAAGTATGCATGATTGAGAGAGTATCCATATTTTTGAGAAATATTCAGTAAAACACTAAATAGGTGATCTGTCTTTTGCACCAAAATACCAGTACTTTATCACTGCATACAATCTCATACAGAATTGACAAGACTGATAACTATTTTATGTGTAATACTCCTATAAAATTGTTTGAATGTAGCATGAAGGTTATTTTACAATTGGTGATACATGTACTCGGAGTACCACAGTTTTGAGAATAAAAAACTGATTGCAGCTAAAAGCTATTAAACTGTAGAAATAAAAGTTTTCGGTTTTTATTTAGCTTAAGCTCACTGTATAAGACTAATCTGGACAATAATAAACCCATAATACAGGGCTAATCTCTAGTCAAAACAGTTTCTCTTGTACATCTAGAGGTATTCTTTACCATTAGCATGTCACATTGTGACATTTTAGTTATTTTCACCAACAGAATTGTAAAATTTTCAATAGAGTAATACATTTCATAAACATACAATATTTGATGAATTATGAAGCTCATAAAGATGTATCCTACCTAACATCTCTCATTTTTTAACAAGATATACATGTACATGTATGTATTACAATCTTAACAATATGTACATTCTTAGTTATGAAAAGAAACATCTTATGGAATTAATGAGTCTGAAAATGTTTTGACAAAAAATGAAAATCTGCGATGATTTCCTCCTAGTTCCTGGCCTTAGTTCCTGGCAAGGCCAGATACATCTATCTCAGACTGGCATGGGGAGATTTTCTACTTCATTTTTACACTCCTCAAACAGTTCTTTGTAATCCTCATTAGGTTTCACAATCAGCAGACTCATAGATCTTCTGTTTCCACAGGCAGCACCAAGATCCTGAAATATTAAGTGTATAATTATATTTACTTAACATGTATATTATTACACATGTACATAAGAGCTAAAAACATACACGTCTCATTTCTCATTAACAAAATTCTCATTTAAAACTTAATGTATTCAAGGATGTCAAATGATGTTATTATAATACACAATTTATAAAACAGCTGTAAAAATATGAACAATGCCTGAAATCTATTGTGTATTGCTATGGGAAGGGAATATTCTATCATACATCTACATCGATGCAACTTTATAGAAGGCATCTCCTTACAGGAAAATACAGAAATACTGTTTTAGATAGAACATGGTAATATGGGATTTGGTTTTTATAAAGACCTACTGTTTTAGATGGAACATAACAGTATGGGATCTGGTTTTCCTCACAAAGAATAGGAATATGTGAGATAACATCTATTGGAGAAACATCACCAGCCAGAATCATTATCCTGAAAAAATAAAAACATTTTATCAAAGTACTGGTAGTTTTATATTGCAGTTAGAATGTACATGTACATTAGTCTGACATTACACAGTAAAAATTACTCATCCTACTCTAAACAATTTCTTCCTCAAAAAACATATTTTTTTTTATTATTATTATTATTATTTTCCAAATGAACTTAAGGGGAAGAAGGACCTTGAGCTGAAAAAATACATGTCATTCAATTTTTTTCATATTTTGTATATTTCGAATTAAGTATGTCCCACATATCTTAAAGCACTTATATCATTAGGTTTCTTACCTTATTTTAGAGATATTGATTGACAAATACTATGCCCTACAGTATCTAAGTGGAGTTTTAATTCTCCATGTTTCCGGGCGCATTACTCTGTTCATAATGGGGTTTTTTAAGCATAGATAAAAAATATGTAAGCGTATATGTATCTTTTAAAATATTTCAGAGTATGAATAGGGTTTTTCAAAAAGGCAAGTTTCTTCTATCAAACTGCATCTGGATAGGGAAAATTACGTACTTTTTAAGACAACTTAAACAACAAAAAACTTAATTTGCAAAAAATTCTATAATTCAATATTTTTAAATTTACGTTGAAGTGCAAGTACTTCATATTATTGATGAACTTTAAAAATTTCAAATGGTGAAGCTGACCTTAATATTGCACAGGACATAGTTAAAGAAGACATAAGCATGACAAAACCGTGTCATGTTTACATTTCTCGAGTACGGGAAAAACCAACTATGACGTCACACGTAAGCTAAATAAGCGAAATAAGATATACCTACATAAGATTTCCGTCATCAGCAATGCAAAAATAATTTTTGTGTTCCCCTTTTCTCAAAATATTTCACCATATACTGATTATGACCTGTTTTTCCATTATAATACTGCCTCTGTATTCACCGAGTATGATCTTGCTGTACTAACAGATCGTGTATGACGTCACCGACTTGTTGGACGCGCAGTGTAGGGAAACAGAGGAGTGGATCAAACAATGTCATAATTTGTTAATGTTTACAAGAATGTTAAAACTTTTCATTTTTTTTTTTTATATAAGATGGTAGTTAAAGTAAACAAATTGTCAAAAATTTATACAAGAACTGATAGTTTACACGTTTTGCACTAATATAAACAGAGACTATGACATAGTTAAACATAGTCATGTGACCATGTGTCCTTCATCCCCTTAACATGAATAAATAATTCACATTTACAAAAATGCAATAACATCCTTTAAGTTTGTAACTTTTTAAAAAGTGAATTGCTTTAAAGGGGCCTGGAAACATTTGCATAGCCATTTTGATTACAATATTATATTTCTATTTTTATTAAAAAAAAAGTCAAGTTTCATGAATTGAACTTGCATGCATATTCTTAAAATTCAGTAACAATGACATTTTTCATAACTTAGCCAATTTAGGTCAAATAACTGGGCTGTAAACATAATCACAAGCTCTGTTATTGTTAATTTTATGTTTTACTGGGTGTGCTCAATTTGTCTACTCATCACACATCATTGAACACTAACTGACAAAGCTGGTAAGTTTGTTCTTCTTTCTATCATTCCTACTCTGAGTTTTCTGGATTATAGTTTCAATATTTTTCGTCGCCCGCGTGGTGCAGTGGTTAGAGCGTCTGCTCTAGAGTCGCGAAGTAAGGAGTTGATCCTTACGTCGCGGGTTCGAAACCCACTGTGGGACGTGGAGACTGGTCCTTCGGATGAGACCGTATAAACCAAGGTCCCGTGTCGCAGTGGGTGCTGGCACGAAAAAGATCCCTCACTGCTCAATGGCCGTAAGTGCCGAGTATAGGACAAAATTTGCAGCTTTCCACCGGCAAGTGGTGGCGTCTCCAAATGAGTGAAAAATTCTCGAGAGGGATGTTAAACAAAATACAATCAATCACTCAATATTTTTCATTGATACACAAAAAATTTTCCACTTTTCTTAAAGAGTAAGAATATAGTATACTTCATGGAAGTGCAAGTATGTGTGTCAATCACACATTCTGAAATTTGTAGTTTTAAATTTATTTTTCAGATAAAAGAAGTTTCAAAAATATAAACTTCAAACCTGTTTCAAAGCCCCTTAAATCCATAACTTTTCATGGAAACAATCAATACCATTTATATTGACATAAGTCTTAGTCAAGTGCACCCCCCCCCCCCCCCCCCCCCAAATAAAGATATAGTAATGTTTACATACCCATTATGATCTCCTTTTCGAATACTTTTCTGTACAAATTTTATTCCAGACACAATGTTCTTCTTTGACTGGGCTGTAATTACAATTTCAATGAAACAATCACAAACATATATCAACAAAAGGTTTTTGGTCACATTGGGGAAAGGTATGAACAAATTTACACTGTACATAGTAAGAGACTCTTTCTGTTTTCCCACTATAATATTACTAACTTTATGGGGCAGAGTCTTACAGATTAAATCTGTATATATAAGTTCATTATGTTGATTGTAATGCCCCATACCATGTCAATACAGGAACAGTATTAAAAAAGTCCAAAAGCGTTTGAAGGTTTAAGATATTTACAGGTAAGTTAGAAAGGATATAGAGAGAGAAATGAGTGTTACGCCAACAAAGAGGGATAACTTTTAAGAATGTGAAAGTCGTCTATTTGTAGCGTGTAGATTAAAAAAAATTGCATAAAATATTAATAGCAAACGGCGCTTTGCGCCGCTCGTTACTATGAGCCATTAAAGCAACGCTTGGGCGAAGTGAAAATTTGGACTTTGCACATTGATCTAAGCAATTTTTTTCCGCAGTTACCTCGAGACCCACAATGCAACGCTTGTTGTTCTCGCTGCTAACTTCGTTCTTGCGGTAACAACAGCTAAAAATTCACAAAATTAAAAAAATAAACTCATCTTAATTTAATGGATATTGCATACAGATACTAGATTAAACGTTCCTTGTTAAAATTTTGCACTTTTAAAACTTCTTTCATGGAAGTGCAGCTAACATACAACGTTATGTGACGTCACAGTCTAGACGTTCCAAATGTCTCGTGCGGTTTGAAGAGGCGGATCTAAATTTAAAACTGAATACATGTATCTGCGCTCACCCAAACGGTCGCACCGTCAACATATTAAAGATTTTTTCTTTGTATCCTCAAATATATCTTCACATTTTTCTGGACAAGATTCTAGCCTTGAGGGTGGGATGGGGGTTGGGGTGGTGGTTATGGTCGGAAACTTTACATACATGAGAAACTATGTAATAAGAGTCTTTTTACACATATCAATAGGTATACATATTTATAAACAGAGACCCAAGTTACTAAAATCTATGAATAAATTTTAAAAAGTGGAGGCAGCTGATAAATGTTTTCAAAATATTATAAATATAATAAACATGCACCTTTTCTGATTACTTTGTAAAGTCTTTTGGTGAGTTTTCTAGGGGCAAGTGGTTTCGATATCGGACTCAGATACTTTGTTTTTTCTAGCCACGCCTCTTTACCATCCTTTTCTTCTACTTCTTCGCCACCCTCAGATTTTCTTTTCTCTTTTTTCTCTTTTCCCATTTTCCCCCCCACACGTGTTTACAATAAATCTACGTCAGAAGTGAGCTACGATTGCTTGACTTTACTCTCTTTCGTAAAAAACGTTTTTCTCATGCAGACCAAGTACAGCTTTTGACAGGTTGTACTTACTTTTAATGTATTAAATAAATCTCATTTTTCCTGTTTTTTTCCGCTTCATGCTACTTAAGAACAATATGGAATTTTATAACTATATTAAGATAATTGTTATTCGATGTAAATATACATGCATACCAACATAACTATGAGTATAATCTCTTTTATCTTATCCGAATATTTTTATGTAAGACTAATCAAATCAAGATGGCCGTCAATATCTATATGAATAATTTTAAATTATTTTTCATTTAGTTTAACTCTTTAAAAAACAGATTATAAAGAATTCAATCTACAAATCGTCTAATATATTCATTATTTTGGGTAAAATTGTATTTTTTAAAATTATTTTATCCTGTTATCTATATTGTTGGAACTGTTTTTCTGCTTGAATGTATCGATATAACCACAGGAGTTAGCAATTTTATAACTATAAGTGAATAATCTTTTTTTCGGGACAAACACACTCCATATTAAGTAACATTATAATCAGAAAGGTTTACATAAACTTTATTTGTAGGAAACAAATTTGGACTAAAATTTAACCAGAATCAGAATCTCTAGAGCTAAACTTGTAAATCCAATGTGTATCTTTTTTCAATGATTTAGTGTGAGATGGTGTGACCATTGGGGTGAGTGTAGTATTCATAACTGGAAACAATCAAAAATCTTTATGTAGAGTTTTAGATCTGCCTCTTTAGATTGCAAAATACAGGCTGGATAAACTCAATCTAAACTGTGTCATCACATCATTTAATTTATCTGTTAGGGGCCTAGTTGCATTTCCATAACACTAACATAGTCTTAAGTGCAAATTTTAATGAAAGTCCTCAATATATTTTTTAGTCGTCAAAGTCAATGTTGCTATCTGTTTTTGTCTGTTTGTCTGTTGTCATGCAGTTATGTGTTCAACTTCTTTTTATGGGACACTGGACCAGCTGGAGCTGGCACAGGCACCTGATGAATGGTTGGTGTAACCCCCCCCCCCCCCCCCCAGTACTTTGATAATTGATGTCAAACTGTAAAATGTTTGTGACAAAAGTCTAGGCTAGTTCCAGGTGGTCCCAAAGTAGACATAACCTGAAAAACTCATTATAAGCAGGTAACCATTAAGGCCCAAGGGTCTCTTGTTTAAGAGAAGAAAATATTAATTTTTTTTCCTTTCAGTTTTTTCCTGCAAGAACTAAATCTTGCTTGTCTAAATGTTATGCTGTATGTAAGAACAAATTGTGAAAGCCCGGTAATTCTGGGAACATGCACACAAAAAAATGTTTTACCAATTAAATGTAGAAATTTCATTACCTCTGGGTTTTTTTTATATACATTAGTCTACAGAGCTCGCTTCCTTGACTGTCCAAATTAATTATCAAAGAAATGCTGATTATTTAAATATTTTCCAGACTTCATGAAGGAAAAAGAACTGCACTTTTAAAATTGCAGCACTCCTAAAGAAAAGAGCTGTTGCGGAATTTAGCCAAGTAGTACAGGTATAGAAAGTTGAAGTGGAGTTAGCTTATGTCCAGTAGTATCCAAAAAAAAAAAAAAAAAATGATTATCATGAACATAATTACCGGTACATCTGATTGTGCTGATATTGAAGAATTTTAAGTTTGCTAGTTTTTAGCTCACCTGAACTGAAAGCTCAAATGAGCTTTTCTGACCACATTTTGTCAGTAGTCCATCTGTCCATCTGTCTGGCTACCCGTCCATCCGTCTGTAAACTTTTCACATTTTTGACTTCTTCTCCAGAACCACTGGGCCAATTTCAACCAAACTTGCCACAATGCATTCTTGAGTGAAGGGGATTCAAGTTTGTTCAATTGAAGGGCCACACTCTCATTCAAGGGGAGATGATTCAGAAATAGTAAAAATTTGGTGACATGATTTGAAAATCTTCTCAAAAACCATTGGGCTAAAAAAGTTAAAAGTAATAGGAAACCTTCTTTACATAGTGTAGATTCAGGTTTGTTCAAATGACGACACCTGGGGGTAGGGTGAGGCTACAATGGGGGATCAAAGTTTTACATTGGAATTTATAGGAAAACACTTTAAAAATCTTCTTCTCAAGAACTGCAAAGCCATGATTAGTCATATTCTCAGATTGTGTAGATTCAAATTTGTTCAATTCATGACCCCAATGGTTAGGGTGGGGTCTCAATGTGGGATCAAAGTTTTACACAGGAATATATAGTAGGGCTGAAACGATTCACAGAAATATCGATACTGTTCAATATATTTGCTCGATTCAATGTTTGTTTCACTATCTCGATTTTCGGTTCGATACGTTTTTTAAATAATCTGGTTCGGTAACTCCTTGAAATAGATCGGGTTCAACCTCATTTTAATAGTTTGACACACATGAGGGAGAAAATGGTGACGGAGAAAGTTTCAAAGCAGGCTGCTGCTGCTAGTGTTGACACGAACATTGTGCTCTTTTAATCTACAGAAGCACAAGTAGTGCTCTTTATTGTATCACCACCTTTTACTTGCCTTTTGAAATCTGAATACATGTTTTCTTTAACCTTATGATTTGTTTCTTTTTTAAAATGTATTGTATTGAAAAAATTGAATTGTGACACAAGTATCGCGATATGTATCATGTCGTGGAGTGGGTGTATTGTTTCAGCCCTAATATATAGTAAGAAGTCTTCTTCTCAAGAACAGCAAAGCATTGTTTAGTCATATTGATATGGAAGCATTCTCAGGCAATGTAGATTCCAGTTTGTTCAAATGATGACCCTTCGGAGGGGGGATAAGGTGGGGGGACAATGGGGGATCAAAGTTTTACATTGGAATTTATATGAAAAAAACTTGAAAAATCTTTTTCTCAAGAACAGCAAAGCCTTGTTTAGTCATATTGATATTGAAGCATCCTCAGGTAGTGTAGATTTAAAATTGTTCAAATCATTACCCCCAGGGGTAAGGAGGAGCCACAATGGGGGATCAAATTTTTACAAAGGAATATATATATCACTGTATATAGGAAAAAAAATCTTTAAAAATCTTCTGCTCAAGAACAGTAAAGCCATTTGTTATATTAATATGGAAGCATCCTCAGGTAGTTTAAATATCAAGTCCCCCCTCCCCCATGTAAACTTTTCAATACTGAACTGATTTGTACTTTTTCCTAGCCAGTGTGCTCAGGTGAGTGATGTGGGCCATTGGCCCCTTGTTCCATTTGAGAAATAGTGGTTATTTCTTGAAATGTTTTTGGAATGTTATGCATCACATATTTCTGAAATAGCCTAGGTGTCTATCAACATACAAGTGTACATTACAATATGCTATGCATAGTAATCATGGTAATTGGCAAATAGCTCTACAGAGCTAAAGTTAATGTTTGTAAACTGAACTGTAGGAAGAAAAACATAAATATATTTAATATCTTAGTGCATCTGGTGAAGACATCACAAGGACTAAAGCATTTGACATATATTTTTCTTATGGCAGTTTATTACTGGGATGTTTGTCTATCATATAAAAAGCAAGCTTTTCAAGATTGAGCCCATTTAGTTCCAAGGTTCCAAGTATAGAACTACATGTACCTTAAGTACATATATGCTACAGTAAGAGCTGTCAAGTTCTTAATTGTAATTCTGAGAAAAATACTGCTATGCATTCTCTAATGTCAGTATTGCATTAGTCGACTACAAAACCTAACTTTCCCATAAAGAAGTGATGCCATTTTAAACATTGGAACCCTAATTGGTGTACCATATACATATTAAATAGAGTAGAATATGTTTTTATGTGTAAACTTTTTCTTCAAGTGGATCATATTTTTTCAGTGGTTAGAAAAGATGATGTCATATGCTTGGCTCTAAAAGTTATGAAAGTCACAACCAGAATACACATATATTGATATATATATTGTTTGATAATGAGACCTCAAACTGTTTCTTTGTTATCTCATTTGCATGAAATGGACAAAAAAAAATATCATAATTGATTTTTGTATCCCAAAGACACATTAATGCATATATCTATTTCATCTAGGAAGAACCAAAGCCCATCAAGAAGCTTAAACTGGTGCAGAGACCACCAGCAAAGGAAGTTCATCTTAATTTACAAGGCGTAACAAACTCCCAGCAGGCTCTACAGCAGTTACTGAAGTTCGAGGAGAGCCTCATTGAAGGGGACCAGGTTCTTGTTAATGTGACACAGGAACTTATTGAACATTTTCAACAAGAAAAGGAGGCCATTGTCAGAAGAAAGGTAGCCCAGCTTCTTGGGAGTATTGGAATGGTGCCTCATTTTAGTGCTGAAAATCTAGTGGAGGATGTCAAGATTTTACTGAAGAGTGAAAGTAAGTTTTTAGATCGCATGAACCAAGGAGTCAAGTAAGCTTTTTTGATCAAAGCATGTCTGTGATCTTTTCACTGTCAAGAATTGAAGTAATTATATGATTTCACGTTGTGTCAGACAGGGTCCTAATTAAACAGATAGATAAGTTAGAATTTTCTGGAGAATTGTATTAGGTCACAGTAGACAAAAAGTCACTAAATACAGTGTCTGCAGTAGGTTTGACTTGAAAAATCAAAACAAACACAAGAGAGATTTTTTTTCATCTATAAAATTTTATTTTGTATCAAGTGTTAATTACCAAATTAAACACAAAGAGAATAATGCATAAATTTATTAGTAAAAGACACACTGTACATGTGCAGTAATGCAGTAATGCAGCTACCACAGTTAATCAGAAATTCACAATTTAACTTATGACTATTTCAATGTGAAATATATATTTTTTTAATTTTGTTAATGATGCCTCTTTAAATGTCTATCCAGTTTGCCCAAACTATAGTCCTTTAGGCTGTATGGTACCTCATATAAGTTTGAAAAAAAGTATATACAGGCTAAAACACCAAATGATATACATATTAGAAAAAATACTGAGCTGATTATCAAGTCTCATTTTAGCTGCAGAACTGTAGCTCTCTGCTTGAGAAAATTCCAATAGATAAAGCAGCTTTATCTGTCCAAATTTTCTCAAGAAGAGAGCTACAGTTCTGCAGCTAGTCTCATTAGGCTCTTATTCTCATTTACACCAAATGTCATATGATAAAGCAGGATACGTGTATCATTTCATGGTAAATAATTCTTATTCATTGTTGTTGATGTCTCTGTAAGATTGAAATACAGTCAAACCTCGTCATCTCAAACTTGATGGGACAGAGAAAAAACTTCGAGATATCTGATGATTCGAGATATCGAGGGTAAAATATTTAAAGACTAAGTGGCTTGGATTTCCAAATCAGTTCCACATATCCATGGTATTTGAGATATCATTGTTCAAGATACCAAAGTTCAACTGTACAGCTAAAAAGTTAACTGCGTTTTTGGAAGATCAGCTTGAATTTTGGGGGCTCGATAACCAATTGGGTATGGCCTCTCATGTCAGGTTCCTCATCAGGCGGAAGGGAAACATGGAATTTATTTACAGTATTGCAGAGAAATGAAAACAAACAAGCCCTGGCTATTTGACTTCCAATGCAAGGCCGACGGCCATATCCATAGATGATAAAGCCTGGAATGTTTGGTGAATGTAGATTTTTAAGCTCAAGAAATCGTTCTGGTTGAAATTCATGTGGCTGGGACCAATATTTTTCATTGTGATTTATGCTCCAAAAGTTTGGAAAAACTGTCGTACCTAGTTAAAAAAAAAACAACACAAAAATGCTACATTAATTGTAGTATTTAGTAATACATAAATTAAAACATTGATTTCTTATTTTTGGATGTCATATAACAGCGCCTGGCTGTCCTGGCAAATTGGGTACCACACATTATTGCGGTATGATAATTTGTCGGCACGGACAGGTGCTATTATACGACTAATGACATTCAAAAATAAAAATTCAATACTTATTTTTACAGTATCTAATTTTCTCTCTTCATAAATATTAATTTCAATCATCTTTATTTTAAATTAAGAACCTTTCAAAACTGGTTTGGTTAAGACATGTAAGAGCCATTTTGACATGTAAAGATAAATAACACAAAGGAATATTGCAAGGGGAGAAAAAAGACAAATTAATTTTAAACATTCATTTGTTATATTTTCACAATAATTTAATAGGGTAATTGACTTTAAATAAATTGAGCCAAAGCAGTATATATTTTGGTGTTCCTAGTGTATTGAAAGTGAATGTAGTTTCTTTTTTGTATTTCCTCCACACTGGTACTGAGACAAAGTTTTGTGTGTGTTTTAGGGAGTTAAATGTTGCAGATTTCCAGTGGATTTTGTAAATAAAATTGTACTGAATGTAAATATTGTAAAATGAATGATTTTATAAATCTTTTATAAATTTAGCCACCAGAAGAAAGTTTTTGCTGAACCATAGGGATGATTGAATTTTTATCATTGGGTTTACTGATTGATTGTATTGACCTTCTAATAGCCAATGAATTCTTATCATATAGATGCACATGGGGTAGATTTTATTTTTTATTATTTAAGTACCCATTTATATCTTTCATATTCTTTTTATACAAATTGCTCAAATTTTTCATATTGTTAATGCTAATGTGAGGACAAAACAATATTTTTCAGGTTTATACAATCAAATTTAATTTCTACAATACCAATGCATGTTTATCTATTGACTTTATTTTATATAGATGATGATTCTTTAATTATTTTTTTTTGGGGGGGGGGGGGGGGTATGAAATTTTCCTTTATCAATTTTTAATGGGGCAGAACTCTGCAAGCAGGAATTGGAATTGAAAAATGAATTTATCATATGGATAGATTTATAAGAGTGTACAAGTGTTAACCTTTAGGGATGGTGAATCCATTAACATGGATATCGGCAGAGGCGGTTCTGGGAATTCCAAAATAAGATGTGCTGACAAATCGCATGGTCTCCTTGTAAAAGGCAGCTGCAAACAAAAAACAAAGTTTTACAACAAATTGTATTAATAATGGAATATCTAGGGTTGATAAAAATGTTTTCTCATTGAATCATCAGTATTTAAAAGCTCCAAATTTTCATATACAAGGAGTACCCTTATCTATTGTAAATAATGCCTGAAAATTTTATTATTTTGAATACATGTACATATGTACATGTATTATATGAAGTAGAGAAATGCTTGGTAATGCATTACATAAGTAATGTCACATAAACATCCTTACAAGATAAGCTGTTACAAGTATCTAAGTGATAGGAAATATGCCTCACAAGGTCTTTGCACAGTAAAAAGGACTGAGATTGCAAGGTCCGCATTTGCGCAATAAGACCAAGGGTAGGCATATTTCTTGATATTCAGTCAAAAACCTTTTTATTACATATTTTAATGTTCATATTTTTTTTTTAAATTCATATGAACAAAGTCTTTCTGGAGTTTTTTGTTGTAAATCCTTACAACATTAGTAATGACACTTAATGTAAAAAATTCTTAAAAGTGATGTCTCAAACACCTAAGTACATGTATTGATAAAAAGAAGTCCACAGACATTAACAGTGTGGGTTGATATGGCTCTGTAAAAGCCCAGATCTTTCTATACAATATATTGATAAATGTATGCATCATCCCTTGGCACCTTTAGTTGCTGCCCCCCCCCCCCCCCCCCAAAAAAAAAAGAAAGAAATGTTATCATAGAATCTGAATATTGAAAAGAAAATTACAATTACAGGTTAACATTTTTTTTTAAATTATGACCTACAGAATATCAAATTTGGAAATATTATAAAGTAAAGAAGCAAAATCTTTCATCATACTATTTTAGTAACTCATTGGAAATTAGAATCATTATAGTACTCAAAGTTCTGTAAGCTGGGCTCATTACGTAAGATAATAAAAATTAAAGGATTTAGTGACATCTAAAATAAAAAAAAACAAAAAAAAAACAAAAATCCATTGGAAAATGAGATGTGTTTGTGAAACACAGCACATTTTAGATCAGAGGTTGGTCTCTATGCAGAATAGTGAGAAACAGCTTAAACTTTTGGCCATTTTTGAAGAAATTTCAGGATTTAAGGATAATGATGCATTTCATGATGTCATAATACATGGACTAGCGAGAAAATTACATCATTTTTATTAGGTGTGCAGTCACCAAGGGTCCAAGCGAAATTTAATGTATTTTCAACTAAAATTGAGCAGGTTCAATTTTTTTAGAAATTTACAGGGCCAAAAAAGGCCCTAAGTGAACCTTTTTCTTTTAAAAGAAATCATTTGATGTTTATACATATGCATTACTACTTACATCCATTATTTTTGTAATATACCTCATATGTTCTCAAACACTGTACACTTGCTTATCATCTGTAAGTAGAATCCAAACTGTTCTGTTCAACTTTTATCACATCATATTATGTTAGCAGTTTTTTGCTATTAACTGAACAGATGTTGAATTTTGTAGAATGTAATACTGTATGTGTACTTAAATTGATGCATTCAAATTTTAGTGCAGTCACCAGTATGAAGTAGTTGACAAAGATATGAATTAGCACTACTAATTTACTACTCAAATAGATAAAACAAGAATTTTATTTTTGTTTTTGAAAAATTAGTTTACACATATATTTTATGCAGTCAAGTAAAATAAAGCTTGTCCACCTGGCCAAATTTAGCCTTAGGGTACAATGTAGGTTGAAGTTGACTGTCTGTTTTAACAACTTTAATTAATAAAGCAATCATGCCAACAAAATTTAAGGCTCATTATCACCATCCAGGGTGTCATTCATCATTCGTGTAAGGAAGTTGACATCATAAGCATATACATACACACTTCACAAGTGTTATATGCTATAACTAATCCTAAGGGTTGTCTACTTTTGGTGAAATTCATGAGATATTTATTAATAAGCCACATTGTGTATCGTATAGAATCAGGATAGGGCCACGTAGTTCACTTTCGCACCATTGAGCATTAATTGACTAAAGGGTTGATGGTGCGATAATGTGATGACAATGAAGCAATGGCATATTGATGCGATGGTGCGATAGCGTTGATGCGATGGCTTGACAATGCAATGACGATTGTGTGATACAGGCACATTGGAGCAATAGTGAACATCATTTCATCATCATACCACCCTGCCATTGTCATCGCACTATCAAGTCATCATTATCTCAGTATCGCATTATTGCTTCATCATACCATTGCATCATCGTCATTGCATTGTCATGCCATCGCATCATCTTCATTGCACCACTTCATCGTCATCGCATTATCGCATCATCGCACTATCAACCCAAACTTTGATGATGCAATAGTGAACTACATGGCCCTACCAGATTCCATGGTATCAGGCTGTAATTTTAGATTCCTGAAATGAATCAAAGTTTTCAGTTTTTTAAAAATATTCTTTCTTAATAGACAGCCTAATGCTACAAATTGTCAAGGTATACGATTGGCAGATTTGTGTTATGAATAACAAATTTCATTTAATGGAATTGAATTTAAAACAAATTAAATATCACATAGAATTACCCACATGTATCAGGTGAATATACGTCCATCCACACTTGGATTGGGCTCAGTTTTGAACTCTTAAAAATGGTAGATTGGATAGCCAGACACATGAGTATGAATTGACAAAATTTCTCTATTGTATTTATTTATCATGAATTAGTGAATCATTGTCTGTACCAAAGCTGCTCAAATTTGAAGACCACTATTTAAAGTACACATACAGTAATTTGAATTATTATATAGTCAATTTATAGTCCCTGTATAATCTATACCAATGCAAAAAGTTCATAAAACTACATACTTAGTCTAGTTGGATTTGAAACTATTCACCAAAGGTTATTGAGATGCCCCAAACAACATTGTAAACGGTTTGAGCCATCTGTGTATCTGAGCTTAATTTTTTTTTTTTTGCAAGTCTATTGCTGGATATCTAAACATTTCAAAAGGAGATGATATGTCTTACACTGTGAACGGACAACATGGGAGTTATATAACTTGTAAGCTGGACATTTTTTAATCTTTCTGTGATGGAAGTTTGTTTATAAAAATGATGTTCCATGCAGCCTTTAATGTCTTAGTCATTCAAATATGGACTGTATAATAAAACAATTATGGACTCCTTTGGTGGTTTAATATGGTTTGATATTCCCCAGAAAAATATCAATTTTGACCTCAGCTTTGCTTTAGTCAATATTGATATTTTTCTGGTGAATATCAAAACATATTAACCATGCACCTAAAGAGTCCATTATTGTATAAGATGCTTTTAGGAAAAATGTATGAGTGAAAAATGTGTGCAAACTAATAGAAATTAGCAATCTTAAAAATCTGATGGAAAATTATGGTGTAGAGTTGTTATTCTATATGTCATTGCCTTGCCAGTGAGATCAAATCATCAGTTTGTGTAACGTCATGTGATAGTCACTCATTTTGATACAAAACTGCATAGTAATTTATAAGGTAAAAATAGGAGTAAATATAGAAAATTGGACACAGACCATTGTTGTGAGATTTGAAGTCCATACAGTGCTGAGAGTCTGATGACTAGATAAGGAGCAGAAAGATTTCATTGTCATATACAGCTGTATAGGTCAGAAATATTGGGCATTTTAAAGTAGCTTAATTTACATGTATTTATTTAAAAAAAAAACTGTCAAGACTTGGAAGAAATCGAATATCACCTGGGTATATTCTTAAATGAATATAGACACAATTTCAATTTCAGGCTTTGTCTTGAAAATTCTTTTATCTACGACTTACTTGTATATGGGAATTTTTGTTTGTTGTGAAATTGTACGAAGTCGGTTGGTACTATGTCATTATTTCGCAGCTCTCTCAGTATTTTCTCTTGGCAGTCCTGATGCTTTGCTGTGTACAGCAGTAACCATAGTAAGTTGGATGACAGAGTTTGTTCCCCTACAAAACAAGTCAGTATTTATAAACATGGTAAAGCTAGCATGCTAGCTCGCTTAATTATCTGAAAATGCCAGTCTTTGTACCTTCGACTTGGAGCAGCATTATTGGCCCTTGTTGTAGTGTGCGATTAACAGTAAAACATGGTTACAGCAAGCATGCTTATGATGGATTCACACTTACAACAAAATGATTTTCATTCCCTGTATAGTTTTTAAAAGTATTATGAACATGTCTGATATAAGAAATTATATTAATGACGAATTAAATTGTTCAACTCTGGCACAAATCCTAGGTCTTAAAAGAATACATCCCCTTCATTTCAAAATAAGTATTTGCTCCAATCTAATTCTTTCTAAGTGCCCTGTGCACTTAATAGAACATATTATATAGTTATACCAGAAATGTTCATGTTTGAAGTGAGAAAGTAATTTATACCTCCAACAATCAATGTAAATATGGACATCAGAAAATTTTGGGGTAGAAGGAATTCTTTCCTTTGTTTTTGTCGGAATTTCATACTGTCATGTTCATCTTCCTCCAATTCCTTTATTATCATATCCATAATGTCTAGTGCATGGCCATCGAAATTTCTTTTGTGGCTTTCAAATTCATCATTTAGAAATCTTTCTTTAGCCTGTATGAAGTAAATATGTGTAATAAGAAATAAAAATTTATTTTTATTAAAATTAAATGAAATAAGTAATTTTGAAGGTGCATTTGAGATAAGTCAGTTATCAGGGGTTGAAATTTTCCTGGAAAACCCACTAGCCCAGGGGCTATTGATCAGTAAAAAATTACTAGCCCAAACCTCAAACTAACTAGCCCAACAATTTTTATACAAAATGAAAACATAACAAATTAAAGTTTCAAACGCTTTGGTGACAGAAACAAATTAAATTAGTTCTTAGTCAAAAGAAATCCATCTACATAGAAAAGCAAAAGTACACTGACAAGATTTTTTTCTGTTCTGCTAGTCCGACGGACTATCATTACATTTAAATTAGCTATCCCGAGTCTTAAAATGACTAGCCCCGGGCGTCGGGCTACTGTATATTTCAACCCCTGAGTTATGCTATATTTCATGTACCTTTTTTAAGTTCCTGTAATTTGGATAAAATGGCAGACTGATATACTGTAAACCAGGGATTAGATTGATGAGGTTCACGGGTTGGAGACCCTTCATTGTCTCCTCATTTAACCAAAGAATGAGCTGCAGTTTAGGGTCATCCGCTGAGGCATATTCGTGTCCAAAAATAAACCTGCCCATGGTCATCAAAACAGCTGTACGAATTTCTGTCTCTGGTAAAATAGGCTCACCCTTTTTACCTTCAAGTCTGCAATGAAAAACGGACAAGTCACTTAACATTTACATAATTGCAAATAAGCTAGATTACAACAAAATAAATGAACAAATGTTCAGTATAGTACAATGAATATATGCTATAGACAGTTGTTTTTTATTGAAATCTTACTTAAGCAATTTCTGCAACAGCCTGATTTTTTTCATAGATATATACCGGTATACATGTATTGAGGTATTGTATAAACTCCATTTGAAGTACATGTCTTATTCATGATTTACTATTTATGCAGAGTAATTCTGACTGTTCACTAAAACTCTTTCTGTGATGTGTGTACTACAGTACTGTATGTAGATGATAGAAAGTATATCAAAGGTACATTTTGAATAAGTGTTCCTCAGAATTCTGTAAAATATTGTCCAGCTGAGTTTGTATCAGTTTACTGATGCTACTGTAGATTATTCTGGTGTGGAGCTTCCATGTGAAATCATAGGGTCGAGAACCGATACCATGGCCTTCCTTAGATAATACATCAAAGAATGGTAATCGTGGTCTGTCTGCCAAATACTCCGAGCTAAGCAACTGAAAGTAATCAAGTCTTAGTTAATCCAAATTGTAATATCTGTTTATTTATTTTTGAGCTGAAGGTTGACATATTACATGTAAAGATTGATTGATTGTATGTTGATTTATGTCCCATTGGAGAATTTTTCACTCATATAGAGATGTCACAATATATATGTTCCGTCAAGCGCTTCAAATTTAGACCTTTACACGGCACTCAGGGCCATTGAGCAGTGAGGGTTCTTTATCATGCCAATGCCTACCATGAGACGTGGTCTAGGTTTTTAAGGTCTCATCCGAAAGTCCCGCAACTTTCACTTCAAAGTGCTGAGCATTTGGTGAAGGAACAGTTGCTACTTACATGTAAAGAAAATTTGCTGTGAAATAAATATCTATACTACAACTATATAAAGCTTGTAAAAAGAAAATGTTGAATTACTTTTTGAAAAAGCTTGTAATCATGCTACAAATGAAGACCAATGAAGACCATTGCTACTTTGCAATATTTTTTGTCTAGTAAAAAATTACCTCCTTGAATAACTGATGGGCTTCAAATCAGTATTTGTATGATAATACACTTGTGAAGCTTTAACTTGAGTAAATTTTTAAATGCATTCAGCAAGGATTGTCTTTTTTTTTTTTTAACCTTATCCTGGTTTTCTCCCAATGAACTTGTACCTAATTCACTGGATTTTTCACATTTTTTCTGTCACATTTTTCATGTTTATCTGAGGGTAGCTATAGCTGTACAGGCTTCTGATTGGCTGAGGAAATTCACATATTCTTTTGTGTATGTGGATATCATATTTTAATTGCCATTCTTGCCTTTATTACAGGTATTTGGGGAATGTACCTGTATGTACTATTATAACAGACTGGCACAGGTCAGGCTTGGGATAATGCTAAATGTAATGGGAATACATGGTAAACTAATTCCAATGTACAGTAATCAAAATTACATTGTGAATAGAGTGCCAATAAAATATACAATATTCCTAGTTATGTAGCAATTCAATTTATGGATCTTTTTGTGAAGTTCTAAAAATACAAATTAATCCCTGTAGATCCCTTTACATGCGATAATTTTTAGACCAAATACTGTACAAGAGCCGTGAAAATATAGGAATAGTATAATAAGTGAAAATACTGTACACTGCTCATCAAACATATGCTAAAAATATTGTACAAAATATTGACCAAAAAATCTATATAAAAGGATCATTTTTATAATTACCTAAAATTTCAAATCAACAAGCGACTATTGCAGCTTTTAGAATTTCATATTCACAGCAATCCCCATCATGTACAATGTTGAATTTTGTAAAAAAAAAAAAAAAAAAAAAAAAAGACTGTCCATAGAAAAGAATGCCATGCAAATCTCTATCTTCAGTAATCTGCATTTTCTTCATGATACAGAAGCCTCTTACTCTGTGTTAGAATGGAGTCAACAATACTTGTTGTTAAGCAGAGCAAATAAGCTATGGATTAAATTTCATTTTGTTGCACTGATTTGTATCATTTTCTCTTTGAAATGTCTTAATTGTAACATATTAAGTTATAATTGAAAAACCCTTCATAAGAATTCAACCTAATAGAAGCTTGGTTATATTTTAACTTCAACATAATCATTGTGCAGATGAAGATATCTTGATTTCAGTATGAATATTTGAGTATCCTTGGCCTACTTTGAGTGCTTTTAACGTAGGTCGCGGGTTTGCTGACGTCATTAAAACTGGGTACGCAATTTATATGATTTGGGCGACTTTCTTGTGCACATTTGATTATGACGTCACAATGAAAAAGAAACCTGCGATGATTTTTGTTTTATTATTAAATTCTTCAGTATATCATTATTTAGCTATAACTTTTCTTGGAATTGGTAGTTTAGTGTTATATTATTTAAGCACCATCTTATCACAAATAATGAAGGCTTTTAACGATTTGTATTGTCGATACAATACTTAGATCTATCTTTTGTTGGAATTGGTAATTTAGTGAAGAAGGCTTATTACAATTCGAATGATCGACACTGGAAGTATTAAAAAACGTTTAATTATTTGTTATCAATCTCATCTTCTCGGGCCTTTCCTGCAAGCTTAAAAAAACAAGTGGTTGTTTTTCGGCTTGTCGGAAAGGCCCGAGAAATTGCAATTGATTTGTTTTCACTTGGTATCGCGAAACGATATGGACACAAGGTTCAACTGACCTTTTTTTCCTTTGATCGTATTTGAATTAACAGGGTTTTTTAAATTAATAAAGAAGCCATTATTTAATAAAAATTGCAATTAAATACATCTGTTACATCAAAAGATTAAACTTTATTTTTAAAAAGGGCATTTTTAACTTATATAGATCTACAAATTTATCACAAATTAAATACTGCTAAGGTACGATGAAACATATAGACAATTTTTTTAGTGACACTGACCTCCTGTTAGGGGACAACTATTTGATTCTGAGGGAGAGGGGGTGGTAAATTCTACCGAGTCAGATTGTTTATTTTCATGTCGGTGAAGGACAGATTATCTATTTCCAAAAAGAAAAAAAAACAAGGACAGATTATTTATTTATTTCTTCTTCACTGAAAAAAGTCTGACAAGCAAAAAGAAAAAAATGAAAGAAAGAAAAACATCAAAGTTGAAAACTCCCATTCCGGGGGGGGGGGGGGGGGGGGGGGGATGCTAGAACTAGTCATGGACAGATTTTTTTTCTTGCCCAGTCGAGGACAGATTATTTATTTTCAACATTTTCAATGACAAATTATTTATTTCCAAAATCTGCAAGCCCCTCCCCCCACCCCTCCCCACCCATCCCCGAATGAAATGTTCGTCCCCTAAGCAACAGCTTGCAATGCTGTTACCTACAGATTTTATTCACTCTGCTTTCCATGTCAAACTAGTAGAGTTACAGTTCTAAAAAAAAACTGGCTGTTGATAAAATTAATTTTAAATTTTTGTTCCATTTACCCCTCTGGAAATGTGGTATGTAAAATAAATATTTTGTTTAAATATATACTAAAAATATATTGTACTTAGCTGGGATATATTTGGCAGAAATTCGTAGATTTGAAGGCCTTCCTAATCTAAATAAAAACATTTTATATACTTGAATTACTTAGATTAGAGGATACCGTTTTCTGCCAGCACGCTGGAAAAGAAAAATACGCAGCCAAATGTAAGGATACGTCTAATCTACTGTTGTTTTACGTCCCTTGTGAGAATTTACTAATATAAGATGTACAAAAAACCTAATCTGAAGAGAAACATGTCTAATAATCATTCCATTGATATTGAATTATTATGATACGATTCACGGGTCACTTGGAAGCAGATAGACGTTAATTTCTTTTTTATAAAAATAATTTTATCTTATTTTTCTGCACTGAATACCAGATAGATATTCACGATGTCAAGCATGACGTCGCGATATTTTATGACGTCGTTCTTAAAAAGTTACATTTTGCGATATAAAAGCAATTATCCACATTAAATAACACGAAAACTTACCCGAAGACATATTAATTTTATCACATTGATTTATTTCAAATCAATTTTTTGTTAAAATACCAAAGGGGAAACAATTTCGTCTGCACCATTTAAAAGTTATTGATATATTTGTAAACAAAATCTTGCCCCAAAAAGAGCCGAAAACGATGTTTTTCTTATATAATTCAATAGAATACCATCAAAAATGTTACGACAACAATGGCATGTTTGAGATTTAATTACACAGAAAAGGTGCAGACGAATTTTATAAAATTTTCAGAGAATGTAAAACGAAGGTATAGGATTCATATAACTAATTTTCATGGTATGTTTTCGGACACTTTAAATGGCCTGCAAACCCGCGACCTACGTTAACATGTTTAAATAGTCTTAGACTAATTATTACGGTACAATTGTATCCCCTCGCAACGAAGTTGGAACAGATATAGTATCGGTAACACACTTGTGAGCGCATGTGTGGGTGAATGGGTGCATAATGGAAGTGATGTAATTTACACTGGGATCAATGGCATTTGCTGAATTGAATATTTGTTGTCATTCTAACTTGTTTTTAGCTCTACTGGTCAGAGACTAGAAAAGCTTATGCAATAGGAAGATGTCTGTAGTCATCTTTCTGTCTGTAAACAATTTTTCAAAATGCTACCTCTCCTACAGTTTTGGTCTGATTTCAATATAATTTAGCACACAAATCGACTACACTAAGATACATATTTCAGTGCATTGATTTTTTAAAATCTCAAGTGAGCTTTTCTGATCACCTGTTGTCCGGCGTCCATCCGTCTGTTTGTAAATATTTCACATTTCAACTTCTTTTCAAGAACCACTGGGCCAATTTTAACCAAAGTTGGTACAAAACATACCTGGGTGAAGGGGATTCTAAATTGTTAAAATGAAGGACCAAGCCTCCTTCCAAGAGGAGATAATCAAGAAAAGGCAAAAATAGGGTTGGGTCATTAAAAATCTTCTTCTCAAAAACCACAGGACCAGAAAAGCTGAAACTTATGTGGAAGCTTCCTGAGGTAGTATAGATTTTAAATTCTTCAAATCATGCCCCCAGGGATAGGGTAGGGCCACAATAGTGAATCAAAGTTTTATATTGATATATATATATATATATGAAAAATCTTTTAAAAAATCATGTTCTCAAGAACCACTGGACCAGGAAAGCTGTAACTTATGTGGAAGCTTCTTAACGTAGTGTAGATTCTAGATTGTTCAAATCATGGCCCCTGGAGGTAGGGTAGGGCCACAATAGGGAATCAAAGTTTTACTTTGATATATATGAAAAATTTGGAAAAAATATGATGCAAAACAGCAGGGCGGAAGTGACTCAGGTGAGCGTTGTGGCCCATGGGTCTCTTGTTATGCCCAGCCATGAATTTGGCTGGGGCATATAGTGTAATATAGTTTACAGATATCATCTCATACCTAGTGTATTATAGGTGGAGAAATTATGAACTCTGTTGCAGGGGTTTCGGAGTTTATTTGCAAAATTTATTAATTTTTAAGTATAGAAGTGCAAACCAGTAGAGCTACAGTCTCATCAGAGACTTCTGGTTTAGTATTAGCTCACCTGAGCTGAAGGCTCAAGTGAGCTTTTCTGATCAAAAAGTGTTTGATGTTCATCTTTCTGTTTGTCTGTTTGTTATCTGTTTTGTGTTGTGTTTTTGCAAACTTATCACATTTTTGACTTCTTCAAATCATGACCCCCTGGGGTAGGGTTAGGCCATAATATGTGATCAGAGTTTTAAATAAGATTATAACTATAGGAAAAAGAATCACAACGATGCTGACAAAGAACAGAAAAGTCATAGTTACTCAGGTGAGGCCCATGGGCCTCTAGTTAAACACCTATTTCTATATAAATACACATTGTTACATGATCAAATCTATTACAAACATTGATAAATGATCAAATCTATTAGAAAGCCCTTTATGTGTTATGAGAATGACTAACCTGCATATATGGCATTTACTATCATTTCTTTGGGGCAGGGGATTTTGTAACCTTGAAACATTTATTATTTGCATTTTGTAAATCCATTAATTAGCATCAACATTTTGAATGAAGTAATGAAAAGTTAGCACATTACATACCTGTTTTGCAAGTTCAGGATCCACCACGTAAACAAATCTTTCTTGCATCCCAAGACGTAAGCTTAAGATGCCACCATACTTGGCAGCCATATTTTGGACACTCTTGTAAGGTTCTCGACCCAGCAAGTGCAATCCCCCTATAATAGGCAGGGAGAGTGGCCCAGGGGGTAGTCTTTTGAATTTGATGAGATATAGGTCATCCAATAGGGTACAGAAAAGGAGGAACAGCAGAACAAAGGAAATGACCTGTGGTAAATTTAGGGGAATTAGAGAATCTTATCCCAGCACTAAATATGGTGTAGCTGATTTTTGAAAATAATGTTTTCTGTCAAAAAAATATTTAACTTTTGATAATTCAGTATGTAAATTAAACCCTTAGATTTATGATCAATGAGACTAAATTCAAGGCACTTGATTTTATCATCAGAAATTTCTGTACTATGGAGTAGCCCGGGTATAATACATGATAAAGAAATACCGTAGTTTTTTTGTTTGTTAATTTTTTTAACCAGACAATAATATAAAAATAATGTAACACAAATATGAGTATATGATACAAGTTTATAAACCTTTATTTTTAGTCATTGAAATACAATCTTAATATCAAAATGTGAAAATTTCAACACACACCAAAATTTTATTCGGTGGATCTTCAATATATCTCTTTTAAAATCTGGTTTCATCATTTAAAGATTGATATAAGGTCTTCATTATTTTTTTTAATGAATTTTTATCTCTCTCTCCCCCCTTCCCCCCATGAAATGGTTGAGGCATTATTTCTAGTGCTGCCCCTTTCCATCTATTATTCCATCATCAGTGTCATTCCATCATAGTAAGTTTTCCTGTAGATAATGAATTGATTTTTGGTCTGCCTCTTTATATTGATGGCTTACAGATCAAGGTCAAGTTTCATATAGAGTGACCAATTTTCACAAAAGCTTTTGCCAGGGTTAGACTTTGCTTTTTTCTAATTATACACTGTTTTCGAGACAGTTTTAGCTCACCTAAACCAAAGATGAGAGCTTTTCTGATCAAAGAGTACCTGGCTTTGGTCTTAATTGATTTAAATTTGTTCAAATCATGGTACCCTTGGTAGGATTGGGCTACAATAATTGATCGAAGTTTTACACAGGAATATATAAGAAGAATTTTCAAAATTTTTAAAAAGAATAGCAAGGCGGCCATGATAAATTGTATAAATTTGTAAATAGTCTCAGATTGTGTAGATTCAAATTTGTTCAAATCAAGGTCCCAGGGGATAGGGTAGCTGCATGGATCTTATTAGGGAGTCAGAGTTAAACATGGAAATGAATAGGAATAAATCTTTAAAAACTTCTTAAGGGGATGGAAGTTTTACATTTGAATACACGTGTATGAAAAAATCTTGAAAAATATTTGTCTCAAGTACAGCAGATCCATGTTTCATTATAAATATGCAGGCATCCTCAGATCAGTGCAGAATCAAGTTTTTTCAAACCAATTGGGCCCTTGGGGGTAGTATAGCACAGCTAGGCTCTTGTTTCATATACAGGGCACCCCTTATTTTTTACCACAAGGTACATGTACCTTACTCAATTTCAGACACCCCCACTTCAAGCCAGTATTTTATTTAATTATTAATCATTTACCTATTGTAAGAAGATGTGTTCACTTCTAGAGACTTAGGTAGGTAATTTTTGAGACATAAATGAGCTGTTTACAATAAAGAGGCTAGACTTATATAAGGATGTCTGGAACAATATATTTGAAAAGAAAAAGTCCCTAGAAGTGAACAATGTCTTATTAAAGTAAGTAAATGATTAATAAATTAATAAAATACTGGCTTGAAGTGGGGGTGCCTGAAATTGAGTAAAGTACCTTGTGGTAAAACTAAGTAGGGGTTGCCCAGTATATGAAACAAGTGCCTGAGTAGAATAGGGTGAAAATAAAGGATTCACATTTTACATAGGAATATATTAGGGAAAAAAACTTTGAAAGTGTTCCTCATAAGAAAAGCAGGGCTATGATTGATGAAACTGATATGCAGAAATTCTCAGGTTGTGCAGATTTAATTTTGTTCACACAATATGGGGTGCACATTTTGCATGGGAATATAATAGGGAAAAAATCTTTTAAAAATCTTAATCTCAGCAGGGTTATGATTAACCATATTAATATTCATGCATGCATCTTAAGGTAGTGCAGATTCAGGTTTATTGAAATTATTGCCACAGGAGGTAGGATGAGGCCTCATTTACTGTTTATATTTTTTTTGTAAGAATATAGAGAGAAAATCTTTTTAAAATCTTCTCAAGAACAGCATGGTCAAGGTGAATCAAGTGAGTGTTGTAGCCCATGGGCCTCTTGTTTTTTTTTTTACTTTTTATATTTTGTGTAAGAACATTGAGAGAAAGAATAAAACTTATAAGAATCTTTTTCTCAAGAACATTACATAGTCAAGGTGAATGGGGTGAGTGTTGTAGCCCATGGGCCTCCTGTTTTTGCTGGCCAGATAATGAACTGATTTTTGGTATGTCTCTTTTTATTAATTTGGAGAACTAGTTCAAATTTCACTTTGCTTGACCCATTTTCAGGAAAGTTATTGCTCCTTGACTTCTTTGAAAATGTCTAATTACTGGTATTCACTGTTTTCCTGACATTTTTTGCTGAGCTTGAAGATAATGAGCTCATATTTGATATATTGTCTCTATATATAGTTGACTTGGAGATCAAGTTAGAGTTTCACATCCATTGACAAATTTTCAAGAATGTTATCATCCTAAGTCATTGAAAATTCCTAATTATAATTCACCGTTTTCCACACTCTTGCAGTGTTTGAAGTTGATCACCATTTTCACACAGCTGAAGTATGCTGTAGTATCGTTAACTGACTCAAGAAAATGAAAACACCAATATGATGTTCTATTTTTGTTCCATTTCCACCCTTTGTTATTTTCAAATCTTTTGACTTCAACATATATATACTTAACACTTGCATGTCAGCGGGGGCATTCATGTCACACTGACACAATTAGTTTTGTGTATTTTCAGTGAAAATGGAAAATTGTTTTGTTTGCAAATAAGATGCTTGAGATCTGTTAGTTAATGCATTATATTTTGATCTAAAAAATATGTCAAGAAGAGTCAAATAGCCATTTTATTTTATTAAGCTCAACTGTGTCCATTATCTGTCTTCGTCTGTCTAGCTGTCTCCATCCATAAAAAAACTTTTCAAAATGCTACACCTCCTACAGTTTTGGTCTGATTTTAATAAGAGTTAGACTGTGCAAGTAGACTATACTAAGATACATAATTCTGCTTAGCAGTTTTTGATTTTGATGAATGGTATTGACATCACTTAAAAAATAATTAGAAATTGAAATTTTTGTAAAATTCTTTCATATTGCTTCCATAAAATTTTTTTTTATTAAAAAAATTTAAATGCCTTTTTTACTCTTCTTGACAGGTATTATCAGATATTTATATTATGCATTGATTAAAAGAAAATGTTTATATCTATAGTGCCATATATGCAACCAAAAAGAATTTATTTTCTCTGAAAATTGAAAAAAAAAAGAATGAATTAATTAAAAGCTTGTATTATGATGAAATCACATTAAAGATCTAAATGATTTTTTTGTGTGGTATAATCCTCCAAATACAGAATTGTATCCATTTTCGACACCATGTTCTGACCATCGTTGGTTACCCATGGGTGCATGATCTCATCTTCTACTTATCAACTGTGGGCAAACTCCCCAAAATATTTTCATATGTAATTAATATGCACAAGTCATTTGATTGGATGTGTACAGAATCTTGACAGCAAATCAAAAAATATATTACGTAACGTAATTATGTATGTTCAGCAATGACAAACTCTTTTCCGTAGCTAACAACCTATGTTATACGATATAACAGAACTTGGGGCAGTTTACACTTAAGCGTTAACCGCCCCAAGTTATGTTATATTGTATAACATATAGGTTAAAATAAGCTTCATTCCTTAAATATTTCGTATACAGCACAACCTCTGATCCAAAATGTGCAAATATATCATGAAAAAAACTGCTCATTAAGATTATAAAACATACTTTAATTTTTGGATCGAGGGTTGTGCTCATATTTAAATTCTTTGTTGAAGGTTCTCATATTTACCTGTTTTCTGCAAAATTCAAGAACATTGCAATATCACACAACCTGTTTTCCAGTACCTGGACTCTTTAGATACAAACTGAAAGCACCAAGTCTCTACTTTATATTGATGTTGAGAAAGGGACATAGTGTGTTAGTGGATAAATTGGTTTATCTACAGGGCCATTTTATGCATAAAGTGAGCATAGCTCTTTATACACTCTAATTAACAGACATCCTTAGGAACACTTTATATCCAATGTATGAGGTATGTATGGTGGTTATAAAGGGGAGTGGATCTTGATGTTATATTGTAATTGATAGAAGAAGCTGAGACCTGATGAAATATATCGATCGTCCTTATATAGTAAAGTTCCAAATAGCCTATGGACTTTACTATTGGGTCAATATAATTTTTTTTATCCAAATTGCTTTTAGCTCACCTGAACCAAAGATTCAGGTTTACTTAGCTTTTCTGATCACTGCATGTTTGTCCTTCTCTCAGTTTTTCACATATTTGACTTCTCTGGTACTACTGTACCAATTTCAACCAAACATAGCACAAAGCATCCTTGGTGGGTGAAGGGGATTCAAGTTGTCTCAAATAAAGGACCACGCTTTCTTGAAAATGGAGATATTTTCAATTCATTGAACCCCAAGTTAGGGTGGGGCCACAGTAGGGGATCAGATTTATTTATTTGGGAGTATGTGAGAAATAAAAAAACTTCCAAGAGTAATATGGAATCATTTTAATTCGTAGGAGTCAATGTTCGTGGGCAAGCAAAATTTCACCTGTTCTCTGGGTTACTCATTTATATGGTAGATTAAAGGAATCAATATGTTTACAAAATGATAAACATTAGTGGGGATGTAAATTCGTGGGTAAGGGTGACCCACAACATTGACGAACATTTGTCCCCCATGAACAATGATGATTCCACAGTAACAGGGCCATGCATGCTTATGGCCATATAGAGAAGCAAACATTCCTAATTTTTTCAATTCAAGGTTTTTCACCAAATCATGGACCCTGTATGGGGTTAACCTAATATGTCGAAGATCGAAGTTCACATAAGTAATGCATGCATGTATAGGGAAAAAAGATTTTGAAAATTAATAATACGTACACTCTTTGGGCTAGCTAGGATTGGAGTCACAATATTGAGTGAAAATTTTTCATGGGAACAAAGAGGGAAACAATCTTTTAAAAAACCTTCAGAAGAAGAAAAAAACAAGCAGAAAAAGGGTAATTCAGGTGAGTGTTGAGGCCCATTGGCCTCTTGTTTAATCCAAATAGTGAATATATAAAGAAAAAAGTAAATATATAAAGAAAAGAGTTTATATGTAGGAGGAATAAACTATTCTCAGCAGGTCTAAATTGAAATAGCACGAGTTTGACCTCTAACAGTCATTTCAAACATGTAGAGCTACAATCTTTTCAGAGACTTGGTCAATTTATTCAGAGCAATAATCTGTAAATTGTAATTTTATTTTTTCTTACTATAATTTTTTTTTTTAATACAGTTTTTTACCTCTGAATTGTTTTTTAAAACATTTTCTTTACATACTTTAAATTATTTCAATTTCAATTTGTTCTTCTGAATCAATTTTATATTCAAAGTGGTAATCTATTATGCAATTGTAATATTTTTTTCTTAGATTTACTAGAAGTGGAAGGTTGAAAATTAAAAAAAAAATGTTGATCAATTGAAACCTTTGATTAATTCAGTTTCAATTGAAATAAGAAAAAAAAAAACAAACAAACAAAAAACAATCACATTTAATGTCAGAGAAGAAGTCTATTTATTGAGATCGAAACATGAAAATGAGTTGTGTCCCTTTGCAAGGCAAGCCTACATGACTATTACTATTTTTATATGCATGTTGATGTCTTAATAATTAAGTGTTGTGAGTTAAATTAATAACTGAAAGTAAAACTTGTAATAAAGTGTATGATGTCAGTTTTTGACCACTACAAAATATATTATACTTCGACCATTACATGCGTGACATCAGTTTCCATCAAAAATCATTAATTATGGCTTTTATTAGTTGTCATGTAAAGCAATGGAAACCAACGTCGTCATACAATTGTAGCGGTCGGAGCAGTATATTTTGTAGTTTCCAAAAACTGACATCATACATGTAGCGATCGTAGTACAACATATTTTGTAGTGTCCAAAAACTGACATCATATATGTAGCGGTCGGTGTACAATATGATTTGTAGTGTCCAAAAACCGTAGTCCTTTCTTTTCGTTTTTTTTTTTTTTGTACTCTATACAAAATTATAAAAACATACTCAGTTTGTTAGTGTTTTCTTGTGTATTGCGCTTATGAAAGAATACCATGCAAAAATTTTATTTGATAGATCTTTAAACTATCTCTTTTAAAATGTGATTTCATCGTTGAAAGACCAATACAAGTTCTTTATATATTTATATGATTTTTATTTTGTTGGTATTTTATAAGAAAAAAAGGGAAAATTCAGCCATGGCTGCAAATGAGACACTTAATTAAGAGCTAAAAATTTGCTTTTAATGTAATGCGGATAATATAAGAATATAATAAAGAATGTCACACAAAATAAGATATGTATTTTATTTCTTTTATTAAAATTTATTTATGAAAATAAAAAAAAAGCATAGATAATATTTCTAAATTGAAGGGATAAAATCTTCAAGAAACATGACACTAATATAGAAAAGAAATGTACAACAATCATTTTTAGAACTGAATTGAAATAAATCATAAAAGAGAAATTGCTATTTTTTCAAATTTTAACCAATCCCTATCAGATACAGTTGTCACTAAGAAAATAATTTAAATCTTTAAAGTTCAATTTATATTACAAATTTATATTACTTTGTAACAATTTATATTACAAACAGACAACATAGTATTCCTATGAATAGGAATCCATTTATATAATTCTGATAAAAGTCAGTTTAATTTGAATAAGGATTTGTCCAAATTTGAAAATCAGCTATTTTTCTTAAATTTTGCAATTTCATTTTGAATTCTTGATAATTTAAGATGCAATTTTATATTTCTTTTTTATAAGGGAAAAGTTTTTTGAAGATTTGGTTTTAAAAATATTGAAATATAATGGGTTTTTTTAGTTTCATAAATACAGATATTTTTAAATTCAAATATGTACAGTGTATCTGACTCTTGTTGACATGATTTAACAGATATCTATTATATTTTGCATTAATTGATTAAAAGGAAATGTTTATAAGCTCTAATTGTTTTGTATTTGCTACCACAATATTTTTCCCATTTTCTCTGAAGAAAAAAAAAATGAATAAAAACAAATAAATAAATAATCATAAATAAATACCCTGGTAAATAAATAAATTTAAAAAAATAATGAAAAGATTGATAAAGTCATATTTGAAAAGAAATAACTCAAGACTCGATCATCAAATAAAATTTTGGTGTAGTGGGATAGTCTTAAATTTAGCGCTAAATATTCAGACACATGGTAAAGGAGTTATCAATATTACAATTGATAATGTGTCGCTACACAGGAATGTCGTATATAATAAAAAATACTTTGGCTAGCTGATAGAATGTGCGGCAGCCAAGATATCCATGAAATGTTCACGAAAAACTACAATATCACAACATGAATTGATAAATGAGGATTTATTTGCATACCATATTTTTGCTTTCCAGCTGGTCTAATTACCGGTAGAAAGTGCAGCACTTTTAATCACCCTGAACTTGGGTTTTCCGAACACTAAAATTAACCCTTACGCAGAATACCGTTCTCAATATTACTGGCTTTGGGCTTGAAAGTGTCTTTAATTCACATGTTTTATCGATTAATTTTTACAGTTGACATTCAGCAGTGACGCACTAGAAATTTTAAATTTATACATACCTGTTTTAAAAAAACAATAGATTCTTTTTTATGAAGGAAGAAAAGAGTTTTTTGCTGTGTCATGCAGAGGATTAAAAGGGCTCTTGAGGAATTGAATGTATTTCACATGTTTAATTTTTAGAATTAAGTATTTGATGGACAGAAGTTTAAATTATTTACCAAAATATATCTCAAATGGGTATTTAAATATATAATTGGAAATCAGCATTTTGATGAAATTAGTTTTAAAAGGTGTAAAAATATCTATACACAGGAAGAATTAAACTGCTGCAGTTTTAATAGCTAATATTTAATGAATATTAAAAGTGAAGATTAGATTCTCATAAGCTTTGTCATAAAAAAGTACATGAATTTGAATAGATGTATTTAATAAAATTTTTCATACATATTGAGTTATTGTAAATATCATTTTTTCGTTTAGAAAAGGATTAATTTTTTAACGTAAGGTGACGTTCAAATCATCTAGGCTCTGTATGTTTTGTATCCTGCTGTCAAAAACTTCTGAGTACCCAAATTAGACTTGAGGGTGGGGATATTTGTAATCAGTATAACTTATTTTAATGTATATATTGTTTGACATGGCCGTATGAACTTTTCATCTATATAAGTATATTCTTTGTTTGGACTCACAGCTATGAATTTTTTTGGCTTGGCATATCTCGATCAGTAGTGAGGACAGTGGTCTAACTGGAATTTCAAAGGTTACTTCACTCTGTCAATTTACTATGCACAATCAAATTGCAGTGAAAAAATATTTAGCTGAAACATATATTGTTTAAGTGTAATGAATTATGAATTTAATGAATTAATTAGTTTTATATATTTAATCTGATGATTGAAAAATAAATGAATTTAGATATGAAATGAAATATATTTATTTATTTCAATTACTATTTGATTAGTTCTATATTAATTATTATTTTTGCACTGTTTGATAATGTCTAGAATTTATTTCTTGAAACTTAAGTAATTAGATTTTAGGCTTAAACCAAGATTTAAAAAAAAAAAAAAAATAGCCTATTGGTATATAGGTAGGATATTATCTATTTATTTTTATTTTAGTTTTCTTCCAAAATAAAATTGTAGTTTTAAGCTAAAAAAATATGTAGGTGATAAATCATATGATTCATGATATTTGTTTGCCTAATCTCTTGATTTAAATCATATTTTGAACTATTTATTATATTAATTCAATTCTGAAATCAACTAGTCTTAATTAAACTATTCATTATATTAAAAAAAAGTTAAGGAGATTTGATTTTTTTTCACTAAAGGATCAATAAAAATCATACGAACATTGAAAATAATACTGAAGTTGTTTGGATTTAAAATTCTTATAATAATTTGGCTATTTTCCTTTTAAATAGTATCAGTATTTACAGACAGGAAGTCTTATTAATATTTTCATTCTTACCACAAACAGAACCATTATAAGATAATCCTTCACTGTATGATAATGTCACCCAAAGTAAAGCAAATCTTTATTAAGTGGATAAGCTGTAGTATTCTCAGTCAGTTTTATATTGGCTAATTTTTGTTGGAACTGCAGTCATGCAAATTAACTTCACTCTCCATTCTATGTAAATTAACTTGTTTTCAACCAGTTTAAGGACAATAATGGTTCACTCATGATTATAAGGACACATGTACCAGATGGACTAGAATCAAGACATTGCTGGTGGCTATTTACCTATTTGATAATTATCTATGTTAGATTTCTGCAGTTCAGTATTAAAGAACATGACGTAACTCTGTCACGTTTAAAAAATCCATGTGGGAGTTATTAAAGGGGAGAAGCCTAAATTGGGAAATGTGCTGTTAACTTCTACACTTACTCTGTTTATACTGTCAAGAAAAATGCATACATACCTTATGGTTTTCAGCTCACCTGAGTCAAAAGCTTAAGTGAGCTTTTCTGATCAAAGATTGTCTGGTATCTGTCTGACAGTATAGCTGCATGTCAACTTTTCACATTTTCAGCTTTTACTCCAGAACCGTTGCAGCAATTTCAACCAAACTTGCATCCTAATGAACAAAAAGGGATTTAGATTTATTCATAAGGATGGCATGCACCTACATTTTCAAGGGAGGTAATCAGGAAGTATGAATATATAGGGTGAGGTCATTTAAAAATAATTGGGCTAAAAAGAAAAAAACGTGAATACTTCCTAAATGAGTACATTACAAGTTTGTTAAAGTCATGCTCTCTAAGGCTAGGATGGGGCCACAGGGGTCAAATTGTAATTTAGGAATATATGTTAAAATTCTTTTTCTGAAACAGATGGGCCACAATTAGTCATTAGCTCACCTGAGCCAAAAGCTCAAGTGAGTTTTTCTGATCACATTTTTATTTTGTGGCATCTGTAAACTTTTCACATTTTCGACTTCTTCTTAAGAACCACTGGGCCATTTCAACCAAACTTACCACAATGCATCCTTGGGTGAAGGGAATTCAAGTTTGTTCACAGGATGCACCATGCCCTCTTTCAAGGGGAGATAATTAAGAAATCATAAAAATTTGGTGGCATCTTTTAAAAATCTTCTAAAGAAACACTGGGTGAAAAAATATGAAACTAATGTGGAAGCATCCTCATGTAGTGTAGATTAAAGTTTGTTCAGAACATGACCCCTGGGGGTAGGATGGGGGCACAATGGCCAATCAAAGTTTTACACAGGAATACATATTAAGAAAAATATTAAGAGAACAGGAAAGCCAAGATTAGTCATATTTATTTGGAAGCATCATCAGGTAGTGTAGAATTTAGTGTGGGGCCACAATGGGAGATCAAAGTTTTTACAAAGGAATACATTGGAAAAACCTTTAAAAATCTTCATTTTAAGAACAGGAAAGCCGTGATTGGTGAAATTCCCCAGGAAGTCAAGATTAAAGTTTGTTCAAATCATGATCCCCTGGGTAAGGAGAGGCCACAATGGGCTATCAATTCAATTCATAGGAGTACTTTGGAAAAATCTTTAAAAATTGTCTTCTCAAGAACAGCAGAGTCTTGATTAGTCATATTTACATGGAAGCATCCTCAGGTAGTGTAGATTCAAGTTTGTTCAAATCATGACCCCCAGTGGGTAGCATTAGGGGCAACAATAGATGATCAAAGTTTTACATAGGAATACATAAAAAAATTATTTTAAAGTATCTTCAAGAACAGCAAAGCCATGATTGGTCATATTTATATGGAAGCTTCCTCAGGAAGCGTAAATTTAAATTTGGTTGAATCATGACCCTCGGGGATAAGGTGGGGCCACAATGGCAAATTTTACATTTGTATTTGTAGAAAAAAAATCTTATCAAGAATAGCAAAGCCATAACTATTTATATTGATATGGAAGCATTCTCTGGTAGTGCAGTTTAAGTTTGTTCAAATTATGATCCCAGGGGTAGGCAGGGTCCCCAATGGGTGATCAAAGTTATACACAGGAATATGTAGGAAAAATCATCAAAAATCTTCTTTTCAAGAACAGCAAAAACTATGATCAGTCATATTAATTCAGAAGCATCCTCAGGTAGTGTAAATTAAAATTTGTTCAAATCATGCCCCCCCCCCCTTTTTTTTGCTTAAACTTTTTAATACTGAACTGATTTCTACTTTTTCTTAGCTAAAGTGCTCAGGTGAGCAATGTGTCCCATGGGCCTCTTGTACTGATATGCAATCATCCTAATGTAGTGTCACAGACTCAATTTTATTCAGTTACAACAATTAGCCAATATACTATATACCAAATTATTAGGTTAACTGAGCAAGTCCATTTTCAATGGACTATATAAAGCCTACCAGTTTTTAGCTCACCTGAGCTGAATGCTCTCATATAATAGTTTTCAGACATATTGTAGATTCAAGTTACTATAAAATCGCACGTAAAGGCCACACTCTTGTAAAGGATGCAACCCCAGAGATGGAGAAAAAATCCTGGGAAAAATGCAGTTTCTATGGATAAAACACACCCAAAAATGCAAATACAGATGTAGCTCTTATTTTAACTGCACAAGTAATATAAAAAAAAAATTGAATGTTGAAATATTATATCATTTTAAAAACAAAAGAAGGACACAAACTTATTTTTTCTTTGCAAATTCAGTTTACATATAAGCTGTAATTACCTGTAATTAAGCCTTTTTTGTAATTTAATTGTTGTTTGATTATATAACTTTATGGAGCTTAAGTACATAAATATTTTTAGCTCACCTCGACGAAGTCAAGGTGAGCTTATGCTATCCCCCTGGCGTTGGCGTCGGCATCCCGGTTAAAGTTTTAGGAGCAAGTCCATTCCCAAGTAACTATAATCCCTACCTGGACCAAACTTGCATGGATGATGCATTTAGATATGGACACTACTACACTTGCTTCGGATGCTGGATCTGACCTAGATTTTCCAGATGAGTAACCAGGTTAAAGTTTTTGGAGCAGGTTCATTCCCAAGTAACTACAAGCCCTACCTGGACCAAACTTGCATGGGTGATGCATCTAGGGATGGACACAACCACACTTGCTTCGGATGCTTGATCTGACCTAGGTTTTCCAGATGAGTGACCAGGTTAAAGTTTGTGGAGAAGGTCCATTCCCAAGTAACTATAAGCCCTACCTGTACCAAACTTGCATGGATGATGCATCTAGGGATGGACACTACCACACTTGTTTCAGATGTTGGATCTGACCTAGATTTTCCAGATGAGTAACCAGGTTAAAGTTTTTGGAGCAGGTCCATTCCCAAGTAACCATAAGCCCTACCTGGACCAAGCTTGCATGGATGATGCATCTAGGAATGGACACTACTACACTTGCTTCAGATGCTGGATCTGACCTAGATTTTCCAGAGGAGTGGCCAGGTTAAAGTTTTTGGAGCAGGTCCATTCCCAAATAACTGTAAGCCCTACCTGGACCAAACTTGCATGGATGATGCATGCAGGGATGAACACTACCACACTTGCTTCGGATGCTGAATCTGGCCTAGGTTTTCCAGATGAGTGAATTTTAGCCATATTTTAATGAAATTAGCATGGATGATGTATCTTAGGATGGACACTTTCAGACTTGTTTTGAATTCTGAATCTGACCTACATTTTCTAGATGAGTGACCAGGTTAATGTTTTTGGAGTAGCTTCAATAATATAATATTATGGCATGTTATGATTAAACTTGCATGGATGGTACATGTACATCTAAGGATGAAAACTTCCAGACTTGCTTTGGATGTTGGAACTGACCAAAATTTTCTTCATTAGTAAACTTAAAAGTTTTTTGAGCAGGTCTATTTCCAAGTAACTATAAGTCCTTCTTAAACCAAACTTGTATGGATATTGATCTTGGGATGAACACTAATTAGAAAAAATATGATGTGAGATTTGCCTTACTTATAGATAACCTTTGTCGAGGTGAGCTTCATAATCTTTGATTACCTAAGTTTTCTTAATCATCCCAAGCATGTTACGACACAATATGCTGACTATGCACTCCAGGCACATGTCTTTGTTTACGTAAACAAATTATCCCAAGCACAATCAGTGTCACACATACGTAATAATTGATATCAGGTAATAAAGAAGTAGACATAAGTGTAAAACATTTATTGTTAAATAAACTTCATTGTTAATGAGTGTGCTAACTGTTTTAAATGGCAGATGATTCGAAACCAACTTACCAGAAATTGTTAAACAAACATCACCTTGATTAGGGTCAATTGAAGATAAAATAAGTTTTTGAATACATAGACATATTTTTTTATTCAAAATAATACCAACTAAATAGACATACTCATTTTTATAACTGTTTGTCAAATCATTTACCTGTGATCTATGTCATACTTGACAATCATTCAAACATGGGGAAAGAACTGCGAACGATATAGCATTGTTCTCCCGCCTACCTCCAAGTCAATTTTTCAAAAGTTAACATGTTTTGATGATTTTTCATATTTATATAAATATTTATATGAATTTTCATAAAACATTACTTCTTTGGGAAAACAAAGAGAGGTAACTCTATAATTTGGGTAAAACTTATGCTTTTCACAATAGAAATCAACGGAAAACGGAAATTATTTTTAAAACATCTTCCCCCCCCCCCCCCCCCCCACGTGAAACAAAAATTCCTATTTACACGTAATATGGACTGTCATTTTACAAATTCACACAAAAGCTTTTTGTGTTTCACGAGGGGGGGGGGGGGGACGTATGTTTACAGACAAAAAACTACAAAAATGCTTACTTCTTCATCAATTTCAAAGGGTTTTACAACTGAAATATTGTATTTTTCAGTTGTATTTTTAAAATAATATATGTTTAATTTTATATGCGTAAAACATAAGAAAAGATTTTAGGAACATTTATTCATATCCAAGAATATTTTAAAATGTGTTGATGCTTTAAAGCCTGATTTCAATGGAAAATATCGTCTACCCCCCTTATTTTAAGAGCTGGAATTAGGAATAATTAACTATTTAACACTGGCATTAAAATTATCAGTCAATTACCATTGAACTGTTCTTTGCATTCAACAAAGATTTTACGGTCAAATTGTCATAAGTATTGAATTAAATGGGTGTAAAGTGTAGGCGGGAATTGAAAGTTAGCGTGCGTAGTTCTTTAATACATGCATTAAACATACAATCTGATATCGGTGAAATCAGTCCTGAGAAAAAAGGCCAATCCAGAAAAAAAGGGGGGGGGGTGAATTTAATTTCTATGTAATACACGCACCCCTACTTTTGAACAATTTTCTGATAAAAAGGTGCATCTAATACACATGACTTTACTGTAGTTCAAATCATGGTCCCTGGGGATAGATTGGAATATATAGCAAATTTAAAATGTTTGTCATCTTCTTAATATCAGCTAGGATGGATCATTCTTATTGATATGCAAACTGAATTTGATCTACAATTTCTTGAGTGACCAGTGAATTATGTAATTTTTAATTCATGTTATATTACATGGCTTTTTTTTCAGGGTCACACAAGGTCAAGGCCGAACTGATCCACAGCCTCTGTGTCCTTGGAAAAGCAGTACCAGAAAGACCAGAGCTACAAGCATCCATCATTACTCTAGCTAAGCAAGTCAGTATTCAATATTTCAGCCATAATTCTTGCTAAGCAAGTCAGTATTCAATATCTCAGCCATGATTCTAGCCAAGCAAGTCAGTATTTAAGAGCCATTCTCTGTAACGACTTGAACTTTTATATAGAAGCTGTGGCACGCATAGTCTCAGAATTTCTCCAAACTCTCTATGATAAAAGTCTTTGATACCGTAAACTCAAATCAGGCAGAAATTGGTTGCTACGTGACATGGTTACCATGGCAACATGTCCTAAAGTTTGAAAAATGGCATTTTTCAACATCTTCAGAGTCCCACAGTTAACGTTTGCAGCAAAGCAAACAAGTGGCAATGACTGTTTCTGAAAGTTGAAGGCCTGGTGTCTTAAATGCATGATAAACATGTTTGGTAAATCATCTATAACATACGTTACTATGGGAACAAAGTATTCAAAAGTAATAATTTTGTTCATTTAATTTTATAAAGTCATACACTTAAGAATAAAAAACAATTATAGGTTGAAATGCAAGCAATTAATAGAGAAGAGATCCTTGTAACATATACCAAGGACAAAATATGATATTTCTTATAGGTTGGCAATGGTTGCCATGGTTTTAATACCACGAAGGGATTTTAAATGTACTCTCTTAGTGTTTTAATCTTATCCTATCTTTTTAAAAAGCATATTTCTATATAACTGATGATCAATTTTTAAAGGCCTTGGTGTGACCCTAATTTTCACATTTCAAAAAATTCAATTTCAATTCTTTAAATAGTGCGTTGCTATGGAAATAAGGCGAAAAAACATGCATAAAAATCTGAAAAATACTTGGTTTCCTTGGATACGTACAGTTGTATGTAGATTCCCAAAACTTTAATGATTGATATATGTGAACAACTAACCTGACTTTCAGTTTTGACTATCACCCAATCTCTAACTGGATGCAAGAAGCTGGCACATAGGGTCTAATATTGACAAAAAATTAACAAAATCGAACATTTTCTCTTCTTGGTAACCATAGCAACAGTGTTGTATTTTTCAATAAACTTTATCAATATATGATATTCAACTTTAGTTCTACGAGATAAGTACTATTCAAGGTGATTCAAATAATATTTTTCTTGATTAAAAGGTTAGTAAATACCCAAAGCAGCAAAAAAATATCACTTTAAACAACTAGTACGTTGTTTCCATGGTTACACTGCAAAGTAACAATTAATCTCAATTTTTCTTATGTTGTCGGTGTTGCAAGGTCCTAAGGATGTATATGTGCGTCATGAATTTTATTGTATTTCCTCAAGATAGTAGCATTAACCCAATCATAGCAACAGATTTTGCATGGTGACACTGTGTTACCATGGCAACCATGAAAGTTATTTTTAGAATAATATTGCCAATACCTAATTACATGAGGTCAAATATTTTTCATTGTTTTTCTTACGTTGTTGATTGAGTTTGATCATGTAACATCTATCATTTGTGACTATAAAGCGTTTTTCAGCATTTTTCAGCATCTAAAATGTATTCCAAATGTACCCATGGTTACCACTTACTTAGAGGTTAATTCTAAATAGTTTCTTTATAGCATAAGTGGCAACAAGGTGTCATGTTTTTGGGAGAATGGTTTGTTTGTTTTTCTTAGTCTTTAATAAGACTTAATAAAGATTTAAAGTAGCTGAAAATCTCAATTTTTTCAACTTTTCTGGCTGTTACCATGGCAACCAAGACACATAGCAACGAAATTTTATTTGATATATGTTTCTTGTGTCAAGTTGTAATAATGGGCAAAGTTTCATCAAAATCGGTGACCATGCGTGGCAAAGAAGTTTAAGTGGTTACAGAGAATCGCTATTAATACCTTGGCCATAACTCTAGCTAAACAAGTCAGTATTCAATATCTCGGTGGTAATTCTAGCTAAGCAAGTCAGCATTCAATATCTCGGTCATAGCTCTAAGCAAGTCAGTATTCAGTACCTAGGCCTAGCTCTAGCTAAACAAGTCAGTATTCAAGATCTCGGCCATAATTCTAGCAAAGCAATTTAGTATTTAATATCTCAGCCATAATTCTAGCTATACAAGCCAGTATTCAATACCTCAGCCTTAACTCTAACTAAGCAAGTCAGTATTCAGTACCTAGGCCATAGCTTTAACTAAGCAAGTCAGTATTCAATACCTAGGCCATAGCTATTGCTAAACAAGTCAGTATTTAATATCTCAGCCATAATTATAGCTAAGTAGGTCAGTATTCCATATCTCAGTGATAATTCTAGCTAAGCAAGTCAGTATTCAAAATCTCAGTCACAGCTCTAGCTGAGCAATAACCATAACCGGCCATAACTCTAGATGAACAAGTAAGCATTCAACACTTTGACCATAGCTCTAGCTAAGCAAGTCAGTATTCAATACCTCAGCAACAGCTCTAGCTAAGCAAGTCAGTATTTAATATCTCAGCCATAATTGTAGCTAAGTAGGTCATTAATCAATATCTCAGTCATAATTCTGGCTAAGCAAGTCAGTATTCCATATCTCAGCCATAATTCTAGCTAAGTCAGTCAGTATTTGATAACTCGGCAATAGCTCTAGTAAGCAAGTCAGTATTCAATACCTAAGCCATAATTCTAGCTAATCAATTCAGTATTCAATATCTAAGTTATAAATCTAGCTAAGCAAGTCATAATTTAATATCTCAGGCAAAATTTTAGCTAATTGAGTCAGTATTCAATATCTCAGTCATAATTCTAGCTAAGCAAATCAGTATTCAAAATCTCAATCACAGCTCTAGCTGAGCAAGTCGGTATTCAATACTTAGGCCATAACTCTAGCTAAACAAGTAAGCATTCAATACTTTGGCCATAGCTCTAGCTAAGCAAGTCAATATTCATTAACTCAGTCATAATTCTAGCTAAACATTAAGTCATTATTCAATGTCTCAGCCATAACTTTAGCTAAACAAGTCAGTATTAGATATATCATCAATAACTCTAGATGCATTAAGTCAATACTAAATTTCCCAGTCTAAACATAGCTAAAGAATCACATCGCAGTCATAACTCTAGCTAAACAAGTCATTATGCATTATCTTTGTCTCAAAATACACGTAGGTAAAGAATCAATTATATATCAGCTTCAACAAAGAATCAATTATATCTCAGCCATAACTCAAGCTAAACAAGTTAGATTTTAATATCTCATTCTCAGCATAAGTAAAATAAAATTATCACAATTAGTAGTTAGTTAAAGATCCTGAATTAATATGTCAGTCAAAACAAAGGTAAAGAATCTATTATATCATAGTCATTACCCAAGAAAAACAAAATAGTATTCATATCCAAATCTCAACATAGCTATAAAAAACAAATATAGATCAGCCATAACTCTAGTTAAACAACACAGCATTAAATAATTCAGATTCAACATAGCTAAAGAATCAAACATATCTTATCCATAACTCTAGCTAAACAATTCATTATTCAATATCTCAGTCTCAACATAGCTGAGGAATCATATCTCAGTGATATCTCTAACTTATTATGATTTCAAAATCTCAGTCTCACATTTCAGTCTTTAAAATTTTTAACATTCCAGTCATGGAAGTGAGTTCAATATACCCTTCTTATACTGGATTTCTAAACTTCATAAAAATCTTCACTAACAAAGATACATTGCAGGTCCAGCAAGTGCTCTACCAATTCCCAGTCTTTACTACTCACAAAAATATTAAGTGCTGTAAAGGAGAAACTTCAGATATAGAGTGTTATGTACAGCATATTCTAGAAGTGGTGTAAATCAAATGTCGATTCTCAAAAACTCAAAGAACTTTTAGAAAATTTAAAAATGACAAATTTTTCAAAAGTTAGTAAAATCAAAATGTATGGCTTTTCTACACTTTTTTTAATTATACAACCAAAATATATTTAAAACTAACCCTTTTGATATAGACAACTGCTTCTTCAATAAAAATGGAAATCGAAAATTTTCATATCTTGTATTGGTCATCAACAAAATACTTTGTTAAGATCACTCTGATTCTACACACAAGTACTCTGAAGTTGATAATTAAAGGATACTTGAGTTCCTCATTGACAACATCTATGTAGTCTTTGAAGACCAGGTCTTCCAACAAACTGTTAGAATTTCAGTGTGAACTAATTGTGCCCTGTTATCAGCTGAGCTGATTTAAAATTCCTATGAAGCAGACTTCGATAAATAATTTTGTGTGTCCGTTTCTGATTTCAAATAAATGGTGCTGCCATGGTTACTGAAAATAGAAATTTCTGTGAGTACTTATGAAATTCTACTCCTCCTACAGTTTTGGTCTGACTTCAGTATAACTTTGCACACAAGTAGACTTAATTTACTTAGATACATAATTATATTATGATTATTTATAATAAATTATTAATGGTTTTTGATTTTGATAAACGGTCTTGCCATGGTTACTAATAATAGAAATTTCTTTGAAATTTTTTCAAAAGGCTACTTCTCCTACAGTTTTGTCTGATTGCAATAAATCTCTCCACTAAAGAGGCTAAATCAAGGACCATTATTCTAATATTTACATTTGCTGTGTTTTTCTACTAAGCTAACTGTGAAATTGATTTGAAAACCATTTTTGTGTATACTCACGCGTAGAAATATACACGGAGAAACTCGCACTAAAGTGACGTCACGATGAGGCAATAGAGAAGTTGGTAAAAATATGACGATATAGGGCAGCAAGAAATTCAAACATGAGTATATTTTTGGTGCATTTAAACATGTAAAATGTAAATATAAGGAATGTTTTTAAGTTTTGTGTGAATTATTGGTGTGTAGATCACACAGACTTGCATGTAGGCATATTTTTCATGAAGCACTAGCGTGCTTCATGAAATATGCCTACGTGACAAGTCTATGTGATTTACACACTAATAACTCACACAAAACTTAAAAACATTCCTTCATTTATTGCTGTGGCATATATTCAAGTGCTACTTTTCATTTCCTTTGCTATAAGTACAAATCAGGAGAGCTATGGTCTCATCAGAGACTTCTGATTTTGCAGTGTTTTCCCTAAGAACTGGCTAACAGCCAGATAGATCACTTCAATTGATATAAATGCTGCAAAGAAATCAAAATCTAAAACATAACTGTTATAAAGTCCACAGGGATTTTATTCATAAACCTCAACCCCTATCCTGTTACAATTGATCTCAAACCCTTTACTTTGAAATATAGGGAAAAGTTCCACTGACTTCAGACAATAAGGGCCAACTAACAATTAAATTGTATTACAAACAAGATGACTTTATTCAGCTTTTACATTTTCAACTTTCCTTATTTATGAGTTATTTTCTACTTTCATCTTTGTCTCCCAAGTCAAGAGCATGCTTTGAGTGCAATCAATTTTGAATAGAAGCAGGCTACTGACAGATAAATTAATATTACAGGGATTTCAACAACTTCGTTTTTAGTCAGCATTTCATAAATTCTATGGTTATTGTAATGACCTTGTTAGCATTATAATCTATCATTGGGTCGTATTTTGACTGAAATATTTTATACCAATTGTTAGGCCTTTGTTTTTATACTAAAGTTGACTACGGAGTATTCTGTCAACCTGATCAATACATATGGCTCATGATGGGTTTGATCACTCCTCCAAGACACCTGATCCAACCTCTGGAATTTCCAGGGGCTTTGTTTTGTGCCCTGTTTATAGATTTGTAATGTTTGAAGGTTTTTTTTTATATCGATCACTGTTCATTATCTTCACCTTTTTCATCTCAATATTAGTTAAAAAATATCATTCATTATATCATAGCTATAACTAGTTAACATCAGTATTCAATATCTCAGTTACAACATTAAAGTTAAAGAATGAATTATATCTCATTCATCACTTCAGAAAAACAAAATTATATTCAATATTTATGTTTCAACATAGTCAATCAAATACAGGTATCTATAATTAGCTAGATAAGTCAGTATTCAGTCTTTTGGTCATCTTTGCAAATGAAGGCCTGTTTTCAGTTTCAGTTATGTTCCTTACAAATCCTTGGCAGTTTACGCCACTAAAACTGTAGCAAGTATTCTCTTCATTCCAAGCTAGACCACTGTGACCAATGAAAAGACAGATGTCATTTCATATGAAGTCAAAAAACAATAGATGAATATTGATATATAAATAAATGATTTGCTTATCGTTTTTTCTACCCGGCACATATATATATCATATCCTCACTTTGCGTCTATTCATGTCTGTTGGTAAGCCCTACAGTTACTTATTGTAATTCTCCTATCTCTGCTTATGTACACTTCCATTTCTTGTTTATAATTGGATTCTGGGCGGCACTTGAAAGCTGATTGGCTATAATCTAGAGTTAATATTTAGTGTGTCCTGATGTCTCTAATGTCAGCCACACTTTCAGTGGGTAATTCTGCCAAGGGTTTGTTGAGAACCTAGCATCTGGAAACCCTTGGCTTTTGAAGATGTATCTTGGTCTCAACATAGCTCATTTTTAAGGCTGTCCACATATTTGTAATTGGATTCTGGGCTGCAATTGAAAGCTGATTGGCTAGAATCTAGAGTTGATATTTAGTGTGTCCTGATATCTCTAATATCAGCCACACTTTTAGTGGGTAATTCTGCCAAGGGTGTGTTGAGAACCTAGCATCTGGAAACACTTGGCTTTTGAAGATGTATCTTGGTCTCAACATAGCTCATTTTTAAGGCTGTCCATATTTATAATTGGATTCTGGGCAGCACTTGAAAGCTGATTGGCTAGAATCTAGAGTTAATATTTAGTGTGTCCTGATGTCTCTAATGTCAGCCACACTTTCAGTGGGTAATTCTGCCAAGGGTTTGTTGAGAACCTAGCATCTGGAAACCCTTGGCTTTTGAAGATGTATCTTGGTCTCAACATAGCTCATTTTTAAGGCTGTCCATAATTATTCTACAATAGAGGGAGGGAAGGAAAAAAATAAACAAAAATTTTAAACAAATGTTTATTTATTCAAATTTACCTATTCAGTTTGTAAAAAACACAATTGAGTAATAAGAGTATTAGATTTGATATCTAAGTTTAGTTAGTTTTGCGTTACACAAGTAAAAGGTTTTTCCTTAGTACACATATTGACTTGCCTCCTTTTGTGAGTACATGGTGAAGACCGGTTGTGCAAAAAAAGGGCTTCAATCCAGACCTGGGGTCAATTACTTTGTAATGAAATGAATTAAATTACAATTACTTTGGAATTTTTACCATTATTTACAATTACCATTACATTAGTATAGATTAAAATTTGTTCAAATCACGTCCCTTGTGGCTAAGGTGGGGCCAAAATAGGAATGTTTCTTTGGTATATATAGGAAAAATCTTAGAATCTTTTTCTGTTGCCTGCATGGCGCTTTGGTTAGATAGTTTGCTCTAGAGTCGCAGAGTAAGGAGTCAATCCTTAGGTCCTGCATAGGAATATGTAGGAAAAAAATCTGCTGATAAAGAACAGTAAGTGCTATAGTGACTCAGGTGAGCATTGTGGACCATGGGCCTCTTGTTATCTCAGTCAAACATGTTGCTCTTCTGAAAGGACTAAATTTAATACTAAGTCATGTAGCTCTCTACTGAAAAATTGGAAGAAAATTTTTTTGACACTGTAAACATTTTTATAAGTCAGAGTGATAAACTGTATCAAATGTATTTCACAATGTTGTAAACAGCATTGATGTTTGGAGGAATACTGTACTGTCTCAAATTTAGTGCAGAGACACTGGGGACAGGAAGTAAAAGTTTACTGACTCTCAAGTCCACATGTCAATGTCAAGTCAGTGTCCATTTGCTTGAAATCATTACTATTGTCAAAGAGAGCAATGGTTGACCAGTTATTCTAATCCTGTACATGTACTTCCTGACTCTTTAGCTGAGAAGAAGAAACCTATTGACTTCATATTAATAGTAAAAGGTCATTGCCCTATGTTGTATGTGGTTGCATTGACAGGAAATTTACAGCTTAATTCACTGTGCTTTTGTTCGATGAGTTCTTAGATGTTTAATGCCCCTGTGATCTATGCAAATGATTTCCAGTCAAAACATAAGCTGTAGCCTATTTGATAACAAAGTATTTAATTGTTCAAATGAAAGGTAAAATATTGTAATGACACCATCAAGTTAAGAATAATCTGTAATATTTGTTTACAACTGTTATAGTAAGCCGGGAAAGGGAAACTAATAATCTTTTGAAAATTGTTCGTTGCCCTTTCCCAACTAACTGACTAAAAAAATGTCCTGTCTCAAAACTCCAGGAAACAATTTTTTTCATTCGTTCTGGAATTTTCACATCCCATGAATAACTACTTTGATTTTATTAACACCTTCAATTTCAAAAAAAAATTGTAAATTAAGGATGCATTGATGTTGAAAAATTTTGAAAAAAACTACCTACCCAATTTTTTATCTTGAGTCAGGAGAGGGCAAGCAAACTTTTTATTTAGATGGCCTTACCAGGTAGTGTCTATATTTTGTATTTCTTACTTTGGCATGCTACTTCATCAAAAAAAAAATCAAGCTGTACTAGAATGCATTTAAAATATTTTTTTAATCTTTAAAGAAATTGCAAGCATCTAAATTCTTGAACATTAATTTAGTGACTTATTAAATCTCCACAGCATTTGAAGGACCCTGACCACAGAGTTCGATGTTCCTGTCTGGAGTTAATTGGTGCCATTGGATCTCCTGAACAGGAAATTGCAGACGACTCCCAGGAACCTTTTATCCCAATCCAGACATTACTAGCAGGTTTCTGTGGAGACCAAGATTCCAGAGTCAGGGCTAGTTCTTTTAATGCAATGGTAAGTCAAGATCACATACATGTATAGTCATTAAATGAAGAATTGTTTTGGTTATTAAGTGTTACTAGCTTGGAGACCAACAATAAGAAGCAAAGCTGTTCATGCAAGTGTCTATTAGTACTGTAAACAGCTTTTATTTGCATGCAAGAAATATCTGTGACCTCCTTTTACTCACTAATATTTATTGCCGCAAACTAGTTGTGCACTTGAGTAGATTATTTCGTATGTCACTGATATTAGTAGTTGTGAATGGATTTTAGACTGACAACTGTGGAATCATTTTAATCCATTTGGGGTCAATGTTCATGGGCAAGCAAAATTTTATTCCTGGGGAGTAATTTCGTGGGTTACTTGTTTATACACTAGATTCAATGGTAATATGTTTACAAAATAAATGTTCTAGGGGATGCTAATTCATGGGTAATTTTAGGGTGACCCACGAAATCCACGAACAATGGTATCCCATGAACAATGATTTCACGGTAAATAAGAGTTGGTTTACAGTATGTATTCCTAGAGTGGTGGTCTTCCTCATATATATAGAGGGAAAAAAACACTTGTTTTTTATTTTTACCTTACATATTATTAAAATACATCTTTCCTAGTTCAGACTTGAATGAATATGCATATGTAACTAATTCTAACTCAAAAACATCTCAACATAATCATCTCCCCCACTTTGGTCTTTTATCTCTTTCTAATCATAAATCCAGTGTAAATGTTGGGTCATGCCTACCAAAGTGTTATGAGAACTAAATAAATTAAACCTAAGATGTGATCTAATGATAAAAGCACATAGGCACCAATATAGGCACTGAGCTGACCTAATTGTGGGACCCCTAGTATGAAATACAGCTCTAGGTAAATGAACTTCAGGGGCTCGTTTCTCAAAAAGGCCTACGACCAGGCGTAAGCTTAGTCCGGACTAAGTCAGTGACTAAACCCCAATATCGGACTAAGGAGCGTTTCACAAAAAGGCGCAGACTTAGTCGAGACTAAAGTTAAGCTTAAATCTAAGGCCTGCTCATGAGTAGGCGTAAGTTTCTAGTCTGTACACAACTTGAAAAAAGTGGCAAGTGTTTTGATCATAAAAAGATAAAAGAATAATTATTTTGTACATAAACGATATAATACCTATTCATGTACATATATGATATGCGAAAAATCATGAAATCTACATTTATTATGTAGGTAAATAGAAAGGTAGTAAAAATCCAGCGAGGATGCAGATTTTTTTCCATAAAAGGGTTTGATGAGCTAGACATTTGTAAGTAAGAAATTTGAATTGAAACTGGGTAAGCTTAGGATATTAAGAAGTATGAAGAAGAAGGTACTGATAAATCCCTGTGTACCAAAATTGGGAAATTCATTACATCAATTGTGTCCATAGTTCTGGCTTGATGGTGGATTAGGAATATTCATTATATCTTTGAAAATTTTGTCTGGACTCTTGGACACCTAGCTGCCATTCTTTGTGCATGGGGACAACAAACTATGAGCTCTGCTATAAAACCAAAATTGTGAAATTATTTTCCACTTTGTCTGTAGACCCCAAGGGTGTGACTATAAGCAAGTGAAAATACATATCTTTATGATTTCATACCAGAATTTCACATATCAGATAGTTTTCAGGGGCTTGTTTTACAAAAGAACTTATGACTGAAACCAAAATTTAATTCCACTTATAACTTTCTAATTTACATTGAATAGAAAATGGTTTTAATAATTTTGAAAGGTATGTAGAAAGATACTTTTATGCTAGCAGTTTTAAACAGAATAATTAATTTTTCAAAATTTTGCAAAATTTTACAATCAATTAAAGTTTTTGGTCTTAGACGTAAGTTCTTTTGTGAAACGGGCCCCAGAGTTTTAGTCTTAGGTCACTTGGGTTCAGATTACATGTACCTAGTCCCATTTGGAGACTAAGATGATCTAATTTTGAGGAGCTCGTAATATGCAGGTGATTGTCACAGCCTATAGGCCTCTGAGTCACATTTTGAAGGCTGATTTACACCTGTATTAAAGTTCTCTGTTCTGATTTCACATTGTGGAATGGGAATCAACAAATATGAGACCACACAGCATGCTTGACACAGCAATCTGAGTGCCTTTGACCTGGAAAAATATAGATATGGTGATAAAAGATTTGTTTTATAACGTATTGCACTTTGGCAGTATTGCACATGGGCAAAGTTTGTATATCAGTACCACAAAATTAAATTGGCAAGGATCCATTATAACACCAAAATGTATAGAATGAATCTACATTAATTGGAAGCCATTAAGTATGTAGAGTATAAAGTATATACACTTTAAGATTCAAGGTCTTTTAGTTCTTTTGTTATGGTTCATGTATAATGCAATTAGTCAGATAAATAACTGAATACATGCATTACATGTTATTCATAAAATGACCACAATCACAAGATTTTAGTAATAATGTTGATATATGAAGTTGCATTATTAAAATAGAATAGTAATGCTTTCTTGGATCTTATTCAGTATAAGGACCAGCTGAAGTTAGTAAATAATGCATTTAGTTTTGTACAAAAATTTATATTTATAGATTCATACATGGTATTTAACACAGGTAATTGGAATGGCATAAATTTTGAATAGTTACAGTTCCATCAGAGGGGACTTCCCTTACGATTGTCGATCTACCAGCAAGCTTGCCAGTCTCTGACCGATGATTTTGAAAATGTCAGATTGTCAGCCATGAAACTGATATGGGTTCTCAGTCACCTTTATCCAGACAGGTAATAAGAGCCCAAACAAATCGATATTCATTTTTCATGGTTAAAAAAATATCATTATATAATAATATAAATTTGGATTGCCCAAAAATTCCCCTTTAAGTGTACTCCATCAATAAAACATTAGTCACTGATAAATTCTGGGTTAATGTGCCTTAATCAGTCGGTCCTTTTGAGTAGAGCTATTGAAAATAAAATGTGACCTCCTTATAGAAAAATCTACTACGCAAAAAGTTGACATGATTTAAGGTAAATTCAGAATATGACTAGAGATTAATTGCTTTTGCCACATTAAGAAATGGTTACATCTCAGAAAACCATCCTTAAACTCCCAATATGATATTTTTTATGTTTCCTGCACAGCAGAGTGACAATGGATGATTTTGCCAGGTGTCTGTTTGTCTACCTGTGCGTCTGTCTGGTGTCTTATCTGCATACCATTGCATCTGTCTGGTGTCTTAACTGTCTACTGTGCTTCTTTTTTGTGTCTTATCTGTTTACCTGTGCTTCTGTCTGGTGTCTTATCTGTCTATCTGTGCATCTGTCTGGTGTCTTATCTGTCTACCTGTGCATCTGTATAGTGTCTTATCTGTCTACCTGTGCATCTGTCTGGTGTCTTATCTGTCTACCATTGCATCTGTCTGGTGTCTTATATCTGTCTACCTGTGCATCTGTCTGGTGTCTTAACTGTCTACCTGTGCTTCTGTCTGGTGTCTTGTATGTCTACCTGTACATCTGTCTGGTGTCTTATCTGTCTACCAGTGCATCTGTCTGGTGTCTTATCTGTCTACCTGTACATCTGTCTGGTGTCTTGTATGTCTACCTGTGCATCTGTCTGGTGTCTTATCTCTCTACCTGTGCTTCTGTGTGGTGTCTTGTGTGTCTACCTGTACATCTGTCTGGTGTCTTATCTGTCTACATGTGCATCTTTCTGGTGTCTTATCTATCTATCAGTGCATCTGTCTAGTGTCTTATCTGTCTACCTGTGCATCTGTCTGGTGTCTAATCTGTCTACCTGTGCATCTGTAAAGTGTCTTATCTGTCTACCTGTACATCTGTCTGGTGTCTTGTATGTCTACCTGTGCATCTGTATAGTGTCTTATCTGTCTACCTGTGCATCTGTATAGTGTCTTATCTGTCTACCTGTACATCTTTTGGTGCCTTATATGTCTACCTGTACATCTGTCTAGTGTCTAATCTGTCTATCTGTGCATCTGTCTGGTGTCTTGTATGTCTACCTGTACATCTGCCTGGTGTCATGTATGTCTACCTGTACATCTGTCTAGTGTCTCATCTGTCTAACTGTACATCTGTCTGGTGTCTTATCTATCTAACTGTGCATCTGTCTAGTATCTAATCTGTCTGGTGTCTTGTATGTCTTCATGTGCATCTGTCCAGTGTCTTATCTATCTACCTGTACATCTGTCTGGTGTCTTGTATGACTACCTGTGCATCTGTCTGGTGTCTTATCTATCTATCTGTGCATCTGTCTAGTGTCTTATCTGTCTACCTGTGCATCTGTCTGGTGTCTTACAACTGTCTACCTGTACATCTGTCTGGTGTCTTGTATGCTTGTATGTCTACCTGTGCATCTGTCTGGTGTCTTATCTGTCTACCTGTGCATCTGTATAGTGTTTTATCTGTCTACCTGTACATCTGTCCAGTGTCTTATCTATCTACCTGTACATCTGTCTGGTGTCTTGTATGACTACCTGTGCATCTGTCTGGTGTCTTATCTATCTATCTGTGCATCTGTCTAGTGTCTTATCTGTCTACCTGTGCATCTGTCTGGTGTCTTACAACTGTCTACCTGTACATCTGTCTGGTGTCTTGTATGCTTGTATGTCTACCTGTGCATCTGTCTGGTGTCTTATCTGTCTACCTGTGCATCTGTATAGTGTTTTATCTGTCTACCTGTACATCTGTCTGGTGTCTTGTATATCTACCTGTGCATTTGTCTGGTGTCTTGTATTTCTACAAGTGCATCTGTCAGGTGTCTTATCTATCTACCTGTGCATCTGTCTGGTGTCTTTTCTATCTTTCTGTGCATCTGTCTGGTGTCTTGTCTGTCTACCAGTGCTTCTGTCTGGTGTCTTTTCTGTCTACCTGTGCATCTGTCTGGTGTCTTGTATATCTACATGTGCATCTGTCCGGTGTCTTATCTATCTACCTAAACATCTGTCTGGTGTCTTATACGTCTACCTGTACATCTGTCTGGTGTCTTATCTGTCTACCCGTGCATCTGTCTGGTGTCTTATCTGTCTACCATTGCATCTGTCTAGTGTCTTATCTGTCTACCTGTTCATCTGTCTGGTGTCTTATCTATCTACCTGTACATCTGTTTGGTGTCTTGTATGTCTACCTGTGCATCTGTCTGGAGTCTTTTCTATCTATCTGTGCATCTGTCTGGTGTCTTATCTGTCTACCAGTGCATCTGTCTAGTGTCTAATCTGTCTACCTGTGCATCTGTCTGGTGTCTTGTATGTCTACATGTACATCTGTCCGGTGTCTTATCTATCTACCTAAACATCTGTCTGGTGTCTATTGTCTACTTGTACATCTGTCTGGTGTCTTATCTGTCTGTCTGTGCTTCTGTCTGGTGTCTTGTATGTCTACCTGTGCATCTGTCTGGTGACTTATCTGTCTACCAGTGCATCTGTCTAGTGTCTAATCTGTCTACCTGTACATCTGTCTGGTGTCTTGTATGTCTACATGTGCATCTGCCCAGTGTCTTACAACTATCTACCTGTACATCTGTCTGGTGACTTATCTGTCTACCTGTATGTCTATCTAGTGCATTATATTTGTCTACTTGTACATCTGTCTGGTGTCTTATCTGTCTACCTGTACATCTGTCTGGTGTCTTGTATGTCTACATGTGCATCTGTCTGGTGTCTTATCTGTCTACCTGTACATCTGTCTGGTGTCTTATTTGCCTACCATTGCATCTGCCCTGTGTCTTATCTGTCTAATCAGGCATCTGTCTGATGTCTTGTATGTCTACCTGTGCATCTGTCTGGTGTCTTATCTATCTATCTGTGCATCTGGCTGGTGTCTTGTATGTCAACCTGTGCATCTGTCTGGTGTCCTATCTATTTATCTGTGCATCTGTCTGATGTCTGGATTCTGGATCTGACCTTTATTTTCCAGATGAACTGTGACCATGATAAAGTTTTTGGAGCAGGTTCACTCTAATGTGTCTACACTAGACAAAATTGCTAATGCACCACTTATTATTCTTATTTGTGAATTGCTCATTTTCCTGATTGGTACTATTATATAAAATATACCATCTTTTCCAAAACAGTTGGATTGACAAATGTCTTGGTGTCATGTCAAGACCCTTAAAGGACCTTCTTGTCCGAAAACCAATTTCCCGATGTGCACTGCGCACCGTTTTTGCCAAGATATGAAGTTGGTGATTACCGATGGGGGTCCGTGACGTTGCAACAGTAGCAGTCTCCCACTTAAAAATCAAATCATATAACCCTGATTGACTACCATATCGCTTAGTAGTCATCCAGTGCCTTGGTGTCCCTACCAAATCCACCCAACTTCCGGTTGCCTCAATTTTGTGGAACAATCTTGAAGTTATTTGTACGGTGCTTACTTAATGCCGTCGATATCTATTGTTAACATTTTTACGATCGTTAGTTCATTTTCAACAATTTTTCACCAGAGAAATGCATAATCTTTTAATTGTTTTAATTTTTCATAAATTTCTTCAAAGGAACCCCCTGCAGACACCATACTGGCTACCTCATCACGCTCCTCTAGAGTCAAGCGCCGTATACGGTGTTGCTTTTTTTCTGAGTTTTTAATTAGTGCAAACATAAAGAATACAACCATAAAGAAAAAATTAGAAATCTATTCTACCAAAAAAGTATGGATATGATTTTAATTTTTTCTACGAAGTGGTTATGTTTCAGTAAACATTGTTGTTTTTTATCAGTTAAAACATTTAAATGTCTCATTTTTTATTAAAGTAACATAATTATATATCAAAAACATCATAAACAAGTTTTGAAAAGAAAAATGTTAATTTATTTAGGTGGTGCATTAGCAATTTTGTCTAGTGTATAAGCTATGCCTTGACCAAACTTGCATGCAGGGATGTAAACTCCCTGATTCACTTCACATGCTGGTTCTGACATACATTTTCCCTGTGATTGAACAGATTTATTCCAAAGTTACTACTGCAAAAGTGGAGTTTTTTGGAGCAAGTCCATTCCCAAGTAACTGAAAGTCCTACTCAGACCAAACCTGCATAAATGTTGCATATAAGGTTGCATCCTATCAGAAAACGTGTTGAATTCGAGACTTGGTCTTACTTAAAGATAACATTCATTGAAATGAACTTCGTAATGTTTGATTACCTATGTTTCCTCAAAGATTATTCTTTGTATGGCAAGAAATATGGCTTAATTGAAGATATTTAGAGTGTTCATTGCTTGTAAATGAACCTTCCATAAGGTTTAATCAAGTTTTCCCTGCACCACTTAAACCATAGAATATTTACACTTTGATATTTAGTATAAGCTGTATATGAATAGACCTTTCAACAAAAGAGAAGCGTACCAACATTAATCCTAACTTTTTTTGGAATTATTTGTGAAAAAAGTATACTGTCTATTGAAAATTTGAGATGTAGCTTCTTAAAATTTCTGGTCCATATTATTACTATATTAACTGGATTCTTTGACTTGAAGCCTGGTTCCTGTTGCGGATTCTGAAGATGAACTTCGATTGGTAGATGATGGATTTGCTAAGATATGCAATATGGTGAATGACATTTCAGTCAAAGTAAGAACAGAGGCAGCTATCTTATTGGTAAGGATGAATACACCCAAAGAACTAAGTTACTTGAATCAAAATATTACAGTTTGTTTAGTCATTTGAGTAATGGTTTTATGTATTGTTAATGGATATTTAATGTTTTATAAAATAATTGTTACTTGTTTTACTTGTTTTGCGTTTTTCTCAGGAGCTGATTTTTTTTATGGCAGGTTAAAGTTTAGTTAAGCTTCATTCTTGATACCAACTGCTAATTCTATAATTACAATAAAAAATATATATAATAGTACATTATGTGATATAAATATATAATTATGTACCTATAAAATATATGTATGTTATAAGAATTAAAGACTTTGATGGGGTTTTTGTTTCTTTCAGGGATCATTACACCAAGTTAGTCCTAAATTTCTGGAACAGACATTAGATAAAAAACTTATGTCCAACATGAGGGTAGGTTGAGGGATTTCAGTACTGTGATTTCTTGCCATTTTTGGTCCCTATTTCATGGGAATGATACCCGCTATTCTCTATCTGAATGATATTGTAAAATGAAGTTTCTATTTAATACAGTGTTAATGAGAGTTTTATTTGGTTTTTGAAATCTGGGGTTTTTTTTATTACAGAGGAAGAAGAGTGCCCATGAAAGGGCAAGGGAGCATTTTGCCTCTGGAGAATGGGCAACTGGGCAGAAGTGGGCTGATGATGCACCTAAAGAAGAACTTGATCCAGACAATGTTAACCTGATGAACATTGGGGCCTGTGGAGCGTTTGTTCATGGCACGGAAGATGAGTTCCTAGGTCTGTGTCAATATCTAAATTAAAATATGTTCTTCATGTTGTTCAAGAATTAAGAATTTGCCATGGATTCAAAAATGACTTTGCTATATCCGTAAATTCGTTATATCTGTGTTCATACTAAAAGAGTTTTACTGTACTATTATTGAACTATATGTTTAATTTTGACAAGTTTTCTATATTGCAGAGGTGAGAAATGCTGCCTTGGACTCGCTGTGTGAACTCGCCAGTCAGTCTGCATCCTTTGCTAACCTATCTCAAGACAGCATCATAGATATGTTTAATGATGAGATAGAGAGTGTGAGACTCAATGCCATTAACAGTCTGAGAAAACTCAACAGATACATCACTCTTAGGGAGGATCAGCTAGAGATCATACTTGGGGTGCTACAGGTACAGGAAAATTCATAACATTATTCTAGTAAAGGTGTATTTATGGAACCAAAATTCTTAATTTCATGGTCCCTGTTACCCAGGGACCTTGGGGATGGGGCCAAAACATTTAAACTCGTGCATTTTCATAAGTCTTCTTAGTTACTTTCAGATTTCTAGTAAGGTAAACTTTATGCGCAGTGTCTAAATATATAGGAATAAGGCCTCTATCAAATGAGTTTTTCATATCTGTTGTTGCTGTGTAATGATTACTATTTTTTTTTTTGAGTTTGGTGTCTGGAATTGCAGAAAGATTGCCTAAGATCAAGATTTAAGATCAGTTGAATAGGTTCATGGTCGTAGACAAGATAAGTGTTAAGTTCATGCCTGGTCTATAAATTTGAAGAAAAGAATCATTTCATTGTCCTTACATAGCATAAGAGTTGTTTACGATGTGTTGTCTTAACTTTACCTAGGGTCATTTTGACAAGTTCAAGGTCACTTGAATTAAAAAATACTAAAACAAATCCTATCTCGGCGCAAGTTTTGCAATAGAGAAACATTAGAAGCTAAAGCATTGGGCAAGTTCAAGGTCACAATCATATAACTGTTATATGTACCTTGAAAATGGTTATACATTGTAGCCCTTTATACCAGCTTTAGATTATTTTGACCCCTTTAGGGCACATTTGTGTATGATCATTAAAATCATTAAAAAAATGCACATCCAGACTAAAAATTGATTTGACAATGAAATGGTCATTGAGAGGGTTTTGATGAAATCAAACAACAAAGAGTAAGAGTCAAATTTCATTTTGCTGTGAATTCAGACATGATACTTTCAATAGTCATTATAGTGCCTAATTTCAGATTATCTGATATATGATTTCATATGTAAAATTAGGCTTATAAGCAGAAAGATGCAGTGATTGAAAGGGATATATAATTTATGCACAATTCTTTTTCTTTGTAAATTATGTCTTTTAAAAATCATTGCCTTAATTTGGCTTACTTATGGTCAACAATAAAAGTTTCATATCAGATTTAGATTCATTCTTGATTCGGGGGTGCGATCGTGTAATTCCTATAATGACAGCCCTGAATGGCTTCACTGATTTTCTAAGGTTGACTGACGTATATGTGAAAAGCCCTACATTTTGAGAGGAAGTTAAAATCTGTGTATGACCCAGTTGTCCCCAGTACTGTAAATGCCAAGGTAGGAAGACCCATTTACCTCCAAAATTAAAAAAAGTAACAGACAAAATCTGTCTTTAAAATATGAGTTCACAAAAGTGCAAGAAATATTTATCACTGAAAAGAAATGCTTTGCTCTAGATAAAATGACCCAAGATGATATGACATTGTTCTAAATTTCACACTTGTTTTGTTATGCTTATGAATAAAGGTGTCAAGGCTAAGACCAAAACAAATCAAAGTTCTTCATTACATGATGATTAAGTGTTTTATAACAGCCATGTATTCTTAAAATCAAAATGCTGAATCTTGTATTTCATCATTTTTTGCTTCCATCTTTAGAGTGACATTTGTTAATACACATGGCATGGCAATAGAAGTTGAGGAAGGTTAATGTTTATCTAATAGTATATTTGAAATAGCTTGGGCTACTGGTTACATTTGCATTAAATAAACGCAGTAGAAAATTTGGGCGTGTTCAAAACAAATTCTTTATGATTGGCAGTGTTGGCTTCTGGCTTACTGAACATTCTCGAAAGAGAAGATTCTAGAAAAAAAAAAGCTGCCACTATGCAAATATTCAAGGTCATTTTAGCAGCCAATCAAACCATCCTTCTAGAATCATCTCGAATAATTAGTATTCCATGCTATTTTGAAATGATAATAAATGGCAGATTGCTCAAAACTGATGAGTTACAGAATAATTTATTTCATGCCTGGTGATTTTAAAGAATTTTAAAAATGTTGCCTTTTTGCAAATTATGAAGAAATAAATTTATAAATAGATACCCCCTATGCAGGAATGAATATAGGAGATTTGTTAATTTTTGTGGAAATCCTGGACTCAGAGATTAAAAATGTCTTTAAACATGCACATTATTTTTCCTTTTTTTCCCAAGCATGATTGAATCAACTAGGAAATAATTAATTCCAAATTAATTGTGACATATTGTCATTGATGGGCATGTCCCATGATGACAGCTGTAGTAATGTATGAGGTTTTTCTCTGTACTACAGATAAAGGCACGATATGTTTAATTTGTTTCATTAATCAATTAATTAAATTTTAGATTAAGATCCACATCCTTCATTTGGTTTGAATATGCATTAAAAACTTAAAAATTAAAGCAGATTGCTGTTTTGTCCTGAGGTATTAACGTGTATCTATTTTGTTTGAGTTCTTGTTATCCTGAGATTAACTATTTCTTTTCACTTAAATCATACACTGGTACACAAAAACAATTTATATTTATTGCCCTTGGATTTTTTATTTTGTTTAAGGAGGTTGGATCCTGCTATCAAAAATCTTGAGAATTTGTCAAGTATATTTTTAGTATCTACACACATAGCTTAATTAAAAGTCAAAACTGAAAATGGGGGTCAGTACGCTCCTTTTGGCACTAGAGTATTCTGTGTCTTAAATATAAATCACTTCTTCGAAGTTTTTCCTCCAATATTTTTTTATCCAAATAAATCATGAGACCAAATATAATCTTATTCTATCATGAAAAGATTGACACATCAAAAGTTGTGACAAATAAAAATTTTTAAATTCCTTTGAATAATCAATTATTTGACCTTTCTGCACTCACAAAATGTCATTTTTCTGGCATTTAAAATTTAACAAGCAAGAAAATTATTTCAAAGTCTTAAACTTTTGCTGAATTTAACAAGAATGATCAAAGTTATCTTATATATTCAGAAAAGAAAATCAAAAATGGGGGTCTATGATGTAAATTTTAGATATTACTAAAAATGTGTTAATTTTAAGTTAAAATTAGTCCTATTTTTTTCCCTGGAATATATTTGCTATATTTGTCACAATATGATGGTAGAATTCATAAAAGTTGATTTAATAAATATTTTAGGACCAACATGAAACATTTCACTGCACAAAATAACTCTGTGTGTAGCCTGCATGGAAAAATAGGAATCAAACTTAACAGTGTACCGTAAACACTTCAAGAGAGAAAAATTGATCATTTTCTTCTAAAAAACCTTCCGCCACAAAATATAATTCCTCACTTAATGCTTTTTGTATGGAATTTAATTGTGTGTTTTTAATCGAATATATATATATAGTTTAATTTGCATTGTAGAATCCAAATTTTATGTAAGAACTAAAATTTGATGCAGAATTTTAGAAAAAAGGTCCAGACAAAAATCTGCTCAAAAATTCAGGATCGAACTTCTTTAAGTAAATCTTTGATGGATGTGTGTTTAATCAAGTTTTCAAACAAGAGTATGTACTTACAGGATTTTTCTACCACAACTCGAGATAGTTTGCGAGACATGCTTGGTGAGATGAAGCTGGCAACTCGTGAATGTTTAAGCAAATGCATCTACAGTCTCCTAGATAACCTAAGACGTTACCCCCAGGACAAACTGTCCATCTGGAAGTAAGTACATACCCTCCCTAGACAATACCCAAGAACAAACTATCCTTCAGGAAGTACATACCCTCCCTTTACAATACCCAAGAACAAACTATCCATCTGGAAGTAAACACCCTGCCTTGACAATACCCCAAGACAAACTGTCCATCTAGAAGTATACCCTCCCTTGTCTATAACCCCAAAGATAAACTGTCCATCTTGAAGTACATTGCCTTCCTTGACAATACTCAAGGGAAAACTGACATTCTAAAAGTACATACCCTCCCTTGGCATTGCTCTAAGGACAAACTGACTATCTGTAAGCACACATCCTCCCTTATCTGTACCCCTAGGACAAAATTGTCAATCTGGATGTACATACCCTCCCTTATCTGTACCCCAAGGACAAAATTGTCAATCTGGATGCAAGTACATACCTTCCTTAGCCAATACATCCAAGACAAGTTGTTACTTTGGAAGGAAAGATTAACCCCCCATTTGATGTTACCCCCAGGACAATTAAACTATGGTATGATTTATGGATGTGTCATGACGACCCAAGATCATTTTTTGGAAGTTCTAGGTTAAGAACAGAAAAAATTATATAATTTGTGTCTGGTCCATAACTTTCTAATGGAGAGAAATTGATAGTTCATTCTTAATTTTAAGGTTCATTGATACTCTGATAAGAGAGATAACTCTTAATGACATAAATCCTTTATAAATTTGCCCAAATTGCCCTATAAAATTGTCCAAGTTTGCCCCTGCAAGCTATAATTGTTTTTATTTTTATTTGTAAAACACATTTCTTCAGGACAATCATTAGAGTTAAAGCAGCATTTTATGTGAGTGAGCAGAGGGTTTATGAACCTTAAGTATTATATAGGTATGGAAATAGAAACCATTAAATATTTAAATATTATAGGAATAAGTGTCTGTAGCCCTTTTCACAAAAAAATTGATTTGCTTTTTACAAATGCATTTGTAGCCAATCAAGCTTAAAATTTCACTTACAATAACTTCTTCCCTAACAGTGTTTTCAATATATAATCCTTCAAAAAATGGTTGGGAATTAAAATAAATTTGTTTTCAAAACCAGTAAGCAAAATAGAAATCATGGATCACAAAGATTGAGTGCAATTAATGTGAAGCAATTGCAGTAAAAAAATTTATAATTATTTAATTTTTTGACAATATTTATGAAATGACAAAAAATACAATTTAAGATTGCATCAAAAAGTTCAATTAAACAGGTATTATATGGTTTTTATCTGATATATTTTTCATTATACACAGCCCTTAAATACATGTACCTTCAAGAGGGCTACAGCTGTTATATTCATTGTAAGAATTTAATTCAGTTAATGCAAATTACTTGAGTATCATTTTTCAAAATATCACCTAGCTTGTACTCATGAAAATACATACATTAATCACTTATTCCTAAATTTGCACAGTGCCATATAAACTATAAGGGCTGGCAGTAATATGAATGATAGTTATGTAGAATTTATTGAGAATGAATAAGTTTTCTGAAAATCTATGCAGAATATTTCTTCTTTTTTTCATTTGAAGAAATATAACACTTTTTTCTTTGTTTCATGTTCACTAATTTATGCATTGCAATTTCTTGAAAACTGAATTTAGTAAAAGAGTCCCCTAAAATAGCAAAAGGCTGGGTTAATAAAGCCGAATGTTTTATATATTTAAACCTTCAAAAGTTTTCTTAAGAAATTCTATATGAAATCCAAGAACCTTGTGAATTTTTTAAAGAATACATTCTATGAATTTGTACCTTTAAAATAATTTCCTGAATGGTCTAGTAACTGGTATTGAGAAACTACATGTAATGTTAAATATTTTGCTGAGTCACAGCTCTTCAAATTATTTTTGAATCTACACCAGTACAGACAGTTATATAAAACTGACGACTTTTTAGCTCACCTGAGCCAAAGGCTTAAGTGAGCTTTTCAAGTTGAGGAGTGTCCTTCTGCTGTGCATCTGTAAATTTTTCATATGTTCATCTTCTTAACTTACCACAAACCCTGCTTGGGTGAAGGGAATTGAGATTTGTTCATACCAAGGGCAACACTTTCTTTTTTAAGTTGAGATAATTAAAAAAATAATGAAAATCTGTGTCATCATTTACAAATTTTCTCATCAATACCACAGGGGCAAAAGAGACATAAGTTATCTGAATACTTCTTTATACAGTAATTATATTTAATTTTTTTTCTATTTTTCATGGATCCCAGGGGTATGATACTAAGGATAGGGCCACAATAGGAGATCAGAGTTATACATTGGTATAAAAGAAAAATATATAAAGAATCTTATTGTCAAAATCAGCAGAACATGACTAATAATATTAACAAGCATTCTGAGAGTATTGCATTAGCAATACTAGTCCCCTACCAGCAAGTGTAATCTGGTTCCTGTTAAGAATTGAAAATGCCATAATTCCGTCAAAAATCAATGAAGGGGAACGAAATGCAAACTTGATCTATAACTCATCAAGGTAAAGTCACATACCGAAAATCAGCTCAATATCTGCAAGCGTTTAGAAATAAATTGCAGAAAAGCCTGAAAAATTGAAATGGTCGTAATTCCGTCAAAAATCATTGAAGCAGAATGAAATGCAAACTTGATCTGATACACTCACATACCAAAAATTAGCTCAATATCTGCAAGCGTTTAGAAAAAAGTGTGGAAAACCAAGTGGGACAGACTGACAGACAGACAGAGGGATAGACAGGTGGACAGACAGACAGACGAATGGACAGACTCAGAGGAAACCTATAGTCCCTTCCGGTTTCACTGGTAGGGGACTAATAAGCAATCATCCTCAGGCAGGAACTAATTTGTTCAAATCATGGCTCCTGGGGATAGAGTTGGCCACAATAGGGGATACATATTTTACATTGGAATATACACATGCTAAAAAAAATCTTTTAAAATCTTCCCAAGAACAGTGCTCAGGGTTATAATTGGTCACATTTTAGCATCCATAGGAAGTGTAGATTCAAGTGTGATTTGAATCAGACCCCCAAATTTTGATAGAATTAAAAAAAAATTTTAAGCTTTCTTTTTAATAAAAATTATGAGGCATTTTTATTTATATTACATTGCAGGGAACCAATCAATACAAAAATCAGTATGACCAAAATACTTATTAGCATTCAGCTGCTATTAGCATCAGCATTTGATAAGAATCACTTTATATCTCTCAGTTGATTCGATACCCAAGAGCATGCTGTACGTATGTTCAATTTCTAAAACGAGGTAAATTATTGACAAACAAGTTGATAAAACAAGAATATCAGCAGTCTCGTTTAAATTCATCATTTCGTAAGTTCTATGGTCGATACAATGACCTTGTCAGCAAATACAATTTATCAGTCAAATGCAGACTGACGTTTTTCATACTAATTGTTAGGCCATTATTTACACACTGAATTGTCAACAGATTTTTCCGTTATTTTCCGATCATGACAAGGAGCACACGGCGGGTGTGACCGGTCGGCAGGGGATGCTCACTCCTCCATGGCACCTGATCCCACCACTGATGTTTTGGAAGTCTGTGTTTGCTCTGCACCTATTTTGTAATGTTTAATGGACTTTTGAGCTTGAATACTGTTCATTATCTCCATATATTTCATTTCAGGATCAGCATTTTCAGCATGTAAAAAAAAAAAAGAAAACAAAATAAAAAAAAAACTAGCATTGACCTACTTCAATTAACATTCAACATTGACCTGATAGCATCAGATAATTGCCAAGTTCTTTTTTTTGTTTTGTTTTGTTTGTTTGTTTGGTTTTTTTTTTGAAGGGGGGTGGAGGTGGAGGAATAGGGAAAGAAAAAAATTAGTTTAAAAATTCAAAATATTTAATTTAATAAAATATACAGTAAAACTTGTTTAGTACGAACACGAATATAGCGAATTTATGGATTTAGCCAAGTTTTTTGGTATTCCCAGAAAAATTCTTAACAATCCCTTGTAAATTTTTACGGATATTACGAACTCGGATATAGCAAATTTATGGATTTATAGTGAACTGTTTTTGTGTCCCATACAGGCTAAAAATAATGAAGTTTACATCTTTCATAGTGAATTCTCGAAGATCTCATTTTTAAAGTATTGAACTGAGTCAGACACTGTTTTGTACTGTAAGTATTTTAAATATGAAATTCAATTCATCCAGAAATTTTTTAACTCCAAGGAAGCTCTTGTATTCAGTGCTTCCCAAAATGCATTTGGTAGTCATACTTGAAGGAAAAAATCTTTATTGCGAATTCTGGCTATAGCGAATTAGTTTCGCAGTTCCCGAGACTTCGCTATAACCGAGTTTTACTGTAATATATCATATAAAGCATTTCTGATGCCTAAAACTGTAATACTGAAGCTCAATTATTACTTCCGCTCGCATTGACCTAGTTTTGAAACCATCAGGATATGGATCAGGATAAGGATAAATAGCATAACTAACGTTTAATCAGCAAGCAAAGGAAGCATTCAAATTAGCAAGCGAAGGATTGAAGAAAATCAACATTGATAATGTGTAACAAAATAAGCTCCCTGCACCATTATATGCAAGCATCCTCAGGTAGTGCAGATTCAAGTTTGTTCAGATTATGTTTTGACCTAGTAGGGTTTGGCCACAATATTGGATCAAAAAGTTTTATAAGAATTTAGAGGAATAAAGATAAAAATATCAAGAACAGCATTGCCAGTGTGAATCAGATGAGTGTTGTGGCCCATTGGCCTCTTGTTAAAAATTATACATTTTTCAAATACAGAAAGCTAAGCCTATGGAATTTGACTTATATTTAAATTTATTCTAGATAATATATCATTACTCAGATCAAAATATTACAAACATTTTCATTCATTTCACTTATATACCTGGAATATTATAATCCTGTATGCTCTCTGCATTTGATAAAAATTTTGGCTCAACTTCCCTCATCTTTTGCAGGTGTATGAAAAACCTTGGGAGTCATCATCCACATTTGGCCCTTCCTCTTGTTCCAGAACTCCTCTGTCTTCATCCATACTTTGATACACCAGAACCAGACATGGATGATGCTGCCTGTATCCTTAATTATTTGTTTAAATTTTAGAACTTGTTCACTTCATTCATCTAAAATACATGTAGATATTGAATTGTACTACATGTACAGCAATGTAAGTAGTGAAGGACAATACGCTGTAATAAACTATTGCTTTTACAGTTTGGGGATGAACAAATCTCTAAATGTATTCAAATATTCTTATCCAGTATATATTTTGTGGTGCAGAAATGTTTATTGTCATGACAGTTAGTTTTACAATACAGCTAGACAGATAAGTCCTTTTTGTGAAATAAAAAAAAAATATTGCATATATTGCCAATATTCTTAATCAAAATAAGTGTAAGTTTTTAACAGATCATGATAGGTTTCAAACAAGGTAATAATTTAAGGACATGTAAATCAATTTTCAATGATAAATTATATAAGGAGTTTGTCAGTATTTCTTATGTTTCCTGAATTAATTGTGAATAATAGAAAAATAATTTAGAACAAGAAAGAATAATTTATCATAGTACATATGGCTTTTATCTTTGCAAGCCAACCATTTCTGGTTAATTTTCAAAGAGAGAAGATACACATCATGTTAACAAAAAACACGTGGCTTTTGAAAAATTTATTGAATGAAAATCTATTGACTCCAGAATATTTTAGCTCACCTGAGCCGAAGGTTCAATTTCTGATTGAAATTTGTCCATTGTCTGTCGTCTTCTTTTCACATTTTCATCTTCTTCTCAAGAACCACTGGGTCAATGCCAACCAAACTTGCCACAAAGTATCCTTGGGTAAAAGGGATTCAAGTTTGTACAAATGAAGGGCCACACCTTCTTCCAAGGGGAGATAATTATGAATTCGTGAAAAATTAATGGCATCATTTAAAAATCTTCCTCTCAAGAACCATTGTGCTTGAAAATATCAAACTTATAATTATGTGGAATCATTTTGAGGTAGTATAGATTCAAATTTGTACAAATCATGACCCCAAGGGGTAGGGTGGGGCTACAATGGGTGATCAACAAAGTTTTACTAAGGAATACATTGGAAAAATAAAAATCTTCTTCTCAAGAACAACAAAGCCATGATTGGTCATATTTATATGAAAGCATCCTTAGGCAGTGTAGATTCAAGTTTGCTCAAATCATGACCCCCAGGATAGGGTGGGGCCACAGTGGGTGATCAAAGTTTTACATAGGAATACATAGGAAAAAAATCTTCTTCTCAAGAACAGCAAAGCCATGATTAGTCATATTTAAATGGAAGCATCCTCAGGTAATGTAGATTCAAATTTGCTCAAATCATGACCACCAGGAGAAAAGGGGGCCATTACAGGGGATCATATTTATACAAGGGATATATCAATAAAAATTTTCTTCTTAAGAACAGCAAAACCATAATGTGTCATATTAATTCAAAAACATCCCTAGGAAGGATAGATTCAAGTTAGTTCAAATCAACCCCCCTACTTCTACATTTTAAACTTTTCAAGACTAAACTGATTTTTACTTTTTCCTAGCCAGAGTGCTCAGGTGAGCGATGTGGCCCCTGGGCCTCTTGTTTGTCTACATTGGTGATACCTTCATTATTAGGGCCTTAACTATGTCTCAGACATCAGTGTCTTGATGATGGTGTTTAACTCAGCTGTAGAATGTCCCACAGTGATGACTATGTTCCAGGATCATACATGGAGACATTATCATTATCTACAAGACAGCCTACCTGACCTTGTCCCAAAACTCAAGGTCACTTTCCTCACTGCTTTGATTTATTGATGCATATTTTCTTTAGTCCTTATTGAACAGTTCTATTCTTGTATTGTTTAGTTAGGAAAAAGAACTAAACTACTGTAAAAATTGAATGCTGTTATGAAAATTATCTTCTGTGTTGAGTCAAAATTTAAGTTTTATTTGTGTATTATGATTTTTCAGAAGAACTTGTGTGCTCTGAAAGGGAGTGAAGTTGATAAGCCTTTCCACACAGATGTGAGGTCTTTCCTTAAGAACTTGTTAAGTGGATTGGACAGCCTGCCCAATATGGACCTAACCACTGTACAGCCATTGTTGGAGAGCATGGTCAGGTATGCAGTTAATGATGGGAAGATTTTTTTTTACCTTTATTTTATCAGTACATTTGCTATAATACTGTGAAATCACTAATTTTCATGTTGGTTTAATTTTCATTGCTTTCGAGGTTTAAGAGACCCATAAATTCATGTCCACCACAAAATGTGAAATGTCATGTAGTACATAACTTCTCAACAATTCTTCATCCACAAAATCAAAATCCTCACAAATCCATAATTTTTTCCTTAAACCACACAAATTTAATCCCATGAAAATATGTGATTTTACAGAACTTTATGCATCACTAGGATGAGAAAAATGTCCTGATGAGATTGTCCTGGCATCATTATAAATTCTTGGAGATGACGAGGAAAATTTTGCTTTTGTTATTTTACATCCATGATAAAAACTAGGCAGTAATTGTGTGGTAGTTGTTTGCTTGTCCTGTTGGACAAGTCTTCACAATTGTATTTACTTCCGGAGTCCCTGACATTTAATGCAGTAAAATTGTGTTTATTTTGCTATAACTGAAGGGATTTAAAGTTTTTTTAAAAATACTTTTTTCCACCCACCCCATTTTTTAAGAAAAAAACAAGATAATCTCTTTATTTTTCCCTTAGGGATCTACAACAGATTTCAGAACTAAATGAGATTTGTAGTCCATCAGCAGAGTTTGTGTGTGTTTTCCTCAAAAGTCAACTTCTGCTCACAAAGGTATGCTGTGAATAATTTTAAATGACCTTGCACCAGTTTTGGAGAAGATTATTTTAAGTGCTTAAAGGTTGAGAGGAAAAAAAAAGGTTTATGTATTGCACGCAGGGTGACCTGTCTGAATCAAAGTGACTCAATCGTGTTTTGATAGATTTTTTCCAGCTAACAAGTAGTTTTTTATAAGATGAATTTTTAAAAGCCATATTAATACATGATTAACCTTGTGCACAGTCATATAAATTATTGCTCCTCTATGAGCTGCATGCATATTTATACCCCCCCCCCCCATGCAAACAAAGTTCTGGGGGGTACATTGGAATCAGAATGTCTGTCTGTCTAGCTGTCCGTCTGTATGTAGACATGATTTTGACTGGACATGTTCTTGTTCTTGGAGACTACTACATGGATTTGTTGAAAATTTGTACACACATTATTCACCATATAAAGATGTGCACCTGCTATTTTCATCATGATTGGACAATTTTTCTTCATTTTACAGGTGCCCCCCCCCCCCCCTCCCCCCTTCCCGTTTTTATAGACTTAGTCATTTTGCATTCATTGGATTTGAAACCTTAAATCAAGAAACTGTCAGTTAGTGCATGTATAGAGAAATGTGAATTGGTGCTTAAAACCAGGTTATTAAAACTTTAAAATGACCAAGTATGAAAAAAAAAGTTTTAAGGGAGATAGTCCCTACAAATGTAAGAGTTTTGCAGTAACCTTATTTTAAAAAAAAAATGATTCAAGATTACATCGTTTTTGAAATATAACAGCTTTATTAAAAAAAAATTAAATCTTTGTTTTTAACAGTAATGATAATAAATATGCAATGATATTGTACAATGAAAATGCTTAACAGTGCATCACATAGCAGATAGTGTAAATCCATTTTGTCCTGAAGGAGAGTGAGTTGGACATACTGTGAAATCACTAATTTTTTCGTGGGGGTTTAATTAGGGCCCCGCTCTGCGGGTGCCCTATAGTCATCAGTCTGTCCATCCGTCTGTCCGTCCGAGATCTCTTGTTTGGAGCATATCTTCTCTCTCCTTGGCCCAATCTGGTTCATACTTCACCCACAGAGTGCCTTTGGGTGAAGGGTGTGCAGTGACCTTGAACCATGTTTCTAGATCTAAGATCAAGGTCTTAGCAGAATTATATGAAAAGTCCTTGTCCAGAGCATAACTTCTCTCCCCTTGGTCCAATGTGGCTCATACTTCACTCACAGAGTGCCACTTGTCAGTGGATGTGCAGTGACCTTGAACGAAGTTTCAAGGTCAAGGGTCAATTTCAAAAATAGCCTCTCTGTTTAAAATCTTTGTTCGGTGCATAATTTCTTTCCCTTAAGTCCAGTCAGCGTCAAACCTTACCAATTGACTTAGGGTACGGATCATTTGTTATTTTCCTTCCATATTTCTGATAGAGGATATGCAACAATTTTCATAGAGGATATTCAGCATTCGTGATTTTTAAGCTGTTTTTTGATGGAAGGTGTTTAGCACTCATGAATTTTTGTGCCATATTTTATTATAACAAGGATAACATAGAAGCCCTTTAGACTCAAACAACACATCCCTTAATAGTACACAAATGTTCCTCTTCAAAATAAACCCTTTTCAGCTACCTTACATTTCCATGTTCATTGCTGAAAGTGGGGCCCTTTGAGATGGCCACCATCTCAATGATATCTAGTTTTTGTTGTTTTCGTGGTGTGAAGAAACCCATGAATTTATGTCCTCCAGGTAATGTAAAATGTGTAATATCATGACAACTTCACAATATTTCAACCACAAAATCTAATCCCCACAAACCAAGATATTTTTGTCAAACCATGAAGGTTTGACCCCACGGAAATAAATGATTTTACAGTGTCAGGAGCATTTTGATAAGTCTGTCCAGTTAAAGATTAATTAATGAGTTCAGTGTAGGAAGGATCCTTATTTTAGTAAGAGTTATATATATATTAAAATATATGTACATAGTTACTCCATGGCCAGTCTTCTATTCTCAAAATTAATTTGGTATAAGGTTATGAAAACTACTTTGATATTGTATAATATGATATTTTTATTTTGTTTTTTTTATATCACAACAAAAAAATTGCAGAGTGCCATGCCTCTCATATTATGACAGAAGGTCTAATTAAAAAAAAGCAATAAAATGATTAGCATTTTGAGGTTTAATTGGGCTGTGGCTTAGTTCATCATTCATGAAAAAATACAATGAGCAGTTAAACTCTAATTGTCAATGTTAACAAATTGTGAACACCTCTAGATCCATATTAAAATACTTTTAGTGACTTGATACCTTTTCTGAAAAACCCAGTGGGGGAGGGGATATATTTGTCCATTTCAGACTGTTCATTTGCATGCAAGTGTAATTGAAAGCAGATTAAACAGGACTGAAAGTAATAAAACACTAGAAACTGTGCTATATTACAAGCAAAAGTGTATGTTACCATGAACTGTCCTGTCTCCATTTCCATTCCAACGATGACCATTTTGAATGGTGTTTACATAACCTCACTTGGTGATAATTGTGACTGTAAAGTTTAACCAAAGCCATCTTTGAGAATTCTCGGGGGCAAAATTAGTTGGAACAATAACATGTGACACCCTGATTTTGTTTGGAATGATGTAATGAACTAAAAAAAAAAACTTCCACCAACCTTGACATAATGACATTTCAGAAAACAAAACATTTTTTGTCTCATTGCAAGTGAATATTAGTGGTCTTATCTTTTATGCCTTAGTACTTATTTAACTCAGCTTCTTTTAGCAAATGACGAAGTTTGAGATTAAGCTGATGTAAAAGATCTGGTGTTTCTAGATGCACAATCAAAGTAATTAATTAGCTGACCTGTAATTTTTCAGTTGATGAGTCAACAAGGAGTGCAGTGCAGCAGCAGCATAGCAGATAACCAGGTGTTGTCCTTAATTGACCAGGTAATTACATTCCAGGTATTGTTATAACAGATAACCAGGTGTTGTCCTTAATTGACCAGGTAATTACATCCCAGGTATTGTTATAACAGATAACCAGGTGTTGTCCTCAATTGACCAGGTAATTACATCCCAGGTATTGTTGTAACAGATAACCAGGTATTGTCCTAAATTTACCAGGTAATTACATCCCAGGTATTGTTATAACAGATAACCAGGTGTTGTCCTTAATTGACCAGGTAATTACATCCCAGGTATTGTTATAATTGATAACAGGTGATATCCCTCATTGACCAGGGAAGTTGTCACCTGGAATTACATGTCATAGGTATTGTTATAACAGATAACAGGTGATGTCTCTGATTGACCAAGTAAGTTGTCACCTTGAATTACATGTGATATGTATCGTTATAAAGATAACAGGTGATTTCCCTGATTGACCAAGTAAGTTGTCACCTGGAATTACATGTCATATAGGTATTGTTATAACAGATAAAAGATGATGTCCCTGATTCACCAGGTAAGTTGTCACCTGGAATAACATGTCGTAGGTATTGTTTTAATAGATGATAGGTGATGTCTCTGATTGACCAAGGTAGTTGTTACCTGGCATTATATTTCCCTGATACTGTTAAAAATATAACCAGATGATGTCCCTGACAGACTATGGTAAATGTAACCTGGAATTACATGTCACATATAATGTTGTAACATATAACCAGGTGCTGTGGAATTACTGTATACAAGGATACTTTCGCACCATGTTATTTCTGCCCTTTCATACAAACAATTTTGCCCTATTTTAAATTCACCCAGACAAAGTTGCATCAAGAGATAAATGCTGTCTTCTTTTTAACTTCACCCATATGGAATGAGGGCAAAGGGGGCAAAAATAACATGGGGATGAAAAATTCCCTGTAGGGTGAGTTAACCATGCATCAGACACATACCTTGCTTCGGACAACTTTAAGCTTTAAACTTTCATTGAACCTAAGTCTCCCCGTGTTTTTACTTGTTTCTGCCTTAAAGATGAAGATTTAAACTTTTTATTGATACCGACTTTTATTTTCATGTTGTGATAAAAATACCACAAAAATGGTCTTGAAATTACGTCATATTTTGCATCATCAAAGAGGAGTAACCTGAATTTTACAATTTTTAGAGTTGTCGTTCTTTTAAATAGACTTCACGGAACGAGTTGGACCTGGGTAAAATTGGTCAATGATTGATAATTTTAAAGAAATTTTTCAAAAATTTTACTTCAATATTTGTATAATATTTTATAGAGTTGTTTTTTACTAATACAGTGAAACTTGTCTAATCCGGATGTTGTGTAATCCGAGATCTTGTCTAATATGATTTTAACTTGAAGTCCCTAGCAGTAAATTCAATTGTTTTAAATGTTGTCTAATCCGGAATGTTGTCTAATCCGGTCAATATCTTTTGAACCAGTGTTGTCCGGATTAGACAAGTTTTACTGTATGTATATTTCACCGTACATCAGACAAAAATTAACCGTGCATCGGACACTTTCTGATGCATTGGTAATCACTTCCATTTTCATATAAAACCCAAATGACAGCTGTTTTTTACGTAAATAGAAAATAAAAACTCTAAATTTTCAGTGAAAATACAAGTTACTGATATATGACGACTAGAAGTGGACTCAATTTATTTCTTTAAATTAGATGATGATAACCCACGAGACAAAGGCGCGAGTTGCCATATTACTAGCATTGTAAAGCCTTTGTAAGGTGATGTGATGCATCTAAAATCTCTTCACATTTGTGGATCGAAATAGTCATTTAAATTTAACCAGAAGGTTAATTTTTAAATAAAAGATAAAAATGTTTCGATATCACTAATTTTAAAGCACCAAGATCAAGGTATGATATTTTTCTGGTTTATAAATACCGTATGTCCGATGCATGGTGAATATTGTCCGATCCATGGTGAATTCTGACTTATTTTAAAAAAAAAACAAAAAAAAACGGTTTTTAGTGATATTTTCTCAATAAATAGCACACGATTGTGTCAAAAAATTATATTTTAACCACATAGTACATGTTAAGTTCCATTTTGATAATATTCAGTCGGTAGCGATATCGCTAGAACTTGTTGAAGTACGAGGGTGTCCGATGCATGGTGAATTCACCCTATACAGTACTTGAACATATCACAATGTTCTAACACATAACCAGGTGCTTCCCCTGATTGACAAGGTAAGTTGTCACCTGGAATTACTTGTAGGTATTGTTATAAATGATAACAGGAGATGTCCCTGATTGACCAAGTATTGCATTTCCATGATAATAAAACATAACCAGATGCTGTCCTTATTGACCTGGAATTACATGTACATGTCACATATAATGTTACCTGGAATTACATGTACATGTCACATATAATGTTCTAACACATAACCAGGTGCTGCCCCTGATTGACAAGGTAAGTTGTTACCTGGAATTATACATGTATGTTCAAGGTGTTGTCATAACAGATAATCAGTTGGTGCTGTTTCTGATTGACCAAGTAAGTTGAAACTGGAATATAATGTCGTGTTAATACTATTACAGATAGAAAGATTATGTCCCTAATTGACCAGGTAAGGTGTTACATGGTATTACAATCAAGCTTTTAACAGATACCAGATGTGGTAATATGTTATAACATTAGAGCAGATAACTAAGTCTCAGGATTGGTATATAAGTTTTTTACTTAGAAAAAACATGCCTTTGGATGAGGTTTTAACAGATAACCAGATGTTGTTCTGGATGTTCCAGGTAACATGTTACAAATTCTCATGGTAATATTGTTTGTGTCCCTAACTGACTAGGTAAGTTGTAAGCCTAACACATGTTTTCCAGGTAAAAATGCTTGAATCAGACAATATATTGCCTTATACCCCTTGCAAACGTAATTTGAGGAGTACATGTATATAGGAATCACCCTGTCTGTGTAGCTGTCCATTTGTTTGTGCAATCACGTCTGCATTATAACATCTTAAAGGAGAATCACTGGAAGCTAATACTTTGTTCAAAGATTGTTTATGACCCGAGAGTGTAACATGACCATGACCTAAGGTCATTCAGGTAAGTTCAAGGTCACTAGCAGAAACAATTGTAAAATTCTTGTCTGATCTACAACTTCTTAATAGAGAGACATTGGAAATTCATACATCATACGAAGATTGTTTATTAATACCTAGGGTATGTCATGACTTTGACCTAAGGTCATTTGAGCAATTCCAAAGTCATTTGTAGAAAAATGTTTTATTCCTGTTCTAACCATACCTTGTTATGGAGAACATAAGAGACACATATTTATGACAAATATTGCATATGATCAAAGGGTATGTACTAACAATGACTGAAGGTCATTCTAGCAAGTTCAAGGTCACTGGCAAAAACTGTTTTATGAATATATTTTCTATACTTTCAAATGGAGGCTAATTGGAAGTTGATACTCAAGATAAAGATTGCTTATGACTTAAGGGTGTGTCATGATCTAACCCATGGTCATTTTGTCAAGTTCAAGGTCACTAGCAGAACAAGTATTAAATTTAGTGTCTGGTCTATAACTTTCTAATGGATAAACATTGGCAATTCATTTTTCTCACTAGTATTATTTATGTCTTGAAGGTGTGTTTTGACCTTGACCCAAGGTCATCCTGGCAAGATCTAGGTCACTAGAAGAAAAAATATATAATTTTTGTTAGAAGTTGAAACTTCAAAGAAAAATTACTCATGAGCTAAAATTATTATTACTTTGATCAAAGGTCATTGTGTTAAGTTCAGGGTAGAAAAAGTGTCAATTTCATGTCAGGTTTATTATTTTTCTAAACATTGGATATCCATATTTCACTCAAAGATCACTTAAGACCAGAGGATATGTCATTTTTTAAGCCAAGGTCATTCCAGCAAGTTCAAGGTCACATTTACCAAATTGCGAATGGGCACTTAAAAAGATTGCAGTGGGGCATAATATTATTTTGTGAGCTTGTTAACGGTACTTCTAGTTGGAGTTAAGATTATGAAGAATTCATGAGGATCTGTAAAGATAAGTATGTTAGAATCTTATTTGACGGATTAAATGTATTTAAGAATAAACTGGATTCAACAATTATAAGAATACAAATAGTGGATAGAAAATTCCCATCTGTGAATGTAAGTACCGGTATTACAAGCAGTGTTGTGTATTTATTTCCAGATACAAGAGTTTAAATGTTTTTACATTTCCTAGCATTTGTAAATGGCAACTGCAAGCAAATGACAATGGTATATTTCTATTTTTGACTCCTTTCCTTTACCAGATTTTGGGATTGACGCAGAAATTGCAGCATCTTTACCTTGGGGTTAGCAGCACAGAGCACTCTCTGATTCAACAGACAAGTCTCAAAGCCTGTACACTGCAGATCTTAACGAAGATGAAGGCAGACCCCACCAGGTGTAGTAAAGCTAAGGAAACCTACCTGGAACAGCTACAAGCTCTCAAAAAGTGAGTATACAAAAACCAGCAGGAGTTTAAAATCACTTTTTGAGAGTGTGTAGCTGTTACACACTCTTAAAAAAGTGATTTTTAAAAACCATTAGGAGCTACAAAATCTCAAAAAGTGAGTGTATGAAAATCTATAGCAGTTACAAGCTCTCAAAAATTTAGTATTTAAAATTCAATAGGAGCTACAAGCTAAGTGAGTATTAAAACAATAAAGACGTAAGGTCTCAAAAAGTGAGTGTGCAAAAACCTACAGCAGCTGCAAGCTTTCAAAAAGTGAATTTATGAAAACCTGTAGGGGTTACAAGCTCTCAAAAAATGTGTATACAAAAACTTTTATATCAGCTACAAGTATACAAAACAGTACCCACAGCAGCTACTGGTTCTCTGTCTTACCTACTTAATCTTTTTAATGCATTTCTCTACATAAACTGGCATCTATGGTTTCAGACTTTAAAATCTCAGTACATACAATACAATAAGTAAGTGTTACAGAGAAATGCCTGTAAGTACTTAAAATTGAAAAAAAAACAACAGTTAAACTACAAATCAGATGATGTTTCGGATGTGATTGTCACTGTATTGTAGTTTGCAACAGTGAAAGTTGGTTATTCGTTGTATGAAAGTAAAGAACACTGGGACATTTCTTAGCAAATGATATTCTGTGGTTATTACATCCAGTGTTTATAAGCTTTATTTTACTGTATAAGCATTAAAATTTCATATAGCTTGCATAATACTTCAGAAGTTATTCATTATAATTTATCAGTATACCTGTAACTTGTAATCAATGATTTTGACAGATTTTTAGATTCCAATGAGCTTTCAGCAGATCCCTGTTTTGTGTATCTCTTCTCTGTACTTAATGACTTGGAGAATGGGAAAATATCAGACATTCTTAAACATCTACAGCACGCTGTCAAAAACATAACACCTTGTGGAATAGTTCTGCAGAACACCTGTATAAGAAAGGTGACAGCCATTATGCATGAACCAACAGGCTCCTCAGATAACCCAGTCCGGTTCACAGCGGGTTTGACTGTCACCATTCCGGTTCATGCTACATTAGAAAATGTCCAAAATCCAGGCAGTATCAGGTTAAAGGTTTGTATATCAATGATTCTTATTTTTAATCTCAAAGACATAAAACATATTGTGTTACTTTTAGTTGCCAATTTTAGTTTTTGCACATACTGCAATTCTAGTTTTTTTTAACTCCCTTCATAAGTACTTTTGTTTTGGAAAAAAGTAATACTACTTTGGATTTTGATTAAGAAAAGAAATTAGGTATTTTCAAGAATTTGTTTTTTTTTTCACTTTATTTCCCTGAAAAAGGAATTATGGATAAATAATCTGTTATGAATTGTACAATTCCAAATTTCTCTATTTTTTGATGAAATTTAGGAATAAAAATTCTGATTAAAAATTCAAAAATATTTAATTGTAATGTAAACTCTAAGATGAATTTTCGGACTACATGTATATACACACAGTATGAGTAGGAAAAGATAGTAATTAACATTTGGATAGGATTGTTTTAGTTCAGTTGAGTTTATTTTTCTTTAATTGCAATATTTTTCATGTTGAAGAACCTTGATATGATATAATTTACCTTGTGCTAGTCATTTATCTGTTTTTCAAAGGATGGTGGGGAGGTTTATCAACTCCAGGGGCTGTATTTTTCTTCAAACATTCTATTAAAATATATTTTTCAATACCAGATTCACTATCCTGACCAGAAGAGCTATCTCATCACTCCACAAAGGAATCATTTCACCAAGCTGAGTCCACTATATCATAAGTTAGTGTCTCAGGTCATCGTATCTCACTCCCTTTGGTCAGGTAAGTCCGAAAGAGTTATCCCTCTTTGAGAGAACTTTTGTCTTAATTGTCACCGAACTAGATTTACAAACTCTTGTTCTGTTGTAAATAGATTGTCAGTAGCAAAAATATGATTTTAAAAATGAGAAAAAATTAAGGTAAGGGAGAATTTACTTCATTGAGGAACATTTTTTTTTAAATTGCAAATTTTGCTAGAATGAAAGAACTCATTTTTTTTTTTAAACAAAAACTTATCAGTAAGATGTAATGTCCCCTATTTATGATTATGTATTTCTAAAGTACATTTAAAATTACTTAAGTGTTGCTTTAATCTATGTTTTTAGATCAGTCCCATGTAGAAATCAGTATTGTCATGGAAATTAAAGATGGTGAGTCCGTGAGTTGTCAGGAACTGTGTCCACCAGTCCGAGTACCGGTTGCTCCCAAAGCAGCCAAACATTGACATTTTGCTTCAATGATATTAATAAATATATACATTGTAAAATACAATTTTTTTTTCATTTTTTATTTTATTAGTAGGGGTTTAAACCGAATAGAGAATTAAGGCATTATAAAAATTAGTTAGATGATACTAATTACAGCTTAGATTTCAAACATTAATCAAAGAGATGGATTTAATTTTTGAGAATTCTTGGGGACGTGAACTACGATGCTTCATGCCTGCATATTTCATAAAGAGCGTTAGTGCTTCATGATAAATATACAGGTGTGAAGCGTTGTAGTTCATGTACCTCATGAATTCTCAAAAAGTAAATTCATATCTTATATTTGCATTATTTTTCCGATTACTTGCCACATATTTTTGTCATTCAATGATCATTCTTGGGGAAAAAAGTTTGCACTATTTTTTGACTTCAGTCACATCACAATGGAAATATTCTTACTCATCCCACGGTAGTTCATGAGAACATGAACTTTTTCTAATTTGCAAAGAATCTTAAGGAAGAATGTTTGGAAATGTAAATATTGGTCAATGTTCAACTTATGAAGAAGCTACTAGTATCATTCAGTGCTTAACCCCCACGAAAAAGTATATTTATGAATCTCATACACATCAATGAATCATGAAACAGACTGTGAAAACTTAGACTTCCTAGTTTTTTATTAGGTCACCTGAGTCACTCAGGTGACCTATTGCTATCCGTTTTTGTCTGTTGTCGTCCGTCGTGCGTCGTGCATTAACTTTTGAACATTTTCAGCTTCTTCTCTAAAACCGCTCAACCAATTTCAACCAAATTTGGCATATAGCATCTATGGGTGAAGGGGAACAAAAATTGTGAATTTCATGGTCCCTGCCCCCCTGGGGCCCCAGGGGTGGGGCTAAAACCACCAAAATTGATGCAATCTTTAAAAATCTTCTTCTTTACTCCTGGACATCAAGCAGTCAAACTGTTGGCATGATTGTAATAAGCATTGGACCCTCTACCTAAATTGTGAAATTCATGGCCCCAGGGTCAGTGGTTCTGGTGCTAGGGTGGGGCTCTATTGATTATATAGTGAAAATGCATTATTTCTTTGAAAATCTTCTTCTCTGCTCCTGGGTATTATTTAAACAAACTAAGTGCAGGGTTATAACAAGCAATGATGCCTCTTCCAAAATTGTGAAATTCATGGCCCCTGGGTCAGGGGTTCTGGTGTTGGGGGGGGGGGGGGGGGGTCTATTGATTGTATAGTGAAAATGCATTATTTCTTTGAAAATCTTCTTCTCTGCTCCTGGGTATTATTTAAACAAACTAAGTGCATGGTTATGACAAGCAATGATGCCTTTTCCAAAATTGTGAAATTCATGGCCCCTGGGTCAGGGGTTCTGGTGTTGGGGGGGGGGGTCTATTGATTATATAGTGAAAAAGCATGAATTCTTTGAAAATCTTCTTCTCTGCTCCTGGATATTATTTAAACAAACTAAGTGCATGGTTATAACAAGCAATGATGCCTTTTCCAAAATTGTGAAATTCATGGCCCCTGGGTCAGGGGTTCTGGTGTTAGGGCAGGGCTCTATTGATTATATAGTGAAAAAGCATGAACTCTTTGAAAATCTTCTTCTCTGCTTCTGATATTATTTAAACAAACTAAGTGCATGATTATGACAAGCAATGATGCCTTTTCCAAAATTGTGAAATTCATGGCCCCAGGGTCATGGGTTCTGGTGTTAGGGCGGGGCTCTGTTGATTATATAGTGAAAAAGTATTATTTCTTTGAAAATCTTCTTCTCTGCTCCTGGGTATTATTTAAACAAATTAAGTGCATGGTAATGGTGCACAACCTGACCCAGGGGTTCTGGTGTTAGGGCGGGGCTCTATTGATTATACAGTGAAAATGCATTAATTCTTTGAAAATTTTCTTCTCTGCTACTGGGTATTATTTAAACAAACTAAGCGCATGGTTTTGATGCACAAGGATGCTTTTTCTAAAATTGTGAAATTCATGACCCCAGGGTTGGGGAGGGGGGGGGCTCTATTGATTATATAGTGAAAATGCATTAATTCTTTGAAAATCTTCTTTTCTGCTCCTGGTTATAAAGTAAACTAAGAGTGTAGTTATGATGAACAAGAGTGCTTCTTCATGAATCATAGCCTCTAAGTCAGATGTCTGGTGTAAGGATGGGTCTCTATCGATAATATAGTGAAAATGCATTAATTCTGTTAAATAATCCTGTCTGCTCCTTAGTGTTGAGCAAATAAATAAAGTGCATAGTTATGATGAACAATTGAGCTTCTTACAAAATTTTAAATTTGGGGGGGGGGGGGGGCTATATTTGTTTATAAAATGAAAATGTGTTAATTCTTTGAAAATCTTCAACTAAATGCATAGTTATGATGATGATGAGGGTACCTCTACCAAATTTATGAATTTCATGACCCGGGGACATGGGTGTTAGGGTAGGGGTGTGTTAAATCTGTAGTGAAAATGCATTATTTCTTTGAAAATCTTCTCTGCTCCTTGGCATATTGAAGACGAACAGAATTAAAGTTTTAATAAGCTAGGATATTTTTACCAGATTTTTGAACATCAGGACCATTTGGTAAAGTGTTCTGGTCCTAGTCAGGGCTCATGACCAGATAGACTTGTAAATAATAAATAGATAAAAAAGAGACAAAAATAACTTATTAAATGTTCTTCAAAGACCAAGAGAGGCCAATGTGACAGGTTGCGATGTGGGGTTAAAAGTAGTACAGAGGAACTATTAGTTTGTTAATAGTCTGCATGGTGATAGTGCTAAATGGGGGATAAATTAGAATTTAATGTATGAGTTGTTACTGAATACTAGACTAATTATTTCATTGATTCTGATCATCCTGTTTCTCTTGCTTTTGGGCAACAAAGCTTCATCTATCAGTTTATTTTATACTCTGTGGATCCTCTAATTTGTTGTATTATACTCAGGTGACCGTTAAGGCCCTTGGGCCTCTTGTTTCTTTTTAGAACTCAAGAAGTAACCAATCGATCATAGATAAGATTTTTTAGATGTGATACAAAATGTGGCCCTTTTGAAATGGAAACAAATTATACCTTGACCAATATCCTTGGTTCATGGTCCTAGCACACCTTATAACCGACCTTTGTTTTGCTTGATATATTTACATGTATTAGATAAGGATTCTCTGTTACAAAATTGTGGACTGGATAAGAATTTTGCATACGGTTGTTACCATAGTTTAATGTAGTGACTTTGACTATATAGATTATTTTGTTCATCGTGAATAAAAAAAAAACGAATCGCACACTTTATCAAAGCGAAGGTATTCACAAAAAGTGTCTCAATGAATAAAATAATTTATATAGTCAAAGGTTATAAATTATAATGTCAAACATACTATTGTACATGTACACACTCGAAAATTTCTAACTCGAAAAATTGTGCACTCAATCCATATGCCGACAGTTGCGTAGAAATTTTATCGATTGGAAAATTGCAAGGATCCAAAAGCTTACAATGCACAAGGCGGGTATAATTGTCTTAAAAAAAAATAAGTATATCAATTATGTAAGTTGTGAAAATCTGCTCGTGTAATTTTCAAAGTGATTGCAACATAGAACAGGCATAAACAATACTTGTTTTCAGTAAATAATTGGTTAACGGTCACACGACGAAAAAGACTTATTTTAAAAAAGCCCAATTCAACTGGCGTCAAAATTTCATAAATATTATGAATTCTGTGGAAGATTACGCCAGGCGATGGGCCAGACATGATAAAGAAGACCTTGACACATGGTCAGAATGGATTAAATGTATCTGATGTATGTTAAAATCTCGCATTAAGGGGTTGAGGGACAATATGAAAACTATCTATCCTTCTGTGTTCAGTAATTCTGAAGTGAAAAAAGAATTAGATAGATAACACGATCAGTATGTACTGGTCCCAGCTGACAAAGTAGGTAACAACATTGTCTTTGTTTGTAAGGCTCATTGTTTTAATTGTATTTTAGAGGAACTTGGATTCAATTCTAAAAGTGGTAATGCAACTTATTAGCTCCCTTTCAAAGGAGGAAATTCTTCAAAATCATATGTTAGTTTTGAATATTTTTAATATTCCCAACAACCAAAATGAATTTGAATTACCGTATGTATATTCGATTCCGAAACTTCATAAAAATCCTTACAAACAAAGATACATAGCGGGTTACAGTAAATGTTTTACAAAGCCTCTTTCTTTACTCCTCACTAAAGTACATTTTAAACAGCAGTGAAGGAGAAACTTCAGGAGTACCGTGCAACAACATACTCGAGACGTGGTGTAAATCAGATTTGGATACTTAAAAATTCCAAGGAACTTTTGGCAAATTTGAAATCGCAAAATTTTACCAAAGTCAATAACGTAAAACTTACGACTTTTAAACTCTATATACAACCATTCCACACGATTAATTAAATTCCAGGCTTTTTGAAATCATAGACAGCTGCTTTTTTAATCAAAATAGATCTTAATTTACATACCTTGTCATTGGTCATTTGCAAAATTATTTTGTTAAAAACATTCTGATTGAACATTCCGATTGTACACACAAGTACTCTGAAGTTGATATTAAAAGATGCTTGAGTTTCTGATGGACAATATCTATGTGGCTTTTGGAGACCAAGTCTTCCAACAGTCTGTTGGAATTATCATGGGTACCAATTGCTCTTAGTTATTAGCAGACTTATTTTTGTATTCATATGAAGAAGAATTTATTCAAAGTCTTATACAGGAGAAAAAGAAAACACTAGTACTTGTGGCCTTCAATTCAACATTCAGATATATCGACGACGTATTATCAATTAACAATAGCTATTTCCATTCATATGTCGACACGATATATCCCAATAAAAATGCCACAGTGTCCGACACATCTGTTCCATATATACTTGGATATTTTACTAGAAAAAGACTGATTGATTGATTGTATGTTGTTTTACGTCCCATTCGAGAATTTTTCACTAATATAGAGACGTCACCATATACTGGTGAAGGGCTTCAAATTTTGACCTGTACTCGGCACTCGGTGCCTTTGAGCAGTGAGGGATCTTTATCGTGCCAACGCCTACCGTGACACGGGGCCTCTGTTTTTAAGGTCTCATCCGAAGGACCCACAACTTTCACTTCAAAGTGCCGAGCGCATGGCGAAGGAACAGTTGCTACCCATTATTTATCGACTTACGTCAGTCGCTGCCGAGATTCGAACTCACGACCTCCCGATCACGAAGCGAGCGCTCTACCGACTGAGCTACCGTGAACGGTACCAGAAAAAGACGTTAATGGTAACCGAACAACAAAGCTTTAGGATAAACTTGATGACTAACTTTTCAATCGTCAACTTCCCTTACTTATGCAGCAATATACCATTATCACCTGCATACGGGGTTTATATCTCTCAATTGATTCGATACGCAAGAGCATTCTCTACGTATGAACAATTTCTAATACGACGCAAGTTATTGACGAACAAGTTGATGAAACAAAAATATAAACAGTCTCCTTTAAAGTAATCATTATGTAAGTTCTATTGTCGATACAATGATCTTGTCAGCAAATACAATCTATCATCAAGTCAAATGCTGACGGGCGTTTTTCATACTAATTGTTAGTCCATTATCTACACACTGAATTGTCGACGGATTTTTCCGTTATTTCCCTATCATGACAAGGGGCATACGGAGGTTGTGGCCGGTCGGCAGGGGATGCTCACTTCTCCATGGCACCTGTGATCTCACCTCTTATGTTTCAGAGGTCCATGTTTGCTCTGCTCCTGATTTGTATTGTTTGTATGGACTTCTGAGTTTGAATACTGTTTGTTATCTCCATATTTACATACACTGTATTTGTTCTGTAGGTCCACACCAAAAAATATAATATTACAAAAAAAGTAACAATTCTAAAAGAATTTTTTAAAAAGGTCACTGAAAAAGATTTTGTGATCAGTTTTATTCGTTCTCAAAGAAAAGACATTGGTTTTTTACACACAATGTTATATTTGTTAAGACAAGAAGTCGTATCCCACGCACGCTTGCGTTTTGAGAGAGCCACGCAGTTTTCTCCGTCGTTTTTATTGAAAGGTTCTCCCCATCCCCAGTTAAGGTATTGTGGTGGTCTCGCCTGTGACACTGACAGAAACATCCCCTTTTGCGAAAGGTCACTGACCCCAAGCCAGACTCCACTCAGACAATCTGCAAGTGGTGGTACAAATATGTAGTTAGTACAAATACTGTCATTTAAGTAGGTCTATCTGGTAAAAAAAACGGTTTAATAACCCGTGCAATATGTTTCATTGTGTCTTTCATTTCCTATCTACTATTTCGATGTTCTTAAGCTTTACACTGTGTAATCCGACAAAATGACTTTTTTGACACAATACATGTATTTGTTTGCCAATGCATTTCATGAAGACATGTTTCACTGTATAGTTAAGAATTGATAAGTTTATCAATAAATTATATTTATGATATAATTACAAATTGATAAAACAAATGTTGTAAGAGGACAAAGCCAAGGGCTAACGTCTGAGCTTAGAGGTCATAAGAATTTTATCATCGAATGCTATGATAATTGCTTTTTGAAGTACACAGTATTAAATGTTTGAGGACAGATGAAACAAACAAAACAGTGGATGCCTGGATTGGTATATATTTTTGAACCTATTTTGGTTGAAAATGATGCAAATAATAAAACTCTAAAATATTAAGAAATCGTTAACTTTCTACGATATTCAAAATTCTACCTGTCTACAACCATTATTATTTATCTAACAATTTTTTGTCATTTTAAATGCCTTTATTGTGAAACTTTGACCGAAAAATTAAAATCTACATGGTTAAATTTATTTGTTTTACTCATATAAACATGACTCAAGTTGTTATTTCAGGATTTTTGATAAAAGTTTGTTTGTATTATGTGTTTGAATTTACAGTGTATGATTGTATTTGAGTACTCAACCTGAGGAAGCATGCGCAGATCTGGCGGGGGGGGGGGGGGGGGGGGGTATGGGTAAGACTATGACCCCCTCCCCATGGGATTTTCAGAGTTATTACATTTTTTGTAATCTCAAATGACATTGGAACCCCCTTCCCCTCCTTTAGAAAATACGGACCCCTTTTAAGGTAAGGAGAGTCTTATATATATATATCTATATATATATATCTATATATATATATATATATATATATATATATATATATATATATATATATATATATATATATATATAAGACTGTAAACATGGCATCATTTGAACTTATTCCATGCTTTGTACAAAGCTTTAATTGGCTCAGTAGTTATATTGTAGGGGAAAATTAAAAGATTGACAAACTTCGATGACATGACAAACTCTATTCCTAAATTAGGTATCTAAGATTTATATTTACACAAAAAGATGACAAATTTTTCACTCTGTAAAACTGATAACACTGAACCAGGCCCGTAGGAAGCAATTTCAGTTGGGGGGGGGGGGGGGTTCAGTTGAGCAGTTGAGGGGGCACTACCAAAAATTCCTTGAGAAGCAAAAAAAAAAAAAAAAAAAAAAAAAAAAAAAAAAAAAAAAAAAAAAAAGACAGAAAAAAGGGGCATCAGACGTTTAATATTGAGGGGGCACAATCATATAGTATCTATGTTTACTACAGTAATCTATATATCGGCAAAATTATTGAGGGGACACCCCACCCCCACCCCCGTGCCCCCCCCCCCGGTTCCTACGGCCATGTGAACCGATTTGAAATACATACCTCTGATTCGACATTGCAAATCAATCCATTTCTCTTCGAGTGAACTTTGGACTTCCAACACATTAGCCCCTAAATCGAGGCATATTGTCTACAAGGAACAAATAGTGTAACAAAAATACAAGAAGTGTGAAAAGTATAGGGAGCAAAGGTGTAACAAATTAAGGGGGCAAAATGTATGCGGAGCATACAGTAAAAGAACAGTGTAACAAGTATAGGGAGCACAAATAGCGTAACAAGTATAGGGTGCACAAATTGTGTAACAATTATAGGGAACACAAATAGCGTAACGAGTATAGGTAACACAAATAATGTAACAATTATAGGGAGCACAAATAATGTAGTATAGGGAGCACAGATAGTGTAACAAGTATAGGGAGCACAAATAGTGTAACAAGTATAGTGATCACAAATAATGTAACAAGTATAGGGAGCACAAATAATGTAACAAGTAAAGAGAGCACAAATAATGTAACAAGTATAGGGAGCACAAATAGTGTAACAAGTATAGGAGCACAAATAGTGTAACAAATATAGTGATCACAAATAATGTAATAAGTATAGGGAGCACAAATAGTGTAAAAGTATAGGGAGCACAAATAGTGTAACAAGTATAGTGATCACAAATAATGTAACAAGTATAGGGAGCACAAATAGTGTAACAAATATAGTGATCACAAATAATGTAACAAGTATAGGAAGCACAAATAATGTAACAAGTATAGGAGCACAAATAGTGTAACAAATATAGTGATCACAAATAATGTAATAAGTATAGGGAGCACAAATAGTGTAAAAGTATAGGGAGCACAAATAGTGTAACAAGTATAGTGATCACAAATAATGTAACAAGTATAGGGAGCACAAATAGCGTAACAAGTATAGGAAGCACAAATAATGTAATAAGTATAGGGAGCCTATAGTGTAATAAGTATAGGGGGCCTATAGTGTAACAAGTATAGGGAGGACAAATGGTGTAACAAGCTAAGAATTGGGAGTAATTATGAAATTATATAACAAGTATAGGGAGCAAATAGTGCAACAAGTATTGGAAGCCAATGGTCAACAGAGTCTTCCACATCTGTTTCATATTTAGATGTTTTACTTACTATAGAATATAAGGACCAACTAACTACTAAACTGTTTGAGAAACGAAAGGCTTATCCATCGTCAACTTTCCATATTAATGAATTAATATTTACATTCAGTGTAATTTTCTTTATGAAATCCATTAGAAATCTCCGACGTTCAAATCTCTATAACGCACGCGAAACCTTGTCACCGCGCGGTAGAATACACAGTAGGATCTATATGCATGTTCAATATTGTATATTGTTTTGACTCAATTTAATAGGAAAAACAACTACCCTGTTAAATTAACGTAAAATACAACAACTGTGCGTTTAAAATTAATTTGTCATTTTTCTCGCAATGTTCATTAACTTTCCAACGTCACAAACGGCTCTTACGTCTATTAAGCACACCAGTTCTGAAAGGCGCTAAATTCATAATAAAGATTAAAGAAATAAACAATTATGAAGAGAGAAAATTAGAGAATGTAAATATAAGCATTGAATTCCTATTTTTGGATGTCGTCGGTCCTATAACACACTTGGCCGTGCCGACAAATTATGATTCAATTTGTCGACACGGCCAGGTGTGTAATAGGACCGACGACATCCAAAAATAAGAATTCAATGCCTAAATTTTCCGCTACCATCTGCATATGGTGTTTGTGTCTCACAACTTGCACGATACTGAAGAGCATGATCCGAGTACGGTCAATTTTTAAGCCGAGACAGATAAGTTGATGTTACAGGGAGTTGAATAATCGCGTTTATTCAATGCTCTTATAATGATCTTGTTAGCAAATATGACCTATCGTTGGGTCATATTTTGACTGACATGTTAGGCCTTTGTTTTTATATTAAAATTGAACACGGAATATTCTGTATACCTGATGAAAACATAGGGCTCACAGCAGGTGGACAGGGGATGCTCACTACTCCTAGGCTTCTGATTTTTAATATCTGTAGGTCCGTGTTTTATGCCCTTTTCAAAGATTTGTGTTAGTAGGGGTTTTTTAAAGATCGATTACAGTTTCCTTTTTATTAACAAGTATAAAAAAGCAAATAGTGCAATAAGTATACTGAGAAAATGGTATAATAAATATAGGGAGGAAATGATGTAAAAGTATAGAGTGGAATAGTGTAGCAAGCATAGGGAGAAAACCAGTAACTAATTTTGGGAACTAATATTAAAACAAGTAAAGAGTAAACAGCGTAACAAGTATAGGGAGGAAATAGTGAAAAAAAACATAGGAAAGAAATAGTGTAACAGGTATAGGAAGCCTATAGTGTAACAAATTTATGGAGCACAAATAGAATAACAAGTATAGGGAGCACAAATAGTGTAACAATTATAGGGAGCACAAATAGTGTTACAAGTATAGAGAGCAAAAATAGTGTATCAAGTATAGGATGAAGAAATAATGTAACAAGTATAGGGAGCATAAATAGCGTTACAAATATAGGGAGCACAAATAGTGTAAAAGTATAGGGAGCACAAATAGTGTAGCAAGTATTGTGATCACAAATAGCGTAAGAAGTATAGTGAGCACAAATAGCGTAAGAAGTATAGGGAGCACAAATAGCGAAACAAGTATAGGCAGCACAAATAATGTAATAAGTTTAGGAAGCACAAATAGTGGAAAGAGTATAGAGAGCACAAATAGTGTAACAATTAAAGGGAGCACAAATAGTGTAACAAGTATAGTAAGCACAAATAGTGTAACAAGTATAAGGTGTACAAATAATGTAACAAGTATAGGGAGCACAAATAATGTAACAAGTATAGTGTGCACAAATAATGTAACAAGTATAGTGTGCACAAATAATGTAACAAGTATAGTGTGCACAAATAATGTAACAAGTATAGTGTGCACAAATAATGTAACAAGTACATGTATAGGGTTCACAAATAGAATATTAATTCAGTATAGGGTGCATCAATAGTGTATAGGGTGCATAAATCGTTTTGTAACAAGTATATAGGCGAATTATTTTACATTGATAGGGGAGCAAATAGTGTAACAAAAAGAAAAATAAACAGATTACTAGTATATTGTAAGAACTTAATGTACATGATGACATGTTAAGTTTTTATAGCAGCATTATATTCTATGTAAAACTATTTCGACAGTAATATTTGTACATTGTTGTTACAGGTTTGCTTAATGATTTATCGTCATTTCGATGTAGAATTGCATAAGAATTGGAATGTTTTATCTAGGTTAATGTTCTATTTACCAACATTATTTTAATGTGAAGTTATCGGTAAAAAGTAGTCATATTTCTCATATTTCAAACATCACCGTATTTTCAGCGCTAAATCAACATTTAAGGTACAAGGTATAATTCTAATAAAGTGTCACTTCAGTGTCAGTGTATTTTCTTGATGTAGGACTCAAAAACTTTAAAGGTTGTCAAGGGATTGTTAAAAAAAACCCGCACTGGCATGACCTGATTTTCTTTATGAACAACAATTAACAAACATGCACGACACTATTTTGTGCTAATTTAAGTAGACTATGTCCATAGTCCTCCAATGTAAATAGGCCAGAAAAATAAATATATTTTTATTTTTAGTTCATTATTGAATTTCTTTCAAGAAAATGGCAATTGATTTATCTTTATATTTAAATTTATTCTTTTAAGATTTTATTTTACTTTAATTTTTAATATTCAAACTTAGGCACATTAAAATAGCTGGACTAAATTTGATGATTAATTCAGTATATTTTTTAAAAAGAGTATTTATGTAATTATCAAATTTAAAATTGAATTACAGCATATCAAATATGAATTATTCAAATATTTTTTGTACAAAAAATATCTGAATTATTCATATTTAATACGTTGTTTGCCTGTTTTACATGACAAGGTACAATGTATCGCATTTTAATTGCCTCAACCATTAGTTACATCATGCATCAGGAAGATCTTCTTTTAAAGATTGATTTTTTTTTTAAAAAAATTAAAGCATATTATAAATAAATATGCAATGAGTCTTGTGAGTTCAGGGGAAAAAATCTTTAGGACATCGGAGTCACTCAGGTCATCTATCACCTATTGCTATCTGTTTTCGTCAGTCGTTGTGTGTCGTCAGTCGTTCGTTATCATTTGAACATTTTCAATTTCTTTTCTGGACCCGCTCAACCAATTTCAACTGATTTTGGCATATAGTACCTATGAGATGATGAGCAAGCGTTCCTCTTCCATACTCATGGCCCCTGGGTCAGGGGTTCTCTAGCTAGGGTGAGGATCTATTGATTGTATAGTGAAAATTCATAAATTCTTTCAATATATTCTTCTTTGCTCCTGGGTATTTCTCAGACAAACTAAGTGCATTGCTTTGACGAGCAAGGGTACCTCTTCTAAGATTGTGAAATTCACGAGTCCTGATGTAGGGCGGTGCTCTATTGATTATATAGTGAAAATGCATTCTTTTAAAGTCTTCTTCTCTCACGTAGTTATTTACTGGTCAATTAAGTGCATGATTTTGATGTGCAAGAGCCCCTTTTCCAAAATTGTGAAATTTATGGCCCCTGGGTTCTAATGTTAGGGTGAGGTTGTATTGATCATACAATGATTATATTCACTAAATCTTTGAAAATCCTTGTCTACTCCAGGGTATTTAGCAGAGTATTTTACCAGATTTGTAAAACTCTAGACCACTGGGTCAGGCGTTATGGTGCTGGGCATGTCTGTGTTAATCATGTAAGGAAATTTGTATTCGATTTTGAGAGAAGTTATTCCCCTTCTTTTCACTCACTTATAATATTCAATCAATGTTAATAGTCAATAAAATAAAAGAAAACTACAAGAATTTTTTTATGCATAATAAAAAGTACATATTTAGTTTCTCATGGTCAAGTAAAGTTGTGAATAACAGATAAATAAAAATGAGACAAAATACCTTATTTTTGTACATTAAATAATGTTATTCAAAGTAAAAGAGAGGCCAGTGGCATAGGAATTTTTACAGGGTTTATATGATAATCACTTATTTCGTGAATGTTTCATTTTAGTTGTTTTCGCGGTATGAATAGACCCACGAATTTAAGTCCTCAAGAATATATGAATTTTGGAATTATATAACAACATAAAACCTCTTCAACCATGTAATCAAATCCTCACGAACCAATATTTTTCCTCAAACCATGAAAATTTGACCTTAAGTGATTTTACAGTATCTTCAGCTGCCAGTGTATTTTGTTTTATTACAAACTTATGATTTTAGTATGGTTTTTGCTATATGTTTTTGTTTATATTACATAAGTGTATCATTGTGTTTAGTATTGTCAAATATACAATGTTTTGACATATTTTGGTTGCGTCGTCATTTATTTATAAATAAATGACCATTCAAATTCCAAACTTGCGTTTTCATTTGTGTCAAACAGAGCACCGCCATATCAGGTATCCATAAAACAGTTAGGTCTTCATCACATTTGCACTAATCTTTACTCGGTTTCATTGAAGTTTTTGAATGAGCTATTTGAAGAAGCTATTTGAAAGCAAGTCCGTATGTGGATTTTTCAACTGCAGAATATAAGCTAGTTTTTGTGATTATGGATGTTGCCCAGTACAGGCTCTTTAAGATGCCACGTGTGTCGGAAGACAATAAATCCTATTCAACCTGTCGGTTCCTAAAATTTGCCAACAAAGGAATAAATGCTGCGAAAATTGGTTACATTCTTAATCATAAAATATTCAGTCTTGCATTTTATCAATTTAGCATTCAAGTTAAATTATACACCCTGAATTTCCTAGAGATATTCCCAAACTATTGCTTCCAATTAAACTTTTTAACTATGAACAACCCTTGCAGTGCCAAGAAATTGAACATCTAAAACAAAATCCTTTCAAGTGTTCTTGCTCTTCCTAATCTTTCAACTATAGCCCCGCTGGAACGTCATTACTGATGATGTTTATATAGACAACCTAAAAGCAACCATTTTAAAAGGTTCCCAAATGGCAACAAACCTTCATTTCTATTATGACTTCTGTCGAAACATGTTTCGAGTACAATCAATTTTTGACAGGCCACTAACAGATAAGTTGATATTACAGGGAGTTCAACAACCTCGTTTAAAGTCAGCATTCCGTAATTCTTTGGTTGTTATAATTACTTACTTAGCAAATATTACCTATCATTGGGTGGTATTCTGACTGACATATTTCAAACAAATTGTAGACCTTTGCTTTTATAGTAAATTTGACTACGGAATATCCCATCTACCTGGCGACGGTTTCACTAACAAATCGTAGATCGTAAACTTACGATTACGTTTGCGTATTTCACGTGATTTCACAAAACATGTCGTAGACGTAGCACTTACGATTTCCGAGTTACGAGCACTTTAGGAACTCTTTAGTGCTGGAGGTAAAATCGACACGAAGCAGACGAACGTAAACAAACCAACCATGGAGGAGAGAAAAGCGAACTGGTCAGAGGCCAGTATCAATCTTTTGGTTGATCTGGTGACTGATCCAGAGCGATGGGCCATAATTCGTGGAAAAATTGGCCCATCGCTCACCATCCAGACCCACCTTACTTTGAAAAACCATTTATATAACTTATGAGGGGACATTCTTAAAAAGATATTTAGTTCCGAAGAGCTTAATTTGTCGGTCATTTAGCATGTGTAGCCTAGTTGTTTTCAGGTCCCTCGGGCGGAATGTTAAATCCGTGTTTGTATCTTTAAAATAAGGAAGCCATATATTTTATACATTGTAAAAAAGGATTTTAGGAATTATTCCATATAAGTTTGTTTTACAAACCTGATGGGAAATGAATATTGTTTAGTCAATGACAAATTGATTTGGTGACACGATCGATAGATCTAGAAACGCTTGATCGTGATATGCCATGCAGGTCACCACACTCAGAAAAAAAGGAGGCCTTGGCAAGGTACCTTATGGTCACCAGACCTAAAAAGTTTCATAACAGGGTTTTTCAAACTTGTTCACACAAATACAGACCAAGAAATCTTCAGTGACTTTAAAAGTTTCATGATATGCCGGGAAAAAAAGGAGAGAGAAAGAGAGAGGGAGAGAAGGGATTAACTGAGATGTTCATTAAACAGAAGAATGTTTTGTCTTTATTGTCCATTGTTCCTAAGGCGATAGAATGAGAGTGCGCGGAACTAGAAACTAACTTCCGAGGAAGAGTACAGAGACATAGGCGCTTAGTTTGAGGATGGTGTGTTTTGTGTACATGTATTACATGTATTTGTTTTTCTAGGTGTGTCTGAATAAACTCATTAAAATAAAAATAAATAAAATATCGCTGAAATTAGCAAGTATTAAAAATATCATACTGTATATAAAAGAGTGCTCTCTTTTATATATATACAGTAATTTGATATTTTTAATACGTGCTAATCTTGGCCTTACATTAGGAGCCGGGAAGGGGGGGGGGGAGGGCAGTGCCCCCCAATAATTATGCCGATCTTTAGAATAGTATATAGAAAACATAGCTACTATATGCATGTGCCCTCTCAATAAAAACGTCTGATGACCTTTTTGGCTTGTCAAGAAATTTTTGGTTGCTGATAGTGCCGCCCCCGATTGAAAATGTATGGCTGCCTCCCCCCCCCCCTCCCCCCGACTGAAATTACTTCCTACTGGCCTGCTAATTTCAGCGATTTTTTAATTTTCATTTTAATGACTGTATTCAGACACACCTAGAAAAAAATACACCATCCTGAATTGAAACCAAGCGCCTATGTACAGAACATGTATATTTAACCAGAACATATAGTTTATTATAACTTCAAAATGTATTTCTATATTTATGTTTTAAGTGATCAACCTCTACATAGGGCTTAACACTTTTATGAATTAAAAAAATATATATATGTATATTGTTCCGGAAAAATCTCTGTCATAAAGAGAGATAACTCTAAGTTGTGTGATGGTAATGTGAAAGGGACTTCAATGGGTAGATAACTCATGGAAATATACAAGCATACCTGTGTGTACGCAGGAAGAGAGTGGCTTCTGTTCGTTGGCCTTTCAACATCCCCTCTCACCATCTCTACCAAACGATAGAGGACATGACGAGGGAGGCGATACCTTTCCACAACTTCCTCATCACTCAAAAAATCAAGGGGATTCGTCCTGTCCCGAAACACACGTGGTCTCTCTAGTTTTCTCGCAGTAACAGGTACGTTTTCGTCTGCTAGAAGTATTAATGACGCCATTTTGTTTGTGTTTGCGAGTACGCGAGGTTATCTACGAGAGCATAGTACCACTCGTAGAGTTACGATCAACTTTAATCGTAACTCGCAAGTCGTAACTCTTAGTGAAACGCACTTACGTCTACGTTTACGAGCTACGACCTGTTAGTGAAACGGTCGCCTGATCTCTTCATAGTGCTCACGGCGGTTGTGACCGGTCGACGGGGAATGCTTGCTCCTCCTAGGCACCTGATCCTGCCTCTTGAATTCCTAGAGGTCTGTTTTTATGCCTTGTTCACAGATTTGTGTTTTATTTGTACTTTTTTTTTTAGATCGATTACTGTTGTTGTCTTCACCTTTTTCATTTGAAACAATGTTGCAGTTTCGAATTGTCTTCGTTTTTCATTTACATTTACATTTCAACATTGCTTCTACGTTCATAAATCAAGTCAACTTTTAATCAGGATTAGAGAGTCTGCAAGGTAATTAACCAATATCACGTGCCGATTTTTTTTCAGTGCTTTGCATTAAACATGCACAGACATTTTTGACGTTAATTTTTTTCTTTTCAAAGAAAGAGAAAAAAGAAAGCCAATAAATTAAGCCCCGCTAACATACGATAACATACAGATCCATCTGTATTTTATTGTAAGGAATTAATTTCAATTCTCTGAAGCCGTTTGTTAGGAAACTGAAATAGTGATTGCAACGGAAAAAGGACATTTTATAACTTTGATAGAAATTGTGAACACGTTATTAACCTTTAATTCAGTCCATACGCACTGGTTAACAGGGCAATGCAAAACTTTATTTCTTAATCTAACAAAATTTTACTCTATGCCAATTTTATATAATATCAAAATATTTTTTTTACGTATCCAATCGACACATTTTGATTCTTGCAAGCGCGATAGAATATGCAATTCTTAGCTTTTGCTCTTGTATGACCAAATTTCAAACTGAATATAGAGTTTACCACTTTATCCAGTAACAAAATGGCAAAGTTCACCAATGTTTGCTTGCATACAGAACATGAAAACAATTGCGCTTAGTTATTCAGGGTCTATCATATACATGTGTTTCAGTTCACTGTTCGACCAAAGTTTCTTCTGTTTAGCGTCCGCGGACAGATTGGTTTTGAGGGATGAAAATAAAAAAAACACACACACACGAAAATATCTACAACAGTTATATGTCAGAGTCTGGAATTTAATATATATTATAAGTTATTTTTGTTACAGAAACTTTATCAATACCGCTGTGTTTTTTCTGTTAATCTGTGTTTCTTCCTGATTGAAAGATGTTTTGTTCTTATTTTTGGGCAATCGCTAAGCAGTAAAACTTGAAATGGCCTTATAGATATTAACTACTCATTTGTCTGTAAAACCAAGAACTTTATTATAACCAGATAGCATCCAATGAATATTAATTCCGAATGAAATTTTTTTTTAAAAAAATGAAAATACATGATACATACCACGGCATGAATAAATTCCATTTCATTCAGAAACTTGTAACAATCTTCACCAAAACTGGCCCAACCATCCTGGCATACATATGCTTATAATATAGAAGAATAGTACCTTTTATAGAACAAGATAAAAAGAGCATCTCAATGTTTTGTTTAAAAAAAATTGGCCTCACATGAGGAATTGGCAATTCTTGAAAGTCATGAACTTGGTCAAAATTCGATAATGTATTTCCCGAAAACACATTGAGAAAAATGAAATGTGAAAATAACAAGCAGTAATCATTCTCAAAAGTCCATTCAATCAATACAAATTATCCACAGAACCAACACGGACGTGTGAAAACGGAGGTGGGATCAGATGCCGTGGAGGAGTAAGCATCTCCTGCCGACTGGTCACACCATTAAATGTTAATTTGATATTCTATCGAATGATTGAAACACCATTCTTTTTCTATATACTATGGATGTTTTATTTATATAAAACTTTTAACTCTTCCTTTGAATATCTTTGTTATATAATTTTTTCATGTAATCTCCTATTCAATTTTTCTCTGCATACAACCTTCCCAAAAACCTAAGTGGTAGCGAGCAATGCAATTTTTCCGCAAGGTGTCAAAAACATATAAATCGCACGTGCCGTGGTTTATTCTGCTACAGATGAATTGAATATGATTTGAAAAACATTATTTTCTATTCTTATTATAGAATTTGCCAATATATAGTTCTAGCCAAATTTTTTTTCAAGCAGGTATACGTTATAGGGTGTGTCTTGCACTCCCTTTCCTAAGTCCCCAAATATTGTTCACTCTATATGGAAAGCCCCATAAAGATTGTAGAAATAAGTGGTATCAAAAGTATGAGAAAACACTTTGAAAATAATAATAATAAAAAAAGAGGTGTTATTAGACCTACCCGTATTGCCTTGTTTGAATGTGAAACTCACAAGTACTAAGAGAAAGAAAATCACAGAGACGTTTGACATTCCGGTTAATGGTCCAATGCCTGCTTTTCTTGAATAACTTGCAATGGTACACTTTTGCAAAATATATACAGAGTGTTCCATAAAATACCACTGCGACTGTCACTACCTTAAAAGTATAGGTAAATAAGGAGTGAATTAACATGTTTTCTTATACTTTGCGAGTTTTTTTTTTTTTTTTGGTGCAAGCATTTTAGGAATTTTAAGCAGTAAAATATCAAACGTTGCTTTTAATTTGAAGGAATGAAGAAAATTTGAAGATGTTGAGTTCAGGGTTTGAAACTTGAGCCTAAGGCAAGCGGTTTATTGACAAAGCTCTCAGACCACGGTACACACTTTCTGTATGATAGCACCTATAGAGACCAACTCGGAAAAAACTGCCAGGCTTATCTAGCTGTGAATGTTACTGATGACATAGCGAAAACTAGGACAGGAAATGGAAATGCGACAGATCTGATCAGGTTTTAAACCCAAAACCAGACCCAAAATACAAAGCCCTTTGAAATCTCGAGTCTTCACAGATTGTACGACTAAAGAACTTGTAACGCCACACAGAATTTGAGTGTCTTTAACTTGGAATAGAAATACATGTAGTTTTTTTCCCCCAGTTTAATCTAATGTGGTATTTTACAAATACCCAAGCCCCCCCCCCCCCTCCCCTCCCCTCCTCAGAGAAATGCAATTGATTAAATTGGTTTGCATGTCATTAATTCTGTGCACTCTATCGGAAATTCGATTTCCTTGGTGCAGTGGCGTTACGTCATAACTACAAGCATTTTGCATAGCACTTTGTGTGGTATAAATTATATTTTGAAACACCCTGTATTTTTAAAACAAAATATGACAGCTGCTACAAGAGAAAAGTCATTTGTCTTGCATGTTGTACTTTGACAGTGATATGTCTAAATAACAGAAATAGCTGTCCAGGTTTTAATTTTTAATTGTCGTACAAAGTTAAATATATACATTGTAGCACGTTGGTAATTAATTGGTGTAAACCGTGAAGCCTTTTCTTCGAGAATTAGCTTGGCCTCTAATCGCATGTTATCTCAAAATCTAAAACATCTAGAATGTATTTCTGATATTTTTCAATTTGAACCATAATTAAAGTATACTTTTTATGAATTTTCATTCCCCTTCTTGTATTGTTTGTTTTATATTGTAATGCGTTCATACAATGTAATGACGTCAAGGGATGAAATAAAATATTATTATAATTTGGCCATCCTAACATGTAAATGTTTGGTGGAAATGTGTTTTAAAAGAAATGTAATTTATTTGTATGTGTATTTTTACGATCCTTAAGTACACGCATGATTGTGCAAAATGCAGCAATAAAACACTACACTAAAAACCTTGAACATTTTAATTTTTTTGCGAAATCGGAAGCAGTTAAACTCCTTTAAATGGTGTGGCGTCAGAATCGTGTACCAGGCGACTGTTTATGAGACTTTACACGTTAGGTGTGTCAACTGCTAAAAAGTTAGAAAAGGACCTGCGTAAATGTATTACATAATTCCTTTTTATTTTAAAGACAGTAGTATATAACTCGTTTTCCGAATGAGAACATTATGGCCTATTGTGGAGACATAGTAATAAATGAGTTACGTGACAACATAGCAGAGCAAGGGCTTAGAAAATTAGCTAAATTCCCGGCAAAAATAATAATAGAATATCGGTGGTAAATGATTTAATAGTTTTATAAAACAATTCAAGAGTTGTTTTTTCTCCAGTATATTTATGATGAGCTACCTTAACATACCATTCAAATTCATCAACCAGTGGTGAGTTTCATGAGAGAGAGATACATGTGTCATTGTTGTAAGTTTTGAATTTACTGGATGGAGATAAATACAAAACTTACAAGTAATCATAATTACAACATGATAAAGATACATATATCACCACGATAGTCTTTCCACATAACTTTTGACTGATGACTGTGATACACAATTTTCGACTTATTTTGAATTTTTAAGACTACTATATACATTTTTATTTAACGTATTTCTCCTAACATGATGGAATATCAGTCAAAGCATCCAAGTCATTAAGTCTAAAAGGTAAAGATAACGAACAGTAATCGATCTCAAAAAATCCCCAAACTATACAAATATGTGAAGAGGGCATAAACACGGACACCTGGGATCAGGTGCCTAGGAGGAATAAGCATCCCTTGTTGGCCGGTCACACCCGCCATGAGCCATATGTATTGATCAGGTAGACGGAATTATCCGTAGTCAATTCAGTAAAAAAACCAAAAGCCTAATAATTGGTATGAAACAAGTCAGCCAAAATACGATGCTAACAAGATCATTATGACGATCATTAGAAGATGACATCACATCTGAAAGTTTGCTTTGGATAACTGATCATATCAGTCGCAAAGTAACCTAAAAGCTGAGTTTTAACTTGTGTCTACAGACAAAGCTAGAAGGACAGAGACGGAGTATCCAATATACTCCATTTCATTTGAATGAATCAAATACATCTTAAGCATATTTTTTACATTCATAAAAAGTATAAGATATAGGTTTTCCTTTTAGATGATACAGAAAGGTAAATTTACGCTTTGTAATGACCGTAAAATGTCTTAGCTCTTGGTACTATTCTTTTAGGGCTTTCATAGTGATGTACCCTGCCAGTCTCTGCTGGTTCAAATGCAATAGGAATCCGATACATTTCCTTATTCCCAATGCGAAAACGAAATCCAATGGAAATTTCTTCCAGGGGAAGGTAGTCACCCGCCATAAGTGCTGGGAGTCCAGGGGACTGAAGGGTTACTTTGTTTGGTCGAAGGATTTCCCGATGAGAAAAGCATTCCGATTCCTTTTGTTTGTAGTCATTTATACAACAACATGCCGCTGATTTCGGACAAGAATATCGTTCTGGATGGAAACCCAAGTTTGAGATTGGTTTTTGATAGGTTTGGTCAGACTTCATAGTACGGGCATTACAAGTCAGAATTCTCCTATTGTGAAGAAATGTTTGAGCTATATATGCTGGAAGAGTCTTTCCAGTCGATTCATTTGAGCAATGATAATATATTGCTGGTTTTGAAGATTTTGCACAACAGTGTCTGTGAACAGTTCTAGACGTATGTACTTGGTCTCGAGAGACAGATGAAATACTATCTCTTATATGATTTGTAAAATCCAAATCTTTCATTGCTTTCGCTTTACAGTTTTCACATGCTATTTTACGTCCTGGAAGGTTCAAACTGCACATTTCATTATCATTTGACCTGATATGACCAATTTTAGGCAGTGACATGCTGGTAGATTCTTTGTGCTCGTGTCGTGTTTTGTTCTTTGGAACCGTCACTTCTTTACAGCTATTTTCAACTTCTCGATCTTGAGGTGGTGGGGGTAGAGACTTTTTCCTGACCGGGGTCTTTTGATTTTTACTTTCCTTCTCTTGTTCTTCCAGCTCCTGTAAATACTTTATAGGATCAAGTACAGCTGTCTTTCCGGTTTTGTGTCTGCCATATTTTTTCGTCAATGCTGATAAACTGTCGTCTGCCGCCTTTTTCCCACGTGGTGTTGATTTTTTGTGATGCTTTCGTTTGGGATGAGATTTGTGTGAGGTTTCTGTTACGTCAGTACAAATTGGGACAACCACTTTTATCTGTGTGTTAGATTTTCCTTGTTTCTTTTCTTCTTTTTCCGTTGCTATATATCCCCGGTTCGATTCATTTTGGTCATCTGTTATTTGACTGGTTATATTACGCAGTTCGTGCGATATCCCTTGCATTTGGTTTAATTTTTCTTTTGTTGACTCTATAAGATTTTTGGAATTATTAACAAAGGCAGAATGTTTATCTTCAACACCCTCTGAAATAGAAAATAAGTAAATAAATAACATATAACAAAATAAAATGAATCCTCTTTTAACATGTATATTGTTTGTTATATTTACTTAATTTATTTTTCTTTCCCCCCCCCCCCCCGGTTTTTACAGTAAAAACAAAATGCACTTCTCTAAAAAAGTGCAGAAGCACTTGAAGTTTCCATTTTATTTTATTTTTATTTTTTACTTTTCAACGTTAACTGCATTGACGCAGCAGTCTCGTGCAATACACATTTCCCTTTATGTTCATTAAAAATTAAAGCTTTCAGCTTTCGTTTGCGTGACCAGGTAAAGAAGCCATTAGGACTTCAGACTGTAATTTTCATTTTTATCTTTTTTTCGCGTGCATCATAGTAAACGGACAAGCAATCAACAGTGTGATGCTGATGAACTTAGTTTGAAAGTAAAGTACGTAGATACATGTATTTCTTGAGGAAGTGGAGCAAAATGGCCCCGGAGCTGACTTTTGAACTCAGTCTCACTTTTACAAAAGGAATTTGTAGTGAAAAGTGAGACTGAGATCAAAAGTGAGCTAAGTTTTATCGCCCAGGAGCCTGGTATTACTGAACCAAATCCGGACAGATCTGTACATACCTGGTAATTTTGTTAATTAAATTAAATTAAAAGTTTATAACACAGGGAATCGATAATAAATTTCCATTTGTATTCAGTATCTCAGATAAAAAAAACCCCATAAATTCAAAAAAAATATCTTCTACCTCGGTTCTTAAATAGTCCTCACTCGACAATCTTTATCATTTCACCTATTGTATTCTTAAGATATCTTTGAATATGATAAATCAATTACCAACATATCAAATAATTATATAACGATATAGTAATTAAAATAAGCGCTGTAACTCACCCATGTTGACTTTGGGGGAACCAGGTTTGCACGGTGACATCCCCGTGATTTTCTAACCACAAGAATCTGGTCTGTCTAGCAATAAAATCTATCATCTCTCCCGCACACGATTATTTAAGGTTGACGTCTCGTTAATAATTAATGCAATGCTTGTGCTGTACGTCGTCTTTAATGGCCATAATTTCTGGGTAAATTACAATTGCAGTACAAGGATTCTGATTTGGGATGCATTAAACTGAAAAGAATGTGATAAACACAGAGTATATAACAATGTTATGATCGACGAATTTCTTCACGAAAAATTGCTTATTTGAATAATTAAGGACTGACCAACACGTTAACTTATACGATTCATACTCTCAGTAAGGTCATCGTTTGCTTTTTACGACTGAATTCGGTAATAAAATGGAACAGCTTTGTAACATATATTTTCTTACGTATCTAATACATAATACTATAATTAGTAAACAGTTTTAGAATTTTATTAGACGAAATGAAGAAAAGGCCAGGTTAATATCTTCTAGATCATTCATACATTTGATTTGGATAGGAAATAATGAGGAATTTATGAATCAAAATATATTACCAATCTGTATCAAGTCACGAAAGTACTGATTTAGTGGACATTAAAGAGGATGGGCGAACAAGGCGAAAGATCGAAATGCATATAGTGAGACAGACATGAAGGTGAATAATCAAATCTCAGTTATAACAAAATTTTCTTTGAAATTTAATCTAAAATTAAAGTATAATTTATGTAAAATCTCCACATGAAGATGGGCGAACAAGGCGAGCGAAGTGCCTATAGTGCGACAAACATGAAGGTGAAAAATTAAATCTCAATCATAACAAAATTTCTTTGATACTTCATCTAACATTAAAGTATACTTTATGTAAAATCTCCAAAATTTGCAAAGATCTTACATAGATTGAAAATTTTGCCTATGAAATAGCAAGCACACACTAAAGAGGGCAAAAAATGATCATTTTCTCATAACACAGTTTTTCGATGTGAGTGGGTCTTTGCTCCATTTTTTTGAAAGTTTATCCTCAAAGTTTGCGTAAAAATAATATGCATTTTTTGGTTAACAGAAACATGGAGCAAAGACCCACTATACCTTAAGAATACACTTTTATGACACAACAATCGCATCTTTCGAGAAATACTGAAGTCCATTTAGTCAAAGATCACATAACAAACATGATTTAAATGCCACAATTCAGCAGGAGCTGTGTAGCGTAGTGGTTAGCGCGTTAGTCTCAAAGGAAAAGTTATAATTTTTATTGCTAGGGTTCGAACCCCACGAATACCACATTATTTCTTAATAACAGAAGAATATTTGCAGAGAAAATTTTCGTTAGAAAAGTTTTGTTTATCATAATTTCATAGATCTCAATAAAGATAACTTAACTCTAAGTACTAAATTCACAAATCGAATATAATTTTTACATATCTGAAGCTATAGGCATTCTACACGCCTTATTCACCCATATCCTTTGCAAAAATCTCACAAAAATTGAAATTATTTTCCTATGAAAAAGAATACACACACTACAGAGGGAAAACGATAATTTTCTCATACTATAACCCAATTTTTCGATATGAGTTGGTCTTCGCTCTTTATTTTTATATACGCACTTTCTAAAGAAAGTTCGGGTATATTGTTGTTATTCATGTCTGTCCGTCCGTCTGTCACACTTTTCTTTCTCAAACCCCTCTTACATTTTACACAGTAGCCTAATCATCTTTTGGGAGATGGTTTGTGGTGTTATGTAGATGTGCAGAAAGGTTTCGGAATTTTCATTTTCACTCTGGGGTCAAATGGGGGTCGAAAAATGACGTTTTTTATGCAAAAAGCCCCTGGTTCCCTGAACTTCTCTTACATTTTACATAGAAGCCTAATCATCTTTTGGGAGATGGTTGGTGGTGTCCTGTAGATGTGCATTAAGGTTTCGGAATTTTTATTTTCACCCTGGGGTCAAATGGGGTTCTTTTTTTTCTTTTTTTTTAAATATTTAACATGTTTAAATACCCTGGTTCCCAGAACTTCTCTTATATTTTATGCATTAGCCTTAAATCATGATCATTTGGAAGATGATTGGTTTTGTGCTGTGGATGTGTAAAATGGTTTCAAAATTTGCATTTCCATGTGGATGGCAAATAGGGGCAGGAAAAAAAATGGCCCCTCCCTAACCCATAGGGTCATGTTTTGTACAAACTTGAATCTACACTTCTTGAGAATGTTTCCATATTTATCATGCTCTTGTTGTTCTTGAAAAGAAGAATTTTGAAGATTTTTTTTCCCTTTTTTTCCTATATAAAACTTTGATCCCTTATTGTGGCCTGACCCTACCCTTGGAGGTCATGATTTGAAAACTAGAAATATGTCTATAAGACATGAATGCCCCGCCGAATGCATATTACTAAATAAATGCAACATGAAAAGGATCAGTGCACTTAAGCTATGAGAGTTGGATCCCGGTGCTTTGCCAATAATAAATTTCCGAAATTTATAAACTTTTGGAATCAGAATTATTAAACGATATCTTAAGAGCAGGGTTTGATATATTATATCACATAAAAATATCAAATAATGCCGAGCGACACTGGTTTTTGCGACAGGGGTCTAGCAGTTTTGTCACATTTCTATTGTTATTCATATGCATACCAGTTTTCAACGACATTGTTTACATCGAGCCGCAACTTGTCCATTCTTCTCATTTGCACAGAATGTGTATTTACATATCCAAAGGGCAATGTTAGACAATTTGCGGCTCATATGTAATTTTAAAAAAAAATCCTCCAAACTACGGTCGGGTTAGCTACTAAATTAACAGGTCAACCTATTTTGACCTGTTTGATATTATAATCACTTTACTCACGTGACATTCCACTGTTCGATATGCTTTCATTGTGTCTATCAATGGATTTCAGGGCTGTACACACGGATATGTATTTAAGTACACAATCTGACTATATACAGACTTTTAATACGGTGAATCCTAAGATTTTTCGAATCTTATAAAACTGTATTAAGAATAGGGCAATATTCTATTTCTTAATACAAGTCTTAACTTAACTTTCATTTTTAAACCAATCAAAAGTACTCACATTGTAGTCATCCTATTTTTATCATAACAAAGAAAAGCACGTGGTAAATAATGGTCGATTTTAGCAGTAAAAATATCGAAAAACTCGTTGTTTTATGGGAAGAAGATCAAAAGGAGTAACTAAAGTTGCTCAAATGCAGCGTTATCTATTCTAAAGAAGTTTTTATAACTACTGGGGTCTTCTCTTTGCACCTCATCAAGCGATGCTTTGTGTGCACCAAGTACATATACGAGTGTTCCGCCGCTGTTTCCATTACAATGTTGTTTGTTTTTTTTCAGTTTTAATGCAATGCATAATACGATAACAGATACTGCTAACAAAACCTCGTTTTCCATTATTGAGAGAAAGAGAGAAATATTGCGAGGGAAACACGTAGAAATCCCTAAAGTCTATTAACAATCTAATAAAACGTACAAACGTGTGTACAGGAAAGTATTATAATACAAATATAATACTTGTATTATACAGTAACTACAAATCTCACCGTTTGTACCGGCCTGAACAACTTCAAAATAATGAAGTTTTTTGCGAAAATTTTATTAGGGTCTTAAAGTTTACCTTGTCTTCTTTCACTAAATTGTGTTTTTCGTTTGCATGGTATTTTGAAGGAAATTCTGGTATTGCCAGTGCACGATTAGTATGTAGCTGTGTTAGATCTTGTCGCCTCTGTATTATGGTCTGCAGGCATCTACAGACACATCCTTAAACACTAGTATCATATCTGACAATATTTGGATTGCCGAAATGAAAGAGATATTGAAGACTTAAGCGAGTGATTATCGATATAGTAACGTTGTAGAATTTTCGTTGACCATGTTTTTTAATCTGAAATATACTTGTTCCGTCAATAAAATGTTAATTTAAATTACAGATAGTTTGTATTTCTTGGAGTTTTCATGTTAACCTAGCGACTCAAATTTTAAGTTAAAATTTTATATTTCATTTCCGAATGTTATTTATCTATACATACATTTAATAAAATATGTATCACCATTGAGTACTACATACATGTATAATTTGTTTCACTACTCGTTTGTCAGTATTACTCTACGTACTACATGTACAGTGAATTACGATTAAATGTAGTGTGACATCTAAGTCATGTACATGTGAATCTTTCTTAAAACATACATTCATTCTTTGAATTGAAAAGCATTCAGTATATAAAACGAAAAATGATAAAGCTAAAGAAAAAAGAGGGGGCATTTTTTATCATATACGAAAACTTAAGATTGATCTAATTCGGTGCTAGGCATCAAACATATGGATACGAATCATGAAAATGATCAATATGTATGGCCATGAATCATTTATTATTTGTGTGAATCATGAAACTACACAATCTTTCACTCCTCCATTTAAATTCATACTGTAGAATCAATCTGGAAATAATGTGCAAATGTTTACATTCCACTTCCATGCGATTTAAATATCTCCGCCCATTTGCGGGTACCTTAAATTCGAAAGTGGTCCAGTTCAAATTTCCGGAATTTAAGGCTTATACATGTTCTTTTCAATGACGTTGTGTGGAATTATAGCAATATGTTTAACAAAAAATTCGAAGTATAAATATCAAGAGCATATGTATGCACAATAATCATAGATTAATTTAGCAATATAGTCTAATTTAAGGCTTAAAATGGGTGGCCGAAAAGGCTCCAAATGACACTCTAAAGTGCACTCATTCTTTGTATGAGTGTATGAAGTTTGATGAGAATATCTTGAACAGTTTCTTTAAAATTGAAACTAAAATCTAAAAACAATTGGATATAGATGATAAATTCTCACCAAATTATGTATAAGTGCATGCTTACATAAAAATATCTTAGATTGTTTCTTTAAAACTAAGAAAAATACAAATTAAAGAGAAGGGAGGTCAAGGTCACAGGAAAGTGCAAGGTGAAAAGTTTATGATGCAGTTGAATAGC